AATGGAATCCCTGTTCGTGCTCTATTTGACTCAGCCTGCGAGACCAACTTAATGGACGAGCGACTACTCAAGAAGGTTCGCATACCAAGGCGACCGCTGGTGAAACCCATAACTGTGGGTTTAGCACTTGAGTCTGAGGGTCAAGTAAAGCAACTTACCCATTTTGCTTTTGCTAACGTGGATTCGAAGGAGCCATCTATTCGATTTGGGGCAACGTTCTTCAAGCTGGCAAAGCTTAACGGTGGTTATGATCTTATTTGTGGTACCCCATTCTTGAAACTACATAAAATTGATATATCCATTCATCGACGTTGTATAACTCATAGCAAAACTGGGAAGGTTATTTATGACAAGGATGAAAGAAAAATGAAAGAAAGTAATGAATTGAAAGAAAAAAGATTGAATGACTGTCCAAAGAAAGAGATGTTAGCGTGTGTGGTGGAGAATGTGAGAAAGATTGAGAGTGCAAGAAAGTTGGCTGAGAAGGAGGAGTTGATGTTTGAAGAATTTAAGGATTTATTCCCTGCTGAATTGCCCGCAGTCGCGGAAGGGGAGGATGATTTTTTCCCTCCCAGCAAACAACATGAGTCTTCTACTGTCTGCCATAAGATTGTACTGACCAACCCAAATGCGACCATCAACGGGAAGCAATACACATACCCATTGAAGCATAGAGATGCGTGGCGTAGGCTTATTGACCAACATTTGAAAGCCGGACGTATCCGTAGGTCATCTAGTCAATACGGGTCTCCGTCTCTCATCATTCCCAAGAAGGATCCTACGGCGGACCCACGTTGGGTGTGTGATTACCGGGAACTTAATAAAGTAACTGTTAAAGACAGATCACCCTTGCCAAATCCTGACGAAGCAGTACGACTGGTAGCCACCGGAAAGGTGTTTTCGGTGGTTGACCAAATCAACAGTTTTTTTCAAACTCGTATGCGGAAAGAGGATATACCTCTGACGGCAGTAAAAACTCCGTGGGGGATGTTTGAGTGGGTAGTCATGCCAATGGGATTGTGCAATGGTCCGGCAACACATCAAGCGCGGTGTGAAGAGGCTCTGGGTGATTTAATTGGCAAAATTTGTGTGGTATACATCGATGACATTGTCATTTTCTCTGACTCCATAGAGGAACACGAGTTACATCTGAGAGAAGTTCTGACCCGACTAAAACAAGCTAATCTTTACTGCTCATCGAAAAAGAGTAAACTATTTCGACGTAAAATTTCATTTTTAGGACACGAAATTAGCGAAGATGGTATTAGGGCGGATACAAAGCAGGTGGACAAAGTCACTTCCTGGAGGGCGCCTAAATCAGCAAAAGGACTCAATTCCTTCCTAGGCACTGTACAATGGCTGAAAAAATTTGTGGACGGGCTAGGTCAATATGTAGCCACACTCGCACCATTGACAAGCTCAAGGAAGAAACCTTCAGACTTTCGTTGGGGATCAGCAGAGGACACGGCATTTGAAAACATCAAGCGGTTAATTACAACCTTACCAGTTTTGAAAAAGATAGATTATGATTCAGATGATGCTATGTGGCTCTTTTCCGATGCAAGTGGTCATGGGTTAGGCGCTGCGTTATTTCAAGGAAAAGAGTGGGAAACCTCTCTCCCTATCGCGTACGAGAGCCGAACAATGACACCGGCAGAGCGTAACTACCCTGTACACGAACAGGAACTTTTGGCTGTAATAAATGCATTACAGAAATGGAAACTCTTGTTATTAGGAATGAAAATTAATGTCATGTCCGACCATCATAGCTTAGTGCATTTATTGAAGCAAAGGAACCTGAGCCGGAGACAAGCTAGGTGGCTGGAGACCCTTGCTGATTTCGATCTGGACTTTAAGTATTTGAAAGGGGAGCATAATTCAGTGGCGGATGCTTTATCAAGAAAAGAAGAAATAGCTGTAGTGGAGATAAAGGCTAAGATGGATGAGGAGGTTCGAAAAACTATCATACAAGGCTACAAATCCGATCCGTTCTGCATCAAGCTAGCAAACACCTTACCACTCCGCGAGGACAGTTTGAAGATTGACGAACTCATGTATCTTGACGGGCGACTGGTTATCCCTGATGTCAAATGGTTAAGACAGGATATTGTCACACGAGCCCATCAAGCGTTAGGACATCTAGGTGTAGTCAAAACTGTGGAACAACTACGTAAGGAGTTCTTTTGGTTAGGCATGGGTAAAGACGTCAATACAATTGTATCCATCTGTGACAGTTGTCAAAGAAATAAAGCGCGTACCTCACTGATATCGGGTCGACTTCAAGCAACAGAAGTTCCTTGCAAACCGTTAGAAGACATCAGTTTAGATTTTGTTGGTCCGTTCCCTAAAGTCAACGGATATGACATGGTATTATCATGTACATGTCGGTTATCGGGATTTTTCAGACTCATACCGGTGTCTCAGAAGGACTCTGCTGAGAAGACCGCCCATCGAATGTTTGCATCTTGGCTCTCGATATTTGGGGCCCCTTCGTCAATGATAGGCGACCGCGACAAGATCTGGGTTTCACGGTTCTGGCAGCATCTAAATCAACGGCTCAATATCAAGGTCAATCTGTCTACCTCTTACCACCCACAAACAGATGGCAGGAGCGAAAGGTCAAATAAAACGCTAGGTCAGATCTTACGACACTTGACGGCCACTAGACACAGCAAATGGTTAGAATCGTTACCTGCGGTTGAGTTTGCAATCAACTCTGCTATCAATTCGGCAACTGGAACAAGTCCTTTTGAGTTCGTTTTTGGACGTCAGCCTCGCCTCTTTCCGACTAACCTAGAATCACAAATTAAGGAAAGCGACGCACATAGATGGGTTGAGAAGCGACGTGCTGATTGGGCTAATTGGAGAGATAAATTGTGGGCAAGTCGAGTTGATCAGGCCTTGCAATACAATAAGAGGAGGAAGCACGGTGACAAGTTAGAAGAAGGGGACTTAGTGTTAGTTGATAGCCAAGATCGTCAGCGGGTGGTTGGGGGACGTGGTCGTATGGTAGCAAAGTTGAGAGCTCGGTTTGATGGGCCGTATAGAATCAAATCAGTTCTGAATGATGGTCGAAATTACGAGCTCGAACTGCCTAAGGACGACAAGACCCACCCCGTTTTCCACATTTCGAAACTCAAGCAGTATAAGCTGGAAGAAGAAGTAAAGGAGCCTAGTACAGGACTAGCGTCCAAAAGTAAGTCTCCCTCCTAGTATGCACCGCCACTACCCTCTACACCGTTTTTGTCAAGCAACTCCACGGCCACTTTGTGAGCACATCCTTGGGTTGTTTCTTTTCAATCAGATAGCGGAACGAGGGGCAAGTTGCGGCATCGACAACGATCACGATTTTTTTATCTTCGGTGGTTTGGTTATGTTTTTCTTTTTGTTCTTTTCTTTTTTCTCTCTTGTCTTTCAGGACTGTTTCTATTTGTGTTCTCTCTCTTTTTTTTCTTTTCGGGGGCGAGTCATGCCAACGCTTTAAGGGCGAGTCATGCCATTTTTTTTCTTTTTTTTCGGGGATTCATAACTATCATGATAATCAAGACACGACAAATTCAAAGGGTCAACGCAATGGTGGAATTTTTTTTTTTTCTCTTTAGTATTATTTCTTTTTACTCTTACGAAGTTTTCTTTTCTTTTTTCATGAGAACAATTTTTTTTAGAGGGGGAGGGTGTAAGGGTATGCCCTTACAGGATACATGTGTACAGAGGTGTATGGGTTTAGATAGTAGTGTAGTCATCTTATTCGCCCTGACTCCAGAGAGGCTCTTCTCCTTAGGAGACTCTCCTACTCGGAGTCAGGTAAGATATCATTCTAGTTCTCTTGTTGTTTCTCTCTTATGTGTGTGTTATGGTGTGGATGCTGATGTTGAGGAGACTCTCCTACTCGGAGTCAGTTTGGAATTTATATAGAGAAGTTTTATAGGCGACTCCTCGCTGTCAAGCTGTCCCTACGAACCCAGTGAAGGTTCACTCTCTTGAACCTTACAGTATGGTCTCAGTCGGAATGTACTTCAAATATATCTATATCTTGTGTAGAAAAAAACCCCACAGGATTCACTTGATCATTATCTATCAAAAGTGGTAAATCTAAAGATGTTTACAGTACTTTCTTATAACAATTAAATCGACATAAGCCAAATCAGTTTTCTTGATTATGGATTTGAACTCTTTTTTTTATATGTCCTTATCTGATTAAATTTTGCTTGTAACCTATTCTCTGGTTCTGTTTGATGTTGCGCATATGTAGAAAAAAAGTATTAGATTTTCTTTATCAGACTACACGAAGACTTGAGATGGTTATACTTGGATTGGGGGCATCCAATTTACTAAGGGACTTTGTTAAGTTTATTCATAAGAGCATTCACTATTGTTGCTGAACAGGGATGTCAAATGTTTGCTTAGCCGAATCAATTGTTTGAATCAAATGTTTGCTTAGCTGAATTGCTGAGCAGGTATTGATCATGTTAATCAATTAATTTTTGACGTTTTCAGTGCCTCATCATATCTCATTGGATACGTAATGATCATTAGTTACAACACAATGGAGGGATCTCAATGATGTTGAACATTTCATGTTCCTTGATTTGATTCGAGAATTCCCTTTACATCTCATCATTCCACATCCATCACAATGTGGATATTATCTTCAAAGTACCCAATCCTTCAACAAAAGCTTCCCCACCCAAGACCTGGAATCCTTACTGGTTTTGGCTGTCCAACCTGTTACAAAGCATCAACAAACAACAACAGAATCCCTGTGGTGTACATTAAACGAGACAACCATCCTCATCTTATTGGTCTTCGAGTAATAATTTTTTGTGATCTTCATCAGTTTTGAGTTGGTCCTTTTCAGTTTCTGACAAAGTTATGATATACTTTAGTGTCAGACCAATCCTGCGTTTGAGCACTTCTTTCAAACCCCACGCCTTGAGGATGTGATTCGAGAAGTGGATTCATATAACCAAAAATCAGGAACTCCTCATCAATTTCCACATATGCTCCCCTCCGATTTGGACCCCAATTCTGGTACTGTGACTCAAAGTACTACAGCAAGCACTTCAAACACATCAGAGCCCCACCTTGAATGCCGTGGTGTGAACGGTATACGCGCTTCTGGGCATTGCAAGCAATGTTTGAGGCGATGTCCCAACAAATTGTGTCAACAGGTATGTTTAATCTCCCCCTTATCCGGAGTATTTTCAAGGTAACTGAGAATTGCATATAGTGCTGTCGCTCTACCAGTCAAACCTGCTCCCATCATCACACAAAAGAAGTGTCTTCAATGACTTTGACTGCACCTATTCCATCACAATCGAGAGATCTGCTTTTGGATTCCAACAATTATCTTACAAGTGAACAGGAGCAACGTCGTGTGGTTAACCGTATGATTAATCCTCAAGCTGATCGACATGCTATCAAGGATCTACCACGCGAAGCTGTAGCTCATCATAATGCTGTTCAATTACGTACACAAGCAGCTAAAGATGATGTGGCTCCGCACGAATTGACCCTTTGTGTATGGCTAAAGGTAGTTTTTTTATTGCTAGTTGGTTTAATCATGATGTTATTAACTAACCATGACAATTTGTTGGGATCTCTTAAGGATGGTGAAGCTTTGGAAATACCAGTTACAGCTCTGAATTTCCCCCGATATGCATTGATTGAGAGTCGCTCCTTAGCCCAAATAGCACGTGACCAGTTAGGTCCTTCATGGGATCTTCAACTGGAGGTACTCAGACCTGGTTCCTTGAAATGGGTATGTGATCTTGCCGGTCTGAATGATGGAAGTCAAGCTCATACATATGTATTCTAGCAAATTGTCGATGCAAATATCCCCTTGATGTATACCTCCGAGACAACCAAGTTGTTAATTCGTAAAATGGGGCTTCCACTTGAGAGCTGTGTTGGTATTGACGCTGCAATCGATTCGTTCAAAACCAAAACCAAACCAAAATCATATGGTATCAGTCAATGGCTTCAACCGGATGCGCCGAAGGGAATTTGGGAACGTTCTCGAGATGGTTTAGCAAGTACTACATCTACTTATAATATTTCTAATATTGAATCAGATTCAGACCCAGAGGTCGAGATTATTGGCACATCAAAACGAAAGAAGGAATTCAATGAAGACATAGAAAGTTCACCTTTAGCCAGGAAGAAGGCACGAAGCCTCCAACCCTTCCCTGGTACGGCTTGTAAGCTCTCCGAATTGTTGGTTTGGTGTTCAAAAGCTCCTAGAGGATTTGTGAAAGGCCATGCCAAAGTGGTATGGCATGAGCTTTTTAGTGATCGCTTCGAAACTGGTCCATCAATGAGGACCGCCTATAAATATCGGAGATGGGCTCTAGACAAAGAAGAAACATTGCGAGAGTGGATGAAAGGCAAGGAGGATGTCACTGTAGCAGAAGCTTATCACATGTTTGGTCCTGCTTATCCAGGTTCAGATTGTAAACAGACCAACGCGATTTTAGTTGAATAGGTCATCTGTTTCAAATTGCTTGCATCAATTATACTAAAAATATAGCTAAATACTACAAATGCACTTTTTTCGTTGATAACAAGTAGTTTAGTTGAATAGGTCATCTGTTTCAAATTGCTTGCATCAATTATACTAAAAATATAGCTAAATACTACAAATGCACTTTTTTCGTTGATAACAAGTAGTCTTGCTTTTACCATGAAATACAACTACTTGTAAATTTTTTATCGTGAAATGTAACTACTTGTCTATCTTTTATTGTTAAATCCAACTATTTGTCTATCTTTTATTGTTAAATCCAACTATTTGTCTATCCTTTATTGTGAAAAAAGGTCTGAATCTTTTGAGTGTGGCACATTGAGAGGTCAGACAATTCAATATTTGTGCATGTGTTCGTCTCTCCACAAATATAATGGCATGAAAGCTTCATATTCTCATCAAAAAATGAGAATATAACTTGAAACCTTGGGGTATAGACTGACTCAATGGAACAACTTTTGAATATACTTATCATTATAGGTATTCTAGAAAAATATTTGTATGTACAAGTTAGTCAGTGTATAGTGCATTTTCTTTCAAACATGCTGTTCAAGAGGCTGTGGGGAAGATCTGAACATTTACAATTAATGAGTTGGATGGTAGTCTTGTCTCCGTGTTATTCTTGTTACTTTATCTACAGTCAAATTTATTTGATTGTTCTTGTCCTTTTCTTTGTGCTCACCATACTTAGGGGATTAATCTTTGACTCTGCTGCAAATATTTTCCTTTTTGAAAACAAAAGCCAGTATCAAAGTTTGTAAAGGATCAAATATATGAATTCATCTCTATGCTAAAAACATTAAAAGGAATAATCTGTTTTAATATACCTCACAAATGGACTTTGCAAGAAACACAATCAATCACATCTTTCAGTCAAAAAACCCAGCCTTTTGTGATGAAGTTGACATCTTTTTGAGCTCTCAACTTTTCCGAAAGCCATGCATTTCTCAATCTGACCATTACCTCTAAGAAAAAATTGTATCGGATTGCATTCATTCCCCTACATATTGAGGAAAACTTGCCATACCATATGTTTGTAAGCTCTGCTGCCGAAGAGTTGAATATCCATTTGTTGCCATTTTTGAGATCGGGAATTTTCCTGGGATTTGTAAAATTCTGACAGAATTGATCCGACTCTTTATGAGAACACATATGAAACGCATCAACTGCAACAACTGTGTCCTTAAACAATTTTGTATCTTCAGGATTGTTCCAAACATGCCGCATCAGATTACAAGCATTGTCATAGAAAACAACACCTGGGAGGATGTCAGGGAACGAATCTAAGATAAATTGCTGAGAAGAAAAAGACAGAGTTCAGACTTTACATATCCACGGAAAGGACACCAAAAACATCTTACTTTGACCGCGCTGACTGCTTCTGCACGGAAAAATGTAGCTCGAGCTAAAATGATACCGCAACAGCCCACGATTAGCTGATCATTATGAGTACGGCGCCTTGAACAACATGGTTTTGCTGCACTTTGCTTGTTTCCTTCTCCACCATCTCTTCCAGCCTCGTGCGCACGGTCCGTTTCATCAGCATCCTGGATTATTTCAAGGTCTTCTAATTCAGCAGTCCACACATTTTGATTGACTGAAGGATCAGCTGGTGTTTTACATCCGGTTCGTGTCATTTTTTCTGCTAGAGTATAGGGTTTATCCTTATTACGCATGAACGCTTTACCAATATCGCTGTGTTTATCACATGTGATTGATCCAGGTTGGCATTTTGAAATGCAGGGTTGTGCGTAACATTGATCCTTGAGTGAAACCCGGTGCTTATCACAGAATCGATCATGGACACTATCTAGATTATTGATGCAAGGATGTTTCTCGCCCAGAGACTCCAATTGCTCACGCGAAGCACTGCAACAGAAGTGTCCTATGGTCACACCATCCGTAACAACCGCATGAATACCTAAAATATTTGAGTGATCAGATTGATGAGTGACTTTGATATAGAAGGCATATGAATGAAGTATACCATACCTTTATCATTCCCCTCGTTGTCAGTAGAAATGTAAACACATTTGTCGCATGCGTGATTTTGATATTCAGTACCGGATATAGCCCAATATTTCAACTGATCGGCCATGGCATGTAAATACCTCCGAGATTCCGGACCTGAAGTTGGTACCTCAAGAACTTTGTTTCGAGCATCAAAATGATATAACAGCTGGTTAATTTCAAGACCATCCCTACAAACTTCCTGAGACATTGATGCCCCAAAAGATTGATTTCCACTAAATTTTGGCGCTTTGCAAGTCTGATGAGTATGATTGTAATGATTGACTAGGTTGAATATCGAAACACTACACATTTTTCATCTCATCAGCAAAGCTTTTGTTTGATCCTGCAGAGAAATACAAATGTGACTGACTGAGAAAGCATCTGTAGAAAAGATAACGACTCGGCAAGCTGTCTACTCATGAAGTAATGTTGATGAACTTGAAATATATCCCGATCTTGCTTTTGTTGAGGTGTGTAAAAGTATCGTGTGTTTGCAAAAGAATAATAAGATGGTCGAAATGCTACGTTACAGCCTAAATAATGAAGATTAAATCATGAGTCAACCTAAATCTCAAAACTAGAAAGATTAGATGTACCTGCACAATGCATCGAGACACTTTTGATTGGATGTACTCCATCAAGATCGTATAGATAACCATCAATTATCTTCTCTTTTTTGAATGGTAGTCGCTTTTTACAAATGAGACACGATTCCGCAGGCGGGAAAAAGAATTGATGGGGTATTTTGTGGGGTTCTTTCAATCCTAGCATTTCAAGAATATCGACTGGAGAAGAATGACAATTCTCTAAGCAAGGGAACGTTGTCACCCACATTTGTGCAAGAGCAAAATGTGGGACCTGTTGATTGAGTGCATCGTGGATATAATCTATCCGTGATTCTTTCTCGGTGAGACTTAGCCCACGTCCCACACGCTTGATCAAGTCACTGCCTATGAGGCAAAATTTGACAAAATCTTCAACATGAAGATTTTCCCAAATCTCTGGAATCAATTTCAATCGCTTTGAGACTTTCTTGAAAAGCATGATGGCGAAAAGGATGAAGCGAAGGAAGTGAGCGAGCGCAAGCCTGTGCAACCATTTGAAATATATACGTACAGTCGAGCGGCCCTGTTGAGCTCAAGTCCGAGACCGACCAATGCTCCGATTGAACAAAGCAGGCTGTACAGGCCAAGCTGTACAAGGCATGTCCCCGTAGTCTCCCGTTGTCTCCTGTAAAGACTGATACGGCTACTCTCCTGTTTGTTTCAAAGAGATTAGTTTTGTACTTGTGAAAGTCTAGTGGGTTTGTGCCAAGAGTAGTGTCAAGGCTTGGCAGCAAGTGATGGATTGAAATGCCAAGAAGTCTTTCAACTCAAACTCTCAGATATCTGATACAGCAACATAGCCAACAGATTTAAATATCAAGTGAGTGCTCAGCCAAACTCAGCCAGATGGTATCATCAATTTCTGATTTCTAACAATTTGTCTACTGAACTTCGATCCAAACGAACGAAATCGAAAGACCTAATGTCAACTTCAACACCGAACCTCTCTCGTTCAACTTCTTCATTTCAGCTCACTCAATCAACCCCAACGCTACCTCATCAAATCGTTTCAGCTGCACACGCTCTCTCTCCTCTTGATGACCTTCATCTTGCTCATCTTGTTCATTCAATCAAACCATTAGCACCTTCTTGGTCCTTTCAAAGCTCAAACTATTCAAATCCATCGGGTCCTTCAATCGAATCTAATGATCGACTTAGAACAGACGAATTGGCTGACCTACCTGCACCTGAAGCTGAACGTCTCCATGCGGCTTATGATATAGAAGATCATCTTGATTCTACTCCTGATCGATTATTAGTCTTTGGACCTTATGCTTCCCTCTCAGATATTTTGGAAGAGGTAAAATCCGTCTTACGAAACAAAATGAAAAAGTTATCAAACAATTCCAAGGCTCTAAGCAATCAGAAACCATCCGATCCTACCAATTCAACTCGTTACAATCGTCAGGTGGAGGTCTATGTGGCTAGACTATGGTTTCAACCTCTGGAAGGTCCCGCTGGGTCATACAAATGGGAAAAAGGAGGGGCGGATCTCATTCGATTCGAAATGGCAAAGGAACCAGCTCAGGATGGGAAGGAAATCTTCAATTGGTCACCGGTTGAGGTGGCTCTATCTCAAGCACTCGAGGTATGTCGAACACTGTAGCTTGAATCTCTTCCCACTTCTTCGGATCGGTCTTCCTATCATTTCCTTTCGAACAAGACAGAGATCATGATCTGTGCTCGGGAAGACTATCCATCCTAGCCTGTTGTCTACTAGAAAAGAAATGAGGTTGTTCCCTCTATATTTCTGATCAGATCGGGATCTATGTAGTGTACTTGAGATTCGATTCAACCATCCTCCTCTATCCATCTCGAACGGGCGGCCTTCTGATCTAAACATACCTGTGCATCTTCAATCTCGCAGATCGGACATCAACTCTTGGCTTTATTACATTTACGACACTTTGATGAGATCTTATCAACTATGAATCAATCCTCTGAATTCTGTGCTATTGATCCTATCATCTGGCTTGTCGATCCTGTTGAATATGCTCATGCTCAACTAAGAGAGACCACTGAATGGGGTTGGTCAGAGCATCATGTCGATTATACACCTCCTTCATCTTCTGATGGGACCAGTCCTTCGATCACCAAACTCACCACCTCTGGTCCCATCCATCAGCTTCACAGACCTCTTCCACGATCACGATTGTCTCAAGAGATTGGTATATCTGATCATCACAATCCTTCAACTGAAGCTCACTATCCAACGATCCCATTCCAAGAGAATCTACCACTCCAACCCTTGAACAAAAGCTCTCCAGCTTCTCCAGATAACCTTCCTAGATGGTTAGACGACCTACTTGATCGACGATTACCAAGAATCCTTTCTTTGCCAGATGGATGTCTTTCATATGATTTATTAGATCAATCTTATCAAACGCCTACTACAGTGATTTCTAATCGATGCTTTCCAATCCTTCAATCACGTTCACCTTTAAAATTAGAGTCACTCTTATCACCACCACTTGATTCAACTCCAAAACAATTACTCAAAAGTCTTTCACCTCCCTTACAACTCAATTCATCAGATCTAACACCCACCTCAGTCCGTTCTACTGATCTACATTACATACCTAATCCAGGACCGGTGAAACAAGATTTCGTATGGGACAATGGAGAATGGATTTGTAAAGCGAATCCATTAAAATATTATCATTGTAAAGTATGTGCAGAACATGCCTTTAAGATTGCATTATCACATCGATTGAATGAAGAAAAAGGATTAAGAAGACCTGAATGTCCACCATCTAAATCGATCACAACTGGAATCGGATTAGGATTAAAAGGTAGAGCTATTAAAGAAGCAATGGATAGAGAAGATGATGAGTTTTTGAATTTACAGATTAAAGGATGTATTGAAGATCATCAAGAATTAATTAATAGGAATCGATCTGGATCTTGTTGTTTGAAAGGAAATCGATTGGGTTGGGATGAAGGTGAAGCTGTTGAAGATGGATAGGTTTAAGGAATTTATTTAACATTTGAAGAGGTTATATTTTCTTCTCTACCCTGGTGGGATATCAGTTGTATACATAAATAGTTGAAGGAAATGGGGGTTTTTGAAATATAAAAAACAGAGATTTTTTTTTCAAAAAAAAAGATAAGAAAATATTGATTCAAGTTGTTGTTTTGATTAGATTTATATAATCATGAGGTTTTGAAGATTAACTAAACCATCTTTGAATTTTAAAAAAAAATCAATTAAAGGATCCTTATTCCTCTTTTTTTGATTTCTATTGAGCTTTTGTTTTAGTATTGATGAATTCCTATGTAAACTTCTTTTGGTTTTTTTTGTATAAGTTAGGCTTGAGATGAATGAGAAGATCTTTCCAAAATTATAACACTTCATTGAATGAATGGATACACTTTGATTAGAGAATTTGATGCCTGCCTTTTTTTGGAGGTTCAGATGGATATGTATTGAGAGATGAGGATATAAGAGACTCAAAGAAATTGTACAGCACTCCTTGAGTTCTTCACTTACGATGGTTTTCCATTGGTACCACAAACTATTAGTTTACCGACACATTCAAGGCGCGTTCACTTAAGGAAATTCTGACCAGAAATCGCGTTCTGTGAATTATTTAATCCAAAAAAAAACATGCTCCACCAAATAGACATTTTAACTTTTTGCAAAATGTGATTTCTCCCAAGAAATTGCTTAAGTGAAGGAACCTTCAATCTCAATAAATTCCAATAATTCAATCCAATCCAAATTATAAAAAAATTGTTTTACTCTATTCTCGAATGAGATAATGTGCATTCATATTTCTAGAAAGAAGAAATTCAAAGGGGATTTGAACTGCATTTTGTAACTCGTACACTGGAGCTATGTATGTACAGTCAATTGCACAGAGCTTGGAAAGAATTCCGCGCCAATTTGCTCAAATTTGGCGGGCAAATGTTTCCAAGCTTTCTGAAATCGACTGTACATAGACTTTCTACTTTGCTACTTTGTGATTATTGAGGAATCTTGACCATTTTATTCTGCTTGCCACTGGGATGCTTGAAATGTGAGGAATTTTTTACATCTCAATTGTTCAGAGTAATCCATTTCTGATTTGAATTGTGATCTGGCCACGACTCACAGTGGTCCTTAGTATTTTATGGCATAGAGCTGATCAAGTTTTGATATTGGAAATTTGAATGAGAAGTCTGAAGAAGTTGGAATATGTATTGGTACGTACAAGATTGGTCATACTACAGTCTCAGAGCCTCATATCAAATTCAACCACTCATCATCTCATGAAGCTGATGACTGATGAACGGTTGAATATATCCAATCTCCATCGAACAGGACCAACCAACTCAACCAACCGATTCAGACCAGACCAGACCAAACTACCAACTCAAATCAAACCGAACGAACGAACTGAACTTCAAATCGAAGCCAAATTCAAATCAGCACTTCAGTTCAATTTTACTATTGAACATTCCCATTCACATCACTTCTCCCAAAATCTCATCATATCAACTCTCATTATATATCCCTAGCTGCTGCAGGTTCAGCATCTCTTTCCAACATCAAAACATCTTTTCAAATCTCAATCCAAAAATGGCATATCGAAACCAAGACCAAGATTTAGATGATCAAATCCCATTAACACCAGGAGTGAGTAATACGGCATCTAATCCATCTTACTTACGAAGAAATGAAAGTGAGAAATCTAGATTACAAGGTTTAATGGGAAAAGCAGATGATCGAAGAAGTATATTGAGTGTGAGTTCGGTAAGTCAAAACGGTCAATCGGCTACTTCTAAAGCAGATTTAAAGAAAGGTGTCTTGGTCGAATCTCGTTGGACTCGTTTTAAATCTTGGATGGTTAATGAAGGTGGTCGTAAGATCTTTACTTGGACTTGGATCTTTGTTCATCTTTTAGTCTTCACTTTAGCTTGTAAGCCTTTTTCTCAAACCATCTCTCTTTCTCTCTCGACACACTTTGATTTTGACTTTTAATCGGTTTTCTTCACAGTTCTTAATTTCCAATTGAAAGATAATCTCACCCAAGCTCGTTCAACCTTTTCAATCACTTACCCTATCGCAAGATCAGCTGCACTAGTCTTACACGTAGATGTAGCTTTCATCTTACTACCAGTTTGTCGAAACTTTATTACCTTATTAAGAAGATCAGCTTTAAACCATGTGATCCCATTTGAGAAGAATATCACCTTTCACAAATTCACAGGTTTCGCTTTAGCTTTCTTTACGGCTATTCATATTGCTGCTCATATGGCCAACTTTACTCAATTAGCTATCAAAACTCAAACTGGAGTCGTAGGTTTTATTGGTGCTAATTTCTTAACCGGTCCTGGTGCTACTGGTTGGATCATGACCATTGCTTTGGGGATCATGGTTTGGTATGCTAGAGAAGCTCCAAGAAGAGCTCGATTTGAACGCTTTTGGTATTCTCATCATCTGTTCATCGTCTTCTTTGTGGGTTGGCAATTACATGGGTTCGTGCTCTCTTTTTTCTCTCGAACGATTCCATAACGCATATTGATGATCTCTTGAACGGTTTCTTTGTGCAGAATGTTTTGTATGATTCAGCCTGATAGACCGCCTTACTGCTCATTCAATCAGATTGGTGTCTTTTGGAAGTCAGTCATTCAAACTTTTTTCTTACCTTGTCAATCATCACTTCAACTAACCAGTTCATGATTTTCCTACACAGATATTGGTTGGCCGGTGGAGTGATCTTCCTTTGGGAAAGAGTTTTACGAGAAGTTAGATCAAGACACAAAACTTATGTTTCAAAAGTCATTCAACATCCATCTCGAGTCTGTGAAGTTCAAATCAAAAAAGAAAAAACCGTGACAAGAGCAGGACAATATATCTTTTTAAATTGTCCTGAAGTTTCGTATTGGCAATGGCATCCATTTACCCTTACCTCAGCACCAGAAGAAGATTATATTTCGGTACATATTAGATGTGTTGGAGATTTTACAACGGAGTTTGCTGAAGCCTTAGGATGTGATTTTTCAAAGGTTTCTGAAAAATCAGGTGGAGAAGCTGCAGTAGTCAAACCACCTACTAATCGAGTCTTACCTAGAGTGATGGTAGATGGACCTTTTGGATCAGCATCAGAAGATGTATTCAAATTCGAAGCTGTGATCTTGTGTGGTGGAGGGATTGGAGTGACCCCATTTGCATCTGTTTTAAAATCGATTTGGTATAGATTGAATTTTGCATCGAAATCAGAACAACAACAAACTCGATTACAAAAGGTTTATTTCTTTTGGGTTTGTCGAGATTTCGATTCGTTTGAATGGTTTAAATCTTTATTACAAGCCATTGAAGAACAAGATTTAGAAGGAAGAGTCGAATTACATACTTATATCACACAGAAATTGAAGGATGATGTGATTAATAATATTATTGTTTCGGATGTTGGGGGTGGTAGAGATGCGATTACTCATCTAAGATCTCCTACTCATTATGGTCGACCGAATTGGGATCGTAAGTGGTTATTTTCCCGGGTTTATTTAATTGATCATTTTTCCTTACATGATCATCATCATCATCAAACTGACTTTGATTCTTTTGGATGGTGTTAGGTGTTTTTAATTCGGTTAGAGAAAGACATCCGGCTACTGATGTTGGTGTTTTCTTTTGTGGACCTGGACCATTAGGACATCAATTACATTTACAATGTAATAAATGGACTGGAGGTGAAGATGGTGATACTCGATTCTTTTGGGGTTCGTTAAGATCTTTGATTTTTGATAGTGTGTGTGTGTGTGTTTTGAAAAATCGACTTATACTGATCTTCTTTTTTTTTTTCTGAAATTTTGTTTAGGTAAAGAGAATTTTTGAGAAAAGGGTTTTTCCTTTCCTGTTTAGCAAAGTTTGAATTTTGAAGCATTGTGTCTTTTTTTATTTGTAAATCGGATGTTCTTTTCTTTTCTTTTCTTCTCATTCATCATCAATGAGGTTTACTTTATCTTATTAAGATAAATTTCATCATCTTGAAACTATGAAAAAAAAATTGTGGGGATCTTAAACCAAAGGAAAAAGGAAAAAAACTCAGGTTTATATACATACAATATTGATTTCTCTCTTATTTTTTGTTAATTACATGTTTTAATAGATTTTTTTGAGATTTTTTTTATATATCCTTTTTTGACAATCTTTTTTGACTTATTTAACATTTTTAATTCATTCATTCATTTATCTTTTTTATAAAGCTTTCATTCAAAAATCTTGGAACATTTAGGGTGTGTTTACTTAAGGAATTTCTGAACAGAAATCACATTCTGTGAATTTTTTAATATGAAAATGAGACATGCACTATCAAATAGACACTTTAAATTTTGCAGAATGTGATTTCTAAGCAGAAACTGCTAAAGTGAACATGCCCTTATATTCACCTCATTGAGTTTAATATACTTAGGAAGAGTTTTTCAAAGAAAACTTGTAAGTTATTTCTGAAAAGAGTAAAACAAATTGTTTAAATCCTTGCAGATGGAAAAAGAAACTTTTTTTTTTTTGATGAAAATACTTATACAGTTTGAGAGTATTGTATGATGATAATCTTTTTTTTTTTGCTTTTTTCACAATTATACACGACTAGCTGGAAAAAATATGTTTTTGGCTTAAAAGTACACATTTTTGAGCTTCATTTGAACAACATACTTTTTCTGGGTCATTTCTAGCTGCAAAAAAGAACAAAAAAGTTATACATGGAAAAGTATATAAAGCTTTGAGTACTGTGATTATCCTTCAAGCTTCTTATACTCTGATCCTCAAATTCCTTTTGAAAACAATTGGAATTTTGTCTTGTAATAAGATACTTGCTAGGGTTAAAAGTTGAGATTCATCCTTTAGAGTATTTAATCTGTGAAGAGCCTGAACAGATGGTCTATGTTTGTAAAAGAATTCAAACTGACCACAAAACTTTCACAAACCCCAGAAGATGATGTGTAAAGATTTTTAAAGTTCTATTTGGAGGAAAATCCATTCCCATGAGCTCAGAGAGTGTCAGGTCTATAGCTAATGAATCATTCAGTGACACTGACACTAAGGGCGCGTTCACTTAGCCGCGATTTCGTGAAATCACATTCAGGGACAGGGCTTTTCTACATGTAGAAAAGCGATTTTTGTACAAAAAACGAAATTTCACGTTTCATGACAAAAGTGGTCATGAAGCGTTTGTTTAAAGTCAAGTTAAGGACGGAATTCGTCTGTTGATCAGATCAATCGCTTTCTCATTTGATAATGGAAGCTGTAGAAGGTCAAAGGTGATCACACCTTCATGAAAGCTTCCTCTGTATCTCATTGGGCCAATCCATATATATTATTCAAAGCACTCTCTACATATATCTCGGAATGATGGTTCAAACGATTCTCATTGGTAAGATCTATAAATACACAATGTGATAGACTCGGAAAGATTTCCCTCCCTTCAGTATGGATTGAAGTTGAGTATCTAAATCAAAATAAATTATTAAAAAAGTCATCTACATAAAAAGAAACGATACCAAACAAGATGAGCTGAATAGAAAAGAGAAGACAAAGATCAGATGTCTCTACAAAAAGGCTACGAAATGATTAAATTGACCCATTACCAAAGCAAATGGTCGAGATCCTCCATTGTTGTTGTTTGTATTGATATTGATTTCATTGTCATATTAAAAGCATGAACTTGGCGTGCGTTTAGTCACTTCATAGTACATTTTGTATCATCATAAGCAGTATAGATATGTTTGTTGATTGACTTCAATGTGTATCGGTCAACTTGTTCATTGGCTTTGATCTTGTTTTCTTTGACTTCGACTGGTTTGTTGACTTTGATTGATTTGTTGACTGAGGTCGAGGTTGATTTTGATTTTGATTTAGGTGTGTGAATTTGACTTGAGGCAAGAATCAAATGAGCAAGATATTGATAAGTATAATTGAGGATGAGATCGATTGAGGACGGTGATTGAAGATGGCTTTTGATGAGTGTGGTGGATGTTGGATTTTCATAGGTTGGTGCGATGGATGGGACTTGATCAAGATTGGAGGGGTTCCGTACGGTGGAAGGTGCCTTGAGAAATTTCACCAGCTTGAGAAAGGATTCACAGAATGCGATTTCTAAAGGGAAGAATTCGATAATAGCAAATTCTTGAAAAGTCCCAAAAAATCGCTTTTTGTAAGCATTTTCTGATTTTTAAAATGCTTGTATTTAAGAAATCAAACGCTTTTCACAGAATGTGGTTTCTTGACATTCAAGAAAGCAATTTCTCAGGAAAAAGCGCTTAAGTGAACGCGCTCTCAAGCTTGCCTCAAAGTTGAGGCACTCTGATCAGCTGTGACAATCCAATATAGCTGCTTCATTTGAGTAATTGATTCAAGTTCATTATGTCCTATAGATATCAGAAACATGGGGATTATTCTACATAGGTTTAGCTTGTATTGGAAAACAATCTCTTTTTCATAAATCCTGGGTTATGCTTGTGTTCTGGGTAGATGGGTGGTAAAAGATTGAAGCTTCTTGCTTGCTGGGTTTTCACACTACAGTATATAGGATTCAAACATGTCTCATTTTGGTGTCAAAAGTTTGCAATTTGATTTTGGAAGTTTGCTGAAAACTCCTACATCTTGGTGTTACAGCCCCTACAGGACCCAGGAATGCTCTTGTAGAGGTTGGTGTCGTAAATTCCGACCTTGATTCTACGAGGTTTTTGGGTGATAGACACACTCGCCGACACTTCTACAAGGGCTACAGTAGCTAAAAAGATGCGCCTAGACGAGAGCTTTCGAATGAGCCTATTTTCAACCCTGTAGTACCCCTTTTCGCTGAGATATTGCAATGTAACAGTCAAAAATCGAAGGTCGGAATGGGGCCTTGGGGACCCAAAAAAAAATCGCGCCTTTGCGATTTACGCCGCAGTGAGCAAAGCGGTGCGGCTCTAACCTATATTTCTGGATAGCCCTCACCCATGCGCATCTTTTGAGGTGCTTTGCAGCCTGAGGCGAGCACTGGTGTGCAGTATAGAGCCCAAAAACCCAAAATCGGGTTTCGACACCAACCTCTACAGGAGCATTCCTGGGTCCTGCCCCTACAGGCTGTTGTGTGCATATTTTGGCCTATGTGTGTGAACTTGCATACAAATTCAATGTGGTGACCTGGTCAGTGCCACTGCTATTGAAGCCACAAACAACATTGTCTTGAAAGCATATTTGTTAATTTGAGCTGAGAGTTGCAAGGCAAACATAAAATGCCACTTATATACACTCCTACCATTCAGAAGATAGATTTCACTGTGTACCAATAGGCAAGAAGATTATCAAAACATGCAAGTTTTTTGTGTCCAATGAAATTTTGTAACATCACATGTTGAAGAGGATTAATACAGACATGTTTTCTCTTTGAATACAGGCACTGAATCTGCAGCAAATGTGCTTAAGCATTCCAAATTAAAAGTACAAGCATGAAACAAGGTACAAGTCATTGGCCCAGCAAGACAAAATTGGGACAATATTTTCAGAAAGAAAAAAAACTTTTAAAACATCAAAGTAAATGCTGTATTTTGATTTTTTGCTGTTACAGTCTAACTTTGAGTGTATGTATATTCAAAGGCTGACGGGCTGTGTGATATGTTTATTGTGTATAATAAAACTTGAAGACCAGTTCATAATCTTGCTCTGAATGTTTAGAAATATACCTCCAAGTCTATACAATACTTTTGATCATTTGCTTCATCTCTATCTTTTTTCAAGTTTGTTTTCTCTCCCTCTCCTTTCCAATAACAAGATGCAGATCATAAAAAGTTTCATCTGTGTCAACATTACAGCTCTATGGTGGTACAGCATTACTACACATACCTTGGTCATAAAGTCTGTCACAGCAAGAAATCCATGGGGAGAATTTCAATCAAGTGAGTGCCTATCCATCCAAAACAAGAAGTTTGTCTTTCAATTTATGCATGACATTTTACTCTTTGAATGACAACTTGTTCCTCCCACAAATAAAGCCAACGGAGCTTACAGGAGGGAGGTTACAGATCATTTGACTCTTCAGGATCTTGAAACCTATTTAGAAAAGACCCTAGAAGAAAGACAAGATTCTGAACCTTTCCTTTCTCACCAACATCCAGTATTCCATGATTGTCCTGAAAGAGATGGTAAGCTGTTTCAATGACCAGAGCAAAAGAAACAGTACAAGAAGGAAGTATTTGACAATAATCCTAGAGACTCTCAATGCTAGATTACTATGAACTCATAAATAGTATTTTGAAGTCAAAAATTGAAGAATGGCCTGGAATTCTCAAAAAGATTTTTAAGCAATATCCATTATACCAGGGCATCCATTTCTGGAGATTTATTGGTCAACTTTCTGAATTTATGTCAACCCCAGCTCTTCAAGTGACTTTGTTTGAATTGAATGAACAAAGACAAAAGGATTGGAATGGGTATGGATCAGGGGACAACTTTGGCTTGACCCGTAAATTTTTGGAAAGTGGATGGCATGAATTCATATTTCTAGATCAAGCAATATCCAGATGTTCAGATAACATGAAGAAGCATGTGACATCACTCAAAAATAACATGTAAGACATTTATGCAAGTTAGGAGTACTCATGTCAATTGACAAGATAACATTACTCTGCACTTGAATTTTTCAGAAAGTCTCAAAAAATTGTGGATATATTTACACAAGAAGCTCAAGAGGAATTGAGAGAACACAAGATTCAGCTTGAATACAAGTGGCCTGTACTTGAACAGAATGAGCTATATAGATACTGGATATTATGTGAGTCATACTAATCCCCATTCTATATGTCAAGGAAACTGAGATGACTCACTCGTCAAGACTTGGAGCTCTATTCAAAAGTGAAAGCTGATGTCAAAGGAATGTTGGAGACCCAATCAATTCTAACTGGGATGGTAAAGGGAGGAAAGATGATTTCCTTGAAAACATCTTCTTTACCTTATGAGCTGAGGCAACCTCTTGACAATTGGTTGATGAAGCGTGCCAATGAAGTTGCAAGTAAATTGGTACAATACATAAATCTTGCAGATGAGGAGTGGGTGAAAGTTCTATTGACACCAAATTTGATTGATTGGTTGACAATTTGTCCTTTGTGAATACAGACAGGTTTGGTGTTTTTTAATGTCACAAAAAAGCATAGCATATCCTCTCAGACTCCAGTGCAGAAGCTGTATAGATGTCAATCATATTCGGAAAGTCCTGACTTTTTGGTCAAACAGTGAGTCACCTGGTTCTTGAATATGATACTTGCAAATCCTTCTCTGACGCAACAAGTCTTTCAAAAGATATGGCCTTTTATCTTGAAATAAGATCCATGCCAGAATTTAAAATTGGTATCACATCCCTAGAGAATCTGATCAGGAAGTACCCTGAAAACACAGAGGCTTTAATGAAGGAATTCATAAAGGTTACAAATTTGTCAACAACCCAGAAAAACTTGATGCTTGGATTTTTAGAGTTTGTCAAAGAGAAACCCGATTCTGATGAGCTTAGGCCACTCAAAAGGATTGTTGAATATGGTTTAGAAGCCATCCACAATGTTACAGGTCAAAACAGGTTGAAGAAGAGGATGATGTCTAGTTTCAAGAAAGTCACTTGATATTTGGTTGTGATAAGATCCTTGTTTGGGCTCCAGAAGAGGAAGCAAAAGAGATCTTAGAATCCATTACAGTTGTGCTAACACTATAATCCAATCACGCTTGTCATGAGATCAATCATTCTTCATATATGCAATTGTGTTGAACACAATTCCCATGTGTGATTCCACACCATATGATACAAACATTGTAGCTAAATGCACATCTGATGATGCCAAATGGAATGATTGGGAAACGATCAGCATTGGATAAAACATCACTTCTATGAATCTTCCTGTCATCCAGTCACACAAAGTACACAGCTACATACTTTAAGTTCTACATGTATCTGCTGACATTTTACCAAAATTCAATGTGTTTTGCACAATGCACAATGTAACTACCCCCTGGACCATACCCTGAGACAACCCCATGATGAATAAGACACATGAATTTTTTTGCTATGATCTCTACATAAGGTCCAAAAAAAATTGTGAACAATCCTGTCCAGTGTCAGCTCAATACACAGAATAGCAGGATGCTGTCCAGAATTTGGAGAGGAAAATGGGAACTAGTGAAAAAAGTGTAACATAAACCTATAAATTCATGAGTCAGATATAGCCATGGTGCTTCACACATTGCTTCAACAACTCTCTTATGCTTTCCAGACTACATCATACATGCAATATGGCTTTGGTATACCCGCTGGAAGAGAAGAGTATTCCTGATGTCTTTCTATTTTCAAGTAAAGTCAATTCAGAAAAGCTTGTCATAAATCAGCATAAATCCCCCACCAATTTGCCAAAGTTTTGCAGGCATATTTAGCCAGATCCCAATTTGGTTAAGCTGTGGTGAATTGACTGTAGTTGTGGGCTTGGCATGGTACAAATAACTAGATGATGTATGTCTCTTCTTACCATTTTAGTTTTTCCTTAGAGCTGAATATTGTATCTGCTTTGTTTTGAGTAGAAGCTGAGATCAATCCCTTGTTCATGTAGTTCTACAGAACTATCAAATATAACTTGTTGATCAATTTTTCATCAATTTGCGCAATAATCAATTTTATCATTTTACAATTTTAATTCATCTAATCATTCATTTGCAGATAATGAGAAAAAGATCAAGACATCTGATTTTCTCGCATCTTTCTTAAAAGATCAGATAAGTTATAAAAAAACATCAAAAACATCAAATTATAATCTGAAATTAATTGATTGTATATTTAATTCTTCGAATCTATCAAACTATCAAGTTTATTAACTAATCCATCTATCCTATCTTCAACCAAAGTTAAATTATTTTTAACCAAACTTTCATTTTCTTGAATACTAAGTTCAACTCGATTTAAAATCTCATCTAATTCTTTCAATCTTTTTTCCACTTTCGTACTTGATCCTTCTAATTCATTTAAATTCTTCGAAAACTCTTGTGCATTCAAATGTAATTCTGATAAAGATCTTAACCTAATTAAAAGATGTGGTACTAATGGTAATAAAGGATCAAGTCTTGGTAAAAGATTATAAAGTCTTTCAAGTTTGTGTAGACTGTCAGGTGGTAAATTGATAGCTGTTTGTCCAGAGCTTGAACCGGTGGATAAGATACCTGGTACACCAGGCAAAGTAGTAGTAAGATGTTGGGGATGAGCATTAGTACTACTGGCAGCTTGGGTCACAACAGTGATACCAGATGCAAGAGCTAAAGATAACGGTCTATGATCCGATAATTTCCTTCTGGCTTCATGTACTCTTTCTAAATCGGTTACAATCACTTTTACTCGTCTTGAAACTGAATCCAAATGTCTTGGTTGGGTCAAAAGTGAAAGTTGATGTTCTAATTTATTGATTGTGACTAACAATGGTGGAGGTAAAGTCACATCTCCCGTACTCGAGGCTTGTAGTAGACTTGTTGAACCTAATAAGTTTTCTAGAGCATTTAGACGTGCATCCAGTTTGGCTGCACTGGTGTCTGATGAGTTTGGATTTGATGGTTTTGATTGATCTTCAGAAGATTTCAAGTTCGATGTGTGACGATTACCGTTGGTGAGTTGTTGTAATAGAGTCTTGGCATAGGCTTCGCGTTGTTTAAGATTAGTTACTAGATCAGAAGTAGGTTCGAATGAATCAACAGATGAAGATAATTTTCCTAAATCATCTCGCATGTGTTGTAATTGAGCTAGTAATTCAGCAGGTGATGGTTCAACTCTTGATTTTGCTTTCTTCGTCTTTGATTTTTCATTTTGAGATTCAATTGCATTAGAAGGCGGAGTGGAATCATCTTTCGATTCATTCGATGGATCTTGATCAGTTGTATCTTGCAATTTACGTTGTGCATCTTTTTCAAGTTCTTCTTCTAATTCTTCAATTTCATATCTTAATCGTCTCAAACGTTCTAAAGGAGTTTCTTGTTCAAGTTGTTGATTTTTGGTTGAAATTGAATAACCTCTTGGTATGATAGAATATTGATTGGTTTCAAATCCATTTCTAGGTGGTAATGGATATCGAGCAGAAGATTGACGAGGATTTGGTTTTAAAAGAGATGAAGAAAAATCTAAAAATCAAAATCAATTTCTCTACTCAAATAAGATTAATGAATGATAACTTACCAGCATGACTACCATCGATCCCCGTTGTGGTACTGAATCTTTTACGAGCCAAACTTTGATCTAATCCATTTTGATTGATATCTTCATTTAAAGCTGTATGACTTAAACTGGATCCATGATAAGATGGACCTTCACCATCTGAATCATCATCCCGATCATTTATCAATATACTTGAAACATCTGGTGTTTCATAAACATCAGGTGCTGTATCCTAAAAAGAAAGATTGGCTTCATTAGAGCTTGACTTATCAATCAGATTATAGATTATTGAAACTCCTGACTTACAATATCTGGTAAAGAAGCGTATTTGCTCATGCCTTCTTTCTTTCCTGGAGTCTTCAAGCTTTGATCTGGTGTCTTGATGTTTTGGAAGCTTTGGTGGGGTTTGAACAGTTTGAAAGGCAAATGACTTGAACTGAACTTCCTGATGTAACTTGGACTGTCACACAGTGACATCTCACGTTTCAAACTCAACTGTCACAGTTTGTCAAAATAAACTCGAGTCACGAATTCCTTCAAGCCTTCATCCAACCAGACCACTTCCTACCGCTTCATCTCTTCTTGACTCTTGAGTTCTTCTTGACGCTTGAGGTCTTTTTGACTCATCAATTTCTAACATCAATACAATCTATTCTAATCCAATTCGCCTAATCGTCATGACTATTTTCTTTACTTGACTTTTGGCAAATGTTTGTTTTCGAGACGAAGCACAAGGACACGAACGCAGCCGAGCAAGGGGCTTAGTCAAGCTCAAAGCACGCCATACCCATCTCTCTAGTTGATGTGGAACTTGAGACGTCACTTCAGCTCCGTATACCAAGCTGTGCAACCTCTGTCCTGTCGATTAGTCCCACCTGTGGCTCACACAACTATGAGACAGCAAGAAATCAATTTTGCCCTTACACTAGATCCTATCTTTGTATTGAAATCACGTCAGAATTCAACTATGATTTGAACGATGGCTACGTCCATGTTTGAAAAGTGACATGAATGTTTCTGAAATAAATAAGCAAAGGTGGTGATACTTGTGAGGAGTTCAAACTTCAGTTACCACTCTGCTTTCTTCAGTCTTACATAATTATCTTATTATAACATTGGCCATATCAGGACATTGGTACGACTTTAAACAGAGAGGTCGATATAAATCTCAGAGCTCAATTTGACTGCGACGTATCACAAGATGATAAGTGATATAATTTTTGAATTCGATCACTTTCTTGTAGTCATGCCACACGAGAATCAACCGGAATGATCATTGAGAAGGACAGATTTGGGGATTGTTTCTGCACTAAGTGGATGACTCCGGATTCAAGCGAGGAGAGATGACAACTTCGGAGTTCATCATCCGCTTCCTGATGTGATGTGAGGGATCCTGATTGATGCTTTCCGTGATCACCATCAAGATTATCGGCGATCTTTATTCCTTTGACAACCAAAAATTCGACATCCTGGCCAGCTTTCGAGGTTGATCATTGACTTGTTCAATTTCGCCATCGTTTCCTGAATGATTATGCTTGACTACCTTTTCATAGAGCATGGGTTATATCAGAGAAAGATAAATATAAGACTTTTATACTTGCTTTTAATTTGGAATTCCCACGTTCTTGATCAACTTGTGCTTGGAGAAGCAACTCTTTCTCCTCGAAGCTTCAAGTACGTAGAACAAGGTGAAACGGAGGGGAAGCTAGTGGATCAAATTGTGACTGGTAAGTATCTCTTTAGTGAAGTCTCGAGGCCAGGTCCAAAACGTGGGGAACCATACTGATCTTGTTCTTGTTTTTCACCTACCTCACTTATCAAAAGGACAAAGCTTTAGTGTCCTACGCCCTCCACGAAAGCTTGAAGGAAATGGAAAGCCGATTTCCATTATCTTTGAATGTTTCCAAGTAGGATTGTACTAATATCTATATATGTCGAATATATCAAACTTCACAGATCCAGGATTGAGTGCCCCTCTTCTTGATGTATCAAAAAGCTTGAAGAGAAGGCCCACTTTCAAAGATTTGATTCAAAATGAAGAATTAAAAAACGCTCAAATCGAAGAAGCAGAAAAGGAAACACTCGAGATAGAAAAACTCTATAAGCACCTTATGCATCCTCCGGATCATCTTTCACCCGAAACATATGAAGCTTTCACTCCGAAGAAAAGGGTCACTAAAAAACTAAAACCAAATCAAATTCATGAACTTGGACACAGCGAACTTATATACTATATATCGAATTTTAATAAAAAGGTTAAATTAAGCAAAGAGAGATGGAAAGAAGCAGAACGCTTAGAAAATGCAGCTGTAGACTCACTTTATCAAAAAGCTGCAATTTTTTTTACAAATCATATCAAGTCTGAAGATAGAGAACTGGCTTTAAAGAATAAATTGAAGCAATTGAGAGAATTCGTAAAACGCCGTGCACCACATAATATGGATGATAAGGAATTACATCAAACTATTTTGAGAAATCTTGTAATCGATCAAGGATGGACATTCAAGCAGGTAGAATACGCACATAGACAAACACAAGAATTGAAGCAAGAAGCATTTTGGTTAGCCAAAAAATATATTTCTAGTGGTAAGTGAATCTCAACTCCAAGTCTGAAAAATTAGTGAAAAGATCAAATCGATATCCGAGTGTTTATCTCGATCATCTGATCTGAACAGCGTTAAATTGATTTCTATCTCCAAAAACTCCGTAGGCATGGAACTCTTGGACAGAATTAAATTCTCGATGAGAAAATTCTTCAATTTCAAGTTCAGCTTCAAATGGCCATGGAAAAAGTCAGCTTGAGCTACTCGACGTGGACATATCTGGATCGAATCTTCAACGATTTTTTGAAAATCTCGGTCATCATTACAGGCTGTTGAAACTTGCATTGAAACTGAATACCCTTTTCCAAATGTATGTTACTGTACCTCCAAACCAAAAGGTCTACATTTCAACCAAAAGATGTTCTAAGTCATTACCACAGAATATCTTTATTTTTTCTTGCTAAAATAATTTATCATCACATCCACCATGGAAGAAATGTATATGATCTTGTAAATGACATAAATTTAAAGCATGTTGATTCATTCAATCTCAATCCCTTCTCATTCCTAGAGGAATTTATTTAATTTGAAAAATAAGACACCTTGGGCTCAAAACACTCATGACAGTTCCAATGTGCATATTCGATGGATAAGAGGCAAACACGCTTGCATGGGGGCTTAGTTATGCTTACAATCGCTGCCTTCTCTCATTGCTTACATGCGGTTCACTTTTATACCTCTTGATCCGCCTATGATTCTGGTCTCAGCTGAATCATATTGGCCTTTGGATCAAATTCCATATGAGGCCTTTTGTCTATATCTCTTTTTCCTTGAGACAACAAGGAATCGATTTGACCCTTACACTAGATCTTTGTTTTACAAGGATCACGTCACAATCCAAGGATGACTTATATGAATGCTATGTTCATGATTTAAAAAGGGCGTCAAAGTTTCTGAAATAAATCAGGAAAGCGTAAGTGATACTTGCGAGTTGCATGACGAGTTGACACTTCACTTAATAGGGGTTGGGCGAAAAAGCGACCAACCGGTTTTGAAACCCAATTCAGTCGCAGTTATCAGACAACCCCAGGACAACACGAGAGGAGAAGGACAATACAGTTTTTAATTTTAGTCGTTTCCTTGTTGTAGTCATCTCAAACGAGAATTTTTCGGAATGATCCGACAGAAGAAGGGTTGTTTCCCCACTCAGTGGATCACTTCGGGTTCATCTGAGGAGAAATGGCAACGTCGCAGTTCATCATATGATTCCTGATCGATTCTTTTCGTAATCACTATCATGCTTGTCGCAAGTATTTATTGCTTTCTCGACCATCTAACATCCCGGCCAACTTTCGAGGTTTAGAACCACATATAACCACTCAATTCATCACCGCAACATTTCACAAGATGAAGGTCGACTATTTTTCTATAGATCATGGGCCATATCAGAGGAGAATCTACAGGACGCTTTTATACTTACTTTTCATGTGGAATTTGCACCTGCTTAATCAACCTTTGCTTGAAGGGCTACCTCTCTTTAATCGAGGCTTAAGCGAGTTGGGAGAAGCTAGAGGGGAGATTGAGCTAGTGAGTCATGGTGTGACTGGTATGTTTCTCCTTTCAGATGATGAAGTCTCGAGGCTAGGTCTTGAGATATCGATCCTGATCTTGTTTTTCACCCGCCCCACTCATCAACAGATTCACCGAAACATAGCCCAACGGGCCCTTTACAGCCACTTGAAGGGATTGGACAGCAGAGTAAGTTGTTTTGTCCGTCGATCTCTATAAGTCTACTTCTACTGACATTTATATACACAAATATGTCACATTCCACGGTTGTAGAACTCAGCGATTCCTCTTTAGCTCCAGAAACAAGTCTAAAGGAAAAACCCACTTTGAGGGATTTGTTCAAAAAAGAAGATGAAGAAAAAGTTCAACAGGACCAAACAGAAAAGGAAACGACTTCAATAGACAGACTATATAACTACCTTACCAGTCGTCCAGATCATCTTCCAGCAAAAACCAATGAAGCTTTCACTCCAAGGGGAACGGTTACTAAAAAACTCGGAGCAAATCAAATTGAGAAACTCAAAAACAACGAACTCATAGATTATATATCACAATTCAATGGACAAGTTAAACTAAGTAGAGATAAATGGAAAGAAGCTGAAGATGTTGAAAAGTTCTCTGAAAGGTTGGTCTATCATGAAGCTGCAACTTTATTTTTAAAACGTGTCACAACTGAAGACAAACCAACGGCTCTGAAAAATAAATTGAAAGAAATGAGGGAATTTACAAAGAACCGTTTACCCTATAAGGCAAGTGAAAAAGAGTTAGATCAAAGGGTTTTAAGAAACTTTATCAAGGATCAAAAAGAATGGACATTTCAGGGTGTCGAAATAGCTCATCTTAATACAGAAAAATTGAGGGAAGACGCATTTTGGCAAGCCAAAAAGTATATCACTAGTGGTAAGTGAGGTTTAATTTCAGGATTTACAAATCAGATAAGAAATTATATGAAAATTCAGGTGTTTACTTCATCTATATAAAATTCATTTCAAAAAACTTTGTAGGTATGACACTGGTGGATAAGGTTAAGTTCACGATGAAGAAATTCCTCAATTTCAAGTTGAACTTCAAATGGCCTTGGAAAAAATCAACTTGACCTGATACCCATGAAGAGTGCTGGATCGACTCTTTGGACAGGTTTCAAAATCTTGATTGCAAGATAGATATCTGAATAACAAAATTACAATAAGTATCCCTTTCCAACTTTATCTCCGAACAAAAATCCTCATCAAAATGATCCTTGAATCATAATGAGGTTATCTTATTTTGTTCATCATTGGAAGTGATTTCCATAAAATTGTTTCAACAAACACCCTGCAGTTCTTCTCATCAAAATAATCTTTGATATCATTCTCCACAGACACAATGTATATGATCTTGTAAATTACACAAATTTAGCACTTCTTCCTTGATTTAAAAAAACAAGATATCCTGTAGGATCAACCTGAAGTCCAATAATCAGATCTGATTGGTACTAGCGGAGAATCTTGAGACACCTTTGCCATCAGTCATTAATGAAAATACAAGTAGATTTCCAGTTGCATTGATCTGCCACTTCTTTTGGTTTCCTCCCACAATTATGATATCTAGGCTTTTGCATGCTGACCTTTTGGGTATCATAGAGGCTTTCACTTGAGGAATTTCGGGTCACATCCCCAGGAACAAGGGCATCCATAGTATCCATAAACAGAAATCTTTGTAGCTTGAAAATGCCATAGACATATTCCTTGGATTCCTCTTTCACTGTGGTCAAAATACATAGACTCCTGGGATTTCAGCTTCTAAGCACCTCAGGGGCAGTTGGCAATGATATAGACAGTTTTCAACAACCCCTTGAGCCATACATATTCTATCAGAATCATTCTCCCACTTATGCATTTCAAGTGCCAGTATTCTTACATTTGGTCCTGAAGTGACTAAATATTCATGCATACTTTGATTGCTCCCATTTCAGTACACATACCCCCTTGAAACATCATACAATGTCACTGACCTGTCTTATCAGGGGAGATCTTTTATATCCTTCTTGAGAAATATTTGAAACTTGTTTTTGGGGTCCCTTGTAGAGTTTTCTGAAAGACCAGCTGAAACAGAATAAATGCCCAATCCCATTTTGGGGACATGTTAAGATTGATAACAACCAGATGGGGTTTCAGATCTTAACCAGCATTTATTATTTTGTCATTGAAAATTCCCACAACCTTTTCCCTTCAGGTTCAAAACTTCATCTTTAACTGGTCCATGCCCATCATCTACTCAAATCACAATATAATACTATTCCATGGATTGTGTACCATACCAGAGGTGTTTTATGCAACTTGCATACATACTACTGATATGGAATGCTGACACCCTTGGTCAACCTCTGAAAGGCAAAGAACAAATATTCCCTCAAGGCTTGCATGAGATGGAGGATTTCACAGAGCAGGTTGATCTGAGGAGTCAATTTGGGACTGGTAAGGTTCTCCTCTAGTGAATTCCCAAAGCCAGGTCAGGTAATTCTCAGAATCAATCTTGCTCTTCTGTCTCACCAGCCTTACTGCCAACAGATTTACAAAGACCAAATCCATCAAGCTCTCTGCAACCACTCCAAATGAATGGAAAGTGGCCCGATGTTCCTTGTCCATCAATGTCTCAAAGTTAGATTGTGCTGATGTTGATATATGCACATATATTTTGTGCAACTTTGCAGGCTTTGAATTTGGTGATTCATTTTGTGATTCAGAAAGAAGATTGAATGGAAAACCCACTTTGAGATTTTTATTCCAACAGGAAGATAGAGAAAACACCCAAAAAGAAAAATTACGAAAGGAAAATGAGGCAATGCAAAAACTTTACAATAAACTTATGAACCCTTCAGATCATTTCTCGCCAGCAACATATGATCTGCCAAGTCCGAGGAAGAAGGCCACTAGAAAACTGAAATGGAGTCAAATTGAGAAACTCAAGCCCAATGAGCTTATAGATTATATATCAAACTTCAATAAGCAAGTCAAATTGAGTAAATATGAATGGGAGAAGGCAGAAGATGCTGAAAGGTTTTCTGAGGAATCACTATATCAACCAGCTGTAACAAGATTTTTAAAAACAATCAGAAAGGGAGATAGACCAATTGCCTTGACAAATAAATTGAAACAGATAAGAGAATCAACAAAAAGTATTTCACCACCAACCATAGATGACACAATACTAGATCGATTGGTTTTAAGAAGATTTATAAAGGATCAGGGATTATCACTTGATGAAGTAGATAAAGCTCATCAGTATTCAAAATCACTACAACAAGATGCATTTGAATATGCAAACAAACATATCACCAGTGGTAAGCAATCAAGTATCTAAGTTTGAACAGTGGATAAGAAATGAAACTAAAATTTGGGTGTTTATTTTACTCACATATGTCACCTTCATTACCTTGATTGTGATTTGCAACCTTTGAAGGTATGAAACTCTTTGATAGGATTAAACTATCAATTAAAAAATTATTCAAGTTCAAGTTTAATTTCAAATGGCCATGGAAAAAGTTAGCTAAAGCTAATCTCAAAGATGTCAAAATATCCTGAATTTGATGCATGAATCACCTGGTGATATCTTTTTGCATATTTATGAACAACCTGAAATCTCTAGAAGCCCATCTAAGAATGGCCCACATGTTATTCATGGGATATCACAACATAATTCTTTGCTTTTCATCAGAAGGCATTTTCATAAGCTGTTTCTCTAAAACATATCTCAAGTCAAGCTTCCTTGATAATCTTTCATCACATCCACCCTTCAAAAAACTGTATTCAAGCTTCTTTTGCCATTCAAGCACTGCTCATGGTGATTGTCTCTTCAAAAGAAGACATTGATCAACCCAGAAGCATTCACTTATCAAAATGTCATAACCTTGTAAGAATTTCCATCCAGAGGTATAAATTGATTTCATCTGTGACAATATAACACATCTTTAAGGATAACAAAGACATACCAATGAAGATAAAAAAGTCATTGTTCCTTGATGACCTGCCATTTAATGACTCTAAGAATTTTAACTCATTCAAGTTTGAAAAACTTTATCAAACAGAATCAACTTCTCAAAGCAAAAAAAGAGAGACCATCAAAGCAATGATTTAAGAGAAGAATTACTGGACATCTTTGTATATTCTTAAGCCATAAAATTGTATTTCATGAGCTCTTAGTGACCAATGAGCAAGCCTTTACCTTGCCAAAACATTCAAATATACCAAGTACCTAGATCAAGATCTAAAAATTATTTTTAGCTATGACTTTACTCCGGCAGCCCGTTTAGAGCACTACTTATTCTTGCAGTCAAAGTTCCTCAAGTTTTGCTTGGCCAAATTGTAAAATCAATTGGTTCCGTTCACGAGGCATGAATATTTCTTTAGGAAATCCCTGATCAGACATTAACCGAATGATATTTAGTTGAGAAAGTTGAGGCGTTCATAACTCTGAAAGTTCAAAGGCATGAAGAGAATTCCAAGAAAATTCCACGTGGAGCGTAACGTTTCTTGTGCTTGAGGGGACTTGATTCAAGATTGGAGGTGCACCTGCGAGAGAAGCAGGACGTTGAAATTGTGAAAGAAGTCTTGATTTTTAGTCGGCAGTGCAACAGCTGAGGAGTAGCAACGGTTGCAAGGCCGTGAGTCAGACCCAAACTCCCTCTTGCTTGAAAGGTTTTTCCTCCGGGTCAGGTTTCAGGGTTTAAGTATTTTATGGGCGTGATTGATCAATCAGCACACCTGATAATTGATCCCTTCCTGATGTAGTCCGACGGAAATTTGAATGCACCGAATAGCCCTATCTTGTTTGAGCAAAGATAAGTTCACACATTTGACTTCCCTCTTCATACTCCCTGGTCACCGTTTCGTCGCATCTCCATTCTTTCTTTACTTCTTCAATCACCTCCGGTCAACCCCTCAGACCTGTTCATAAAATAAAAACTCTACGGCTTCCGTAACTAGACATCAATTACATCTGGATTCTCTATCACAATCTGTATCCAAGAATGAAAATTTTGATACTACTCAGTATATTTCTGAAGCTTCATTCGCACGTCTTTGCTCACCCTGCACTGAGTGAGGTAATCCATGGTGCAGTAGGCGCTGATGATCTCGGTCGAGGTGCAGGTGAAATTGGCGAGTTCGCTACTCATGGACGTCCTGGTGTGTATCTCTTCCGGTGAACTCCGGATCAAAAATATATATTCCTTCTGTTAAAGAAACTAACATTCTACTTGTTTGAACGTTCACCTTTCTTCACCAGCACTTCAGAGTAAAAATTTATTACGTCCTCTAACATCGGGCGCAGGAGATGGAAAGCAAAGTGACTGGCAATGCTCACTTTTATCTAAAATTAAATGGTACTGATATTGAAACTAGCATCGAACGCGTTCATCTTTTCTAGGTCCAGAGATCAGTGACTCACTCTTCGGTGGAAGAGCTCAACAAAGTTCAGCTTCAAAGGATTCATCGTTGGCTCACAATTCAGGACTCGTCACAGACAAGAACGCTGCGGATATCTTTATTCACAAGCCTCCACCGACTTATGTACCACCTACCTACATAGAAGTCAAAACTGGTAAAATACTTCCTAGTATACTCAAACCTGACCAAATTGGAAAGCTTAAACCTGAACAACTGGTAGAATATATATCAAATTTCAACACAGAAGTCAAAGCTAGTAGGGACACCTGGCGAGCAGCAGACCAAGCAGTCAAAAAGGCCGAAGATACCCTTTCCCATGATGCTCTAAAGGCTTTTGCAGAGAAAAATAAAGCGTCAAAGTCTCCTGAGACCGCCGATCAAGTTCTTCAACGAATCAAAAATGGACTAAGACAGCAACTTTCACTTGCGACAATTGACGAGGGTGTTGATACGCTTGCCTTGAAGCAATTTTCAAGAGTGCTGGGTGTCTCCACAGAACACTTGGATTCTTCCATCAAAACCGCTCGGGAGGCAAAAGCGAACGCTCTCAAGTTAGCTGAAATGCGTAAAACAAGTGGCAAGTAATTCTCACTTGATTCCGAGAATTCGAACAAAGCAGTAAGAGTCAGCTTGTATACTTATCATGCCTTTTGTGGGTGCGCTCTTTTCAAAAAAAGGTTATCCATTCATGGATAAGATGAAAGCAGCTATCCAAAAACTCTTAGCTAAAGTCAATTTCAGATTGCCATGGAAAAAGCCTGCTGAGCCTCCTGCGAAATGGAAGATACCTATGTCGCGAAAGCTTTCTACTCAATTTGGCCGGTATTTCGAGGAAGGTGAATTGAGAGGCACATAGCGACGTCAACAAATTTACATCGGCATGACGCGTATTGTAGCATACACATTATAGATGATGTTTCTTTCTAACATAATGAGTCATGACGCGTTGTATTATTTTCAATGGTTCCGTTCTCTGTGTTAGATTGAGGCTCTCGATTGCCTAGACCGGGAGGAGCCACTGTGGGACGGTTCACTGAGCGTCTTTCCAGCTCCACACGGACTCGGCCGATGTGCGTTTTCAACTTGCAGTGCTTTCTCTTGTCCATGAAGGTTCGACTGGTGCAAAGCTTGCACTTCCAGTGTCCCATTTTTGTTCCGGATGTAAATTGCACAAAGTCTAGGGACAAAATATAATACCCATTGATAATGGTCCAGATAGACGTGATTCAAAAAAAAACCTACATTCATCGGAACTGGCTTGAGCCGAAGTTACAAACCCCACAGACATTGTGCTCTGTGTTGGTGCGTGTTATACTCTTCAAGGGTGCAACAAAACCAAACCGTAGGTAAGATTTAAGGAACTGTTAAGGACTTAAGGAAAAGAAACCTCACGGACAAAAGCTTTGGAAAGACTTAGTGACTAAATGGATTGACTAGATATAAATATTGAATCAAAGGTAGATAGGCAATGTGAAGATAGGCACGAGGATTCCAAAGACGAGTAATTATAACTGGTAGGGCCTGGCTATTAAATTGCAACACAAAGAGCGACTCTATTTATAGTACAAATGAAGAGAGTCGATACGCTGAAAAATGAGAGAAAGTGTACTAAAGGCTACGAAGTAGGGTTCTACTTGCAAAAGATGGGGACCCTAAAAGTCCTTTAACCAACTGCCAGCTTTCTCGGCTCAGCCTCCTTGCTTGAGGCATTCGTCGAGATTCATCGCCAAAGCTTTTACGATGATCTCGAGGCTTGGTCATTCTTGACTTAGATGCCTTATGCAGTCTATTGGAGGCTATTCGCATCTCGAGGCTTATCTGATCTGGGTAAGTCTCGATTCCCCTTGCGTACTTCCTCTAGCCTGACTCAGTCACATATGTGCCTGTTGACTCGGTAGGCATTGTTCCTCCGACGGCCCGCGTGACCTAGCGTCAAGACTCGGGCGACTTAGACAGTAGACTTAGGTCTTAGGCGGCGGTTCAGTGAGCCTTTTCGCGAGATGTGCCATGTGGTCCGTGGACGAGTAGACGGTCAACTTCATCACTCACGTCCAATTCTTGTCGATTGTGTTCCTCTTCAAAGAGAATCTCCCTCTATAGCTACGAGCTTCTTCGATCCCAAGTAACATTGGACGTAATCCCCAGTCTACCCTGACATTTTCGGTTTATCGAGCTTTGAGGATAAGAACAAAAATATGTCGCAGCGAAGATATACAAAGCTGAACAGAACGAAAGAAACACACGAAGCCACTCATGCCTCGGTCATCGTTGACGATGTTTCAAAATGATCAAGGACTTCGATAATTTTGGAACTCGCCTGAATCTAACGTGTTCGACGGACTCAGGTAGATCGGCATTTTCCACTCGGTCTTGTCGTGCATCATATTTCACATTTCTTGCGCACGCTGTCTCTCTCTCTCCATTGTATCGATACCTTTACATCTCCGGAATCCTCGCTCATAACTCGGTAAATAAATAAAATCGATATCTCAAATTGACTAAAAATCAGTTCTAGAAGCATTTTTCAGCATTTTTCACTGCACACAGATCTGGATTGTATCACGATCGGCATCCACAAATGCAGCTGTTAAAACTGTTGATACTGTTATTCCTGTCTTTGAAGTTCAACTCTCATGTCTTTGGTTACCCTCTCATGACAGTGGGCAGCGAGATAACCCATGCTTCTCTGGGTGGTCTGGGCCGAGGCGCAGACGAAATTACCGATGCTGCAACCTTTGTAAAGCCTGGTATGTATTGGTGTCTTTCGATGATCATCCAATGTGCGATATCTATCGCTTCTGAGGGAGAAACTGACAGAGTTTTGACCCGTCTCTTTTATCGACAGGACTGCAGGGCGATCATGCCCTGAGTTCTTCAGCTTTGAGTACAGGGACTGGAAAGCAAAGTAACTGAGACCGTTCACTTCGATTTAAATCCACATTGCAATAACATTGGAGTGGAACTAACAATCATCAAACTTTTGCATCTTCTGCAGTTCCAGAAGTTACTGACTCACTTTTCGATGGAAGGCAAGGTCAAACGTCAAGGGACGCATCATTTTTTGAAAATCCGACGCCTGTCACAGACAAGCCTACCGCGGATATCTTTTTTCGCAAACCCACACTTCCTTATAAACCCCCCACTTACAAGCAAGCAGTCAGCGGTCAAGTACTTCATAGTAGACTTAAACCTGAGCAAATTGACAAACTTCAACCCGAAGAACTTGTAGAATACTTATCAAATTTCAACCCAGAAGTCAAAGCTAGTAGAGAGGTTTGGCGGAACGCAGACCAAGAAGTCAAAGACGCTGAACTTGAACTTTCTAATGCTGCTTGGACCGAATTCCAAGTGAGACATCCTGTTCCCGGAAAAAATCTTGACGACCTATTGAAAGAAGCAAGAGAGGCAGAAGCCACTGGCATAGTGAAGATTCCGGAGAATGCAAAGGCGGATATCGAAAGTCACAGAGCTGAAATGAGACGAATCGCACCGAGCTCTGCAAAGGATGAGACTCTTGACAAGGTTTTCGTCAGAAGACTTGCAGAATATTACGGAATATCAACAAGAAAAGTAGACATTGCCATCCAGGATGCGAAAGAAGCGAAAGATGATGCTATCATGTTAGCTGAAATGCGTAAAACAAGTGGTGAGTAATTCGCTCCGAGTCTTTAAAATCTCACCAAAGGAATGAATGTTGAATTCATATTTCTATCACGTTCTTCGTGCTGCTCTTCCAAATACCAGGCTATCCACTCATGGACAGGATGAAAATATATTCTCAAAAACTCGCAGCCTCTATCCAAAAATTCACCGCCAAATTCAGCTTCAAATGGCCATGGCGAAGGTCTGCTGCTCCCAATACTCAGAATCAGCCTTTTCGTTTGAGTCAGGACCAGCGAGCAGCTTTACGGCAAGGGCTTCGTCGTAACAGAAATTCGCAGTAGATCTGGTTAGTTCTTTCATCCAGAATCAAGCGTGGCAAGACTCTGTGCTACAAAACAGTTACATATATATATAATCTTAAGGGAATGGACTTTTATCAATGGTCATTTTTTCACCAAAATTAGCAGGTCTACTATGAATATCTTTCCAATTTGTTCCTTGACACTTGAACATTGTATCTTGAATTGTATCACTGGTTTTCGTCCTATGGTAATCAGACACGTTTCCAAAATATGATACCAAAACAATCCTGACCCTTGAAGTTGAATGAGGACAAGCATGATTAAGAGGTGATGCTGCATAGTTATGAATACAAGTCATTGTGGATGGAAGACACAAAAAGGACATCCATTCATTACATTCTTGATTAAGATAGTAAAAAACTGACACTGCCACGAACCAATCAATATTTCATTGATGCCCTCATAAACTCTGTCCCAAGCGACTTTCCTTTTCTGTCCATCTTCTCCAGCCATACTAGCTCTGATGTTACCCAGATTCATTCATAATGTAGCTACATGATGTCTTTTGATCACCTGCTCTCTGAAGCCGAAAGCATCATCTGATTCTTAGATTCTGGACCAGCATCATACATAGATGCGAGTGTTACAGAAGACACGCTGGCCTTTTCAGGAGGCGTGTACCACTGGGTTTCTACGCAAGTTTTTGACTTTTATATCTATAATGGACCACAAATCTGGCAATTCATCTGGCTCTTTTGTTTCGCATTGTGCGCATGAGGCATCCAGAACTGTTCAGGTCGCCTCGAGTAGAAAAAACATGAAAAGTCTGTGAAAGATTTCTCAGTTATTGCGATAAATCAGCTCCAATTCTAGCCTTGGGGTTGGTGGCTGAGGCGATCACCAACCACTTAACAGCAAGCTGATTGAGCTCTGATCAGTATCACCGATGCGGAAATGAATAGAACAACGTAGTGAAAGGCCTGAAAGATAAGGAAAGACCAGACGGTGCTAGAGTCTTGTCCAGCTTGACTTTTGTTTTGTTGGAGAGGGAATGACGTGATGCGAAATGAGGGATGTAGACTCATAATCTGCACGGTCGGTACAAATCAAAAGGTAAACGAAAATTGAAGCCGTTCACAGTCAAAAGCGTGCCCACTGAATTAAAGCGAATTATACGCATTCCTATCAGGAGTGACGACGGTTGACAGGACGGCGGCGACTTCCACCTGGGCTTAACAGTCACTTGGAAGGTTTTCTCGCGTATCAAGTTTGAGGATTTGATTATGTTTTCATCTGTGACTCATTCTAGTGCTCCTGATCTTTGATACTTCCTGAAGTATTCCGAAGAAAGTAGGACCCATGAAATTAATTAAATCAATAGTAACTTGTTTGAGAAAACAAAGTAGATCATCATTGTAGCTATATCTTTTGCGTACCCCCCTGATCAGCATCCTCGCCATTTCATCCCATCTTCATTCCTTCGTTACGCGGTGACCCCAAGTCCGACCCTCACCCCATAAGTTGTTCATAAATCGAAATCAATCTTTTTTAGCCGCATTCTATAGCTTCTTCCACTGGACACCAATTTCAACTCTATCGCCATTGGCATCCAAAGATGCAAATATCAATACTATTATGCATGTTTCTAATGTTAAAGTCTCGCGTCCTTGGCTACCCTGCACTCGGTGAGATAGTCCGTGGTTCTGAGAATGCGAAAGATCTGCAAGCTGCAGGTGAAATCAGTAACATAGCCACTCATGGACGACCTGGTTTGTATACCTCTTGAATTCCAAAGTTATCTGTGTTTTCTGAGAAATTGTTTTGACAAAATTTGTTCGCACGCGCGTTTTCATTGATAGGACTCCAGAGTGAAAATGCATTTCATCCCATAACATCAACCGCACCAGATGGCAGTAAGTGGCACTATTCACTAGTTCCTAAATCGACATTTGTACTGATATTGAAACTAACATACATCAATCACGTTGATCGTTTGTAGCTCGAGAGCTTGGCTCACTCTTTGGAGGAAGACCTGCACAAGGTTCAACTTCAAAGGATGCCTCAATTGTTCACAATTCAGGATTTGTCACAGACAAGAATCCAACGGATATCTTTGCTCACAAGCCTTCACCCCCTTATGTGCCACCTACTCACAAAGATCCCATCACTGGTGAATCACTTCAGACTATACTCAATCCTGATGCAATCGAGAAATTGGAACCTGAAGCACTATTAGAATACATATCAAATTTCAACCCAGACGTCAAAGCTGCTAGAGACGCCCTGCGAGCAGCAGACCTACAAGTTGAAAAGGCCGAAAACGAACTTTTCAAAGATGCTATAAGTCAATATAAACGGAATACTGAACCGCGAAGCAAAGCAACCCTCGCACAACTCTTCAAGGAATACGATGAGGCCAAGATTCCAGCCAGTGCTAAAAAAATCATCGAACAAATCAAACGTGATTTCAAACCAGTCGTTCCTGCTGGTACAACTGACGAGCAACTTACCAAATTAGCTATGAAGCAATTTGCAAAAGATCAACATGTCTCATTCAGAAACTTGAAGCTTGACACTGAAACCGCGGAGGAAGCACGGCATAGAGCCCTAGAGTTAGCTCGTTTGCGTAAACAAAGTGGTGAGTAATTCTCTCTTGATTTTAGAAATTCCAATCATAAACGAATCTAGGTCACGCTCATATCTATTTATCACTATTTTTGTGCTTTTCTCAAAAACATTCAAGGTTATCCAACGGCCAAGATCGAATCATCTATCAAAGATTTCTTACCCAAAGTTGACTATCAATTACCGTGGAAACAGCCTGCTCTTCCTAATCCTCGTGCGGGAAAGTCGCCATCTTTGACCCGACGAATTCATTACTTCTTCGCTCGCTTTCACCCTTCAATATGATTTTTTTCAGGACTGGTTCTCCTTTCCTTCAACAAAGTTGAACAAGTTGTATTTTCAACACAATGGACTTCTGATTATAGGCTTCTAGGGAAAGTAGCTAGTCTACATCACATACTTGTTGTTCAATTAGTTTCTTAACACTCGAACATTGTATCACATTCTTTCATCATTTGCTTACTAAGAACTTACACTTTCGTCAGAGACTCAACTTTTATGTTTGAATACAGACAAGCATAATTGAGCCCGCCACCCCACTTTCCTAGATGAAATCATGAGCCAGTCAGGACTATGCAGTGAACTCTCTTTTTTATTGTTAGACCAAAGTATGCCAAAAGCAAATACATATCTGTCAGTTCCGACAACCATAATAAAAGTGAACAAATGAATATTAAATGTATACTAATACAATTCATCTACTCTTCACCTTCCAACCAAACCAAACCACATATTTTGGGTGTGAAAGATCAAGTTTCAAATCTGAACGTAACCCATCGAGATCCACTCTAAAAATCTTCCAAAAAGGCAACTTGATCCAACTTTCAACAAATAATCTCATCACTTCCTCTGATCTTAATTGTGAAACGATTAACACTAATGTAGCCGATCTACCGTCTGATGATTGAGGTTTAGCAATATGATCTAAAGTATGAAGAAAAGGTAAGATGAGAGATTCATTATATAAACAATCTATAGCAAGGATCAGATCGTAACTTGATTGAATTTCATCTAAATCGGGTTTCAAATTAATCTTCATCCAATCTTTTTCAATCTCTAACCAATCTATTTCTTCAACTTGATATTGACTAGGATGTTGAAACTCATTGACGTGTGTTAACTTATTTAAAGTCAAGTTTCGTGAGATTGTAGATAATAAGCTTGATTGATCAGATACCGTCCAACTAGACTGAGAATCACTTGGAAACATCTTGTTACACAGAACCGCCAAAGCACCAGTACCTGAACCCAATTCGAGAATCCGTAGTGATGAGACCAATAAGTTCATGTTGAGTAAGGAGTCACAAAGTTCGTCGATTCCTCTATTTGCTGGATATAACAAATCGTACCACAAAAGTTCAGCAAAGTCAACACTAGCTCGCCAAACCACCGATCCTGTATCTCCTTTTCTATGATTGATAGCATAGATATCTTGATGAAGCTGAGCAGTAATAGTCCTAGTCGCTAAAACCCGTTGTTTCGGTTTAGATTTGTAAGATCTTCCTCTCTTCTTACTTGAAAAGTTCTCAAGAGTGACTTCAGACCCATTTTGAGAATTAACCCCCTTTGGTTGATGGATTTCGAGTTCTATTTCAAGTACTGATGATGAAGAATCAAGAAAACCAAGACCATTGCCTGATTTTTGACCGACCGAAGTGATTGGTGCCCCTGAAGAGGTCTCAGTTGATCCAGCGAGCCTAGAGTAGATATCGAAGATCTAACAATGATTTCAATATACTGTGTAGCTTTAAAGAATATCATCTATGAGTCAGGGAGTACATACCTCTTCATCTGAGTCCTTGACTTCTATCCACAACCGGCGATCCAATGTCAAGATTGGAGGTACGTCTCCTGCTTCTTGTGGTTCACTCATGATAAGATTGCGTCGAGGTTGTTGAATATCTCGCTTGCTTCCTTCACACCCATTTTAATGTGATGTTGATTGTGCATAAAGCCGGCTCGTACCTCGGTCATCGCTTGCTATGTTCAAACTCTGAGACCTTCAACTTCTGAATCAGACTGTGACTCGTGGCAACAGTCCTGAATTTCGGGTTCTTTCATAGCCGTCGCAGCGGGGCGGGTGCGGCGATGAAATTCAATGATTATAACTCGGTATGGTTCATCACTGTTGCCCCATGCTTTCAGCAACTCCCTTTCTCCCCCGTGACTCCGGTTGACGCTAGGATAGGGGGTTGGGGAGGGGGATCAAATGCCTGCCCAGCGCTGTTGCGAAACCACAAGAAGCTAGAGTCTAAATGACTCCATACTTACACTGAATTCCGAGAGGGCGTGATTGCACAAAGGTGTTTATGGAGGGTCACCGCTTTCCTTCGGGTGGGCTAAATGCCTAAAGGTGATTATGAACAAAGGATTGAAAAAGTAAAAGATGAGGAAATCTCTCTTCAAGTATCCAATTCCAAAAGGAAGGATAAATTATAAAATTAAAATCCACACTCAAAAAAAAAAAAAAAACACAGGGTGAATCATCCGACGTCCAACATGTCAACGAAAACTCTTGCTCCGACTAGATGGCTTAAGATCCAAGGTGTACTAGTCTTTTCCTTTATAACTTGTTCAGATAGTGTTGTATGCAATAAATGCCAAAAGCACTTAAAAAAAAAAAAAAAAAAAAAAAAAGAATGAGGTCCTATTCTCTTCATAGGTTCCATAAAAGCCAACTATACACATAACCACCTATACACATTTATCAATCTTGTAAAACGGAAGAGAAAGGCCTCAATGTTTTTCTTAAAAAACCTGTCATCAAAAATAATCTAAACAAAATCAATGAAAACACTTTATTCTTTGATCATCATCTCAATTCATTTAAAACATTCTATAAAATCAAAATCAAAAACAAAAAAAGTGTAGAACAATGCAAAAGAAAAACACATCAAGTTTGCTGTGCAACACAAATCATTCTGAAAAAGGAAATCTAAGAACTTTTATCCTTGCATTGCTATCCATGCTTCATTAAGTACAGCAAACACAGCTTTACCAATCATCTGTTCTTCCACAGTTGCATCTTTGGGAATCTATGTATCAAGCAAAAAAAGATAGAATTTCAATTAAAAAGAATTGAACATCATTAAGTCAATCTTACATACCTTATCAGGATGAACTTTTGAAATCGCTCTAACATATTTAACTTTAACTTGTGATTCAGTCAATAATTCTCCCATACCAATCTTTTTCCAGTTCAATGAAGACCATAAAACTTGATCTAAGCTAGCTAATAAAGCTCTTAAATTGGTTTCTTTACCTGATTTCCAATTTTCAATTTTTGCATCTACAAGATCTTTTGATTGAAACATTTGATTTGATTCAGATTCTGCTTGTTCATTTGCTTCTCTTAATTTTTGAAGTGCTGTAAATGTATTTGGATTATTTACTACAACCGGTCGGGTGCGTGTTATCGGTTTTTGTGCTGTGATTGGTCTTGAAGTTTGGGACGAACGAACTCCAACATTCTGAGCACCACTTTGATTCGCTTTCATACATCGAGCCAATCCTTCTGCAACCATCTTCATTCCACCTGCACCTTTCGTCACCGATCCCCCCAAATTCCTACAAAATTCCCAATCTACCTTGGCTTCTTCCCACTTCTCAAAATCTTCTTTAATCTTGGCTCTTTTACTTAGCGCTTTACCCAATTGTTCATTGATATCCATCGATCCTTTCAATTCATTAGGAATTCGATTCAAGTTCGATTCCATTCGTTTCATCAGATACTCTGACGATTTCTTCATCTCACTATCTTCACATAATAGAATCTCAATCACTCGATTCGCATCTTCTCTTGCACCTTTCCCATCTCCATTCTTCAGTCTGGCAGCTGCTCGATTGTTCAAGACAGGTAAACACCCAAGATAAGCATCTTTGCCTGCTTCACCCATCACAGCTCCTTGCAATGTTTCCAGCGCTTTTGTATAAGATGATTCGGCATTGGAATATTGTCCTTGTTTGAACCATTCATTGCCTTTATTACGATGTGTAAGGGAAGTCGTGATCTGACTTTGATCAAGGTTGATGATCGGAATTGATGGAAAGTTGTAGGTGGGTGTTAGTTTGTGATTGTTGGATACTTGTACTGATGGTAAGCTAGGTTGAAGGTCTGAAGCTAGAGATGCGAAGCTATCAGGCGTGTTACGAAGATCCGGCGATGAGAACGTCCGTTCGGCAGTGGGTTTCTTAACATTACGCTCTGCTACCTTGCGCCGAGCTGATGACACATATGGCTGCCTGGATTGTGAAGGCCTTTGTTCACCGGGAGATGGTTGTCTAGAGGTGGGTACGCTTCGATTTGTATTAGAGTACGATGGTCCCAAGTCATCAGAAAAAGCATTACTACGAGATACATCAGATGTATTATGCTCTTGCTCAGAAAGTTGTTGATCATCTTTCATCCACTTCGGCTTTATCATCCCACCATCCATTGTTTGGGAAGAACCAGATGACGATGCAGTCTGATCTTCAATCACTTTCGTTATTGATGCTTTACTCTGCTTCCAGAATGATGCCGCTTTACCAAAGGCTGTTGAGCCGTAGGCAGAAGCTTGAGCCAATAGATCGGCCGCTTGGTCTTGAATCTCTTTAGCATTGACGAGTGATGATGGACTCTCGTTCGGCCTGGTCTCTTCCTTTCGACGAGACTGAGGTGGTCTGGACGATGGAGATGATCGCTCGTGGTTGGCGATCTCTGATCGCGATCGTTGAGAAGTACCCCCAACTGCTGTCTCGCCTTGAGATGCCAAGAGCTTCTCAACAGCAGCGGATACATCCCATTCGCCAGTTTCAGCATGGAAGGTTTGATTTAACGATTGTCGAGCTTGAGGAATCGTGAATCCCATCTCAACCACTTGACCCAAGATATGTGGCGGTGGTGAATTTGACCTGGTACGCTGCGAAGGTCCTTTTGTTTGCTGCTTGTGACCTAATAATTGAGCCGCATCCCTTTTGATCCTTTCTGGATCGATCGCAACAACAGGGGCCCCCAGCAGGCCTAGTATATCATCGCCTCCACTCTCAAGAGAGATCTGACCGTGTCGTTCTTGATCGCTTTCCAGAGGTCCAAACTCATCACCCAGCAAGGAGATTGAAGAATTGTGGGTAGTCGGACCAGGCCTCAGAGAGGAGGTTGATGATGATAAATCGGTCTCGACGATATCACCAGGTGTGAGATGATTTGAGTTAGGCTGATCAAAATCGATGTCCCAGCTATTTTTGCGTGACTTAGAAGAACTTGAAAGAGGGAGACTTGCACCAGTCAAATTTGTAGGGACCGGAGAAGGTACCCGCGAAGCCCTTCCACTGGTACTTTCCAAGAAGTCAAAGTCCCATGTATCCGCAGATAACCCAGAATGTGGTTGAGTTGACGGGGGCGTTTGTACTTGTAACAAGCTAGAGTTCGAGGGTGCATTAGTCTGTCGAGAGGATGACGGAACGGCAAAGGATCTAGTTGAGAATGGAAGAAAAAAAGCACGATAAGATTTTCATCAGACTTGAGCTATTGGGATGTCTCACGAAAGCGATTTTCGATCTTGTAGTATGAACGCACGCTCCCATTATTGGACTCGGATCCAAAGACTTTGGTACATAGCTCGAAGGGACTTCCAACGGTTTCTGTTTCTGTTTTTCCAATTCGGCCGCCTTTAGTCTTTCAGAGATAGTCATACTTGACGCGCTATTACCAGTTCTCTGACTCGCATTATCGTTGGCCCCAAAAAGTGAACTGAAGGCATCACTAGTAGGGGGTGCACCGGCCGATCGTGATTCATGGATAGGATTGGGTTTGGTACCGTACGAACTATTGGTCCGTCCTGGTGTGATGATAGAGGGACGAGCAATGGTGGCGGAAAGATAATCAAATGAAGAACTACCATTCCTCGGAGTTGATTGAGGTTTTGAAGTTAAGTTTGAATTGCTTGTGGCGAAGGTAAGGTCGACTAGATCATCCATTTGATTGGGAAAGTGATTGAGGATTGACAAGATTCGTAAAAGTAAGTGTTGAGAATGAAGAGTGCTTGTATTGTGAATGTGAATGTCATCGATGTCCTTTTACACATACACACATGAGTGGTGATATCTCTCTGTCATACATACCGACATAAAATTGAGTGTTTAAACTCAAGTGATACATAAAATTATTAAATTTTCATCATTCTCACCTCCTCTTCACAACCTGGATGCTTTCACACTTCATTTTGTATCTCAATGTCTTTGGTAACCAACCCATCATGATCCATAACAACTTCATGGAAAAATAAACACAACACAGCTCTTTTCAGTTTTGATGAAAGTGCACTACACCTGTGGCCAAACTTTTGACTTAAAATGAAGAGTCTTATTATATCAACCTTGTTCTTTCTTTGTTTCTGTGTGATAGTACTTCAACAACCTTGTAGTTTTCATGAGACATCTAAGGACTGTAGAATGGGACTTAATCACAGTGATAGTTTTCATCAATGATGTTCATTGGATGATCCCTTGCAAGCATCAACTTTGGCAGTGGCCCAGCCATGGATTTTTGGCAAACATCATCATTGAATTTGATCTATGCCAATTTGAATGATCACCATCCTCTTCTTTCATCTTTTTACTAGGACCTCTTGCACCCTTTGCGCCAATGAAGGGTGAGTGACCCACCTGGGCATGTACAGGTGTGATGTTCTAAGAATCTTGCTCCGACATGAGCTTCATTGTAGTCAGTGATCTCCATGAAATAAATGGATGAGCACTACCTGGGGCCAGGGATGACATTTCCAGAATTCTCCAAAAAAAACAACATAAGAGTTTTCCTGGAGAGGAAAACATAAAAGTTGTCAAAGTCCCATGCTTGCGCCTACTCGTGAGGCGTTGAGCAAGGGACTTATGCTAACCTAACTAAGTCCCTCTTGGACAAACGAGTAGTCGAGAGAGGGACTTATAGCTTATCCACAAAATTTGGCGTGTGAGCCTGTGGAACTTTGGCTGGAGCATTTTTCAAACTAACACACTGCATTATCTTGCTTACAAAAATCCCCAGGAGCCAAGAAATGAATTATTCTGTGAATCATTCTACATACACGGGTCTTTTTAGATAGAGACTTACCCCCAGGAAGGTCATCAAAACATTGCTTGAAAAACTCCTCTTTCCTGTAAACTTCAAGTGTGGTTGAGAGTTTCTCAAAGACAGGAGTAAATGACTCTCTGAAACCTCCGCAGCAAATTACAGAGGATGGAATTTATCCAAAACATTGAGCTTGAATAGATTGATAGCCATTTGGTTTGGCATGCTGATACCGGCACAGGTATATGTAGGATGATTCACAGCACAAATTGTTTCTTGGCTCCAGAGGAGTTCTGTAAACAAGATAATGCAGTGTCTTGATTTGAAAATTGCCCCAGCCAAAGGTCCACAGGCTCACACGCCAAATTTTGTGGATAAGCTATAAGTCCCTCTCTCGACTACTCATTCGTCTGAGAGGGACTTAGTTAGGTTAGGGACTTATGCCAAACTCGTACAAAGTCATTGCTCAGGGTTGAGGCCTTTTGCTGGAGAGCACCTTCAAACCCCTCTGCAGCCTTTCCCTTCAAGCAATGGTTCTCTGGACCAAAGAGAAAACTTGTTTGCTGTTCTTTTCCACATCTTGTACATGTTTCTTTTCCCGAGGAAGTTGCTCCCCCCCTTCCTTTAAATTGTCTCCAAGTTTCTAAATCACTTGAAGCCATAACATGTAAAGGTATAGTGTAAACTGCTGCAAGTGCTTAAGTCACTTTTGTTTTTTCCAATTTTCCAAGTAAGTGACTTTCAGTCAAGCGACTTCATAAATAACCAATTGTGAGTAGACAACCCGACTGAAAAATGATAACGACTTTTTGGAAATTGTTCTATAGGAACAAGTTCCACATCAGGAATGATTCTATCACACAAAGCCAACAAAAACCACCACAGTTTCAAGTACAGACTTGTAAAGTGTACATAATGGCTAAAACAACACATGCTTTTCAAAGACATTCATGGAGGGATAGACAAAGAGTGAGGTGTCAAAGGATGTGTTACTCCTCCTTTTTCATTCATCCTCAAGCACCCGTCTTTGAGCTCGTAGAAGAGGTGAGTTAATGGCCACAAGTTTTGTCATGTTTTTTCCACCGCAGTCTACCTACATACAACTCACACATGTTACATCTACATACAAATTTTTAGAAACTTTGAGACAATTTAAAGGAAGGAGGGGAGCAACTTCCTCGGGAAAAGAAACATGTACAAGATGTGGAAAAGAACAGCAAACAAGTTTCCTCTTTGGTCCAGAGAACCATTGCTTAAAGGGAAAGGCTGCAGAGGGGTTTGAAGGTGCTCTCCTGCAAAAGACCTGAACCCTGAGCAATGACTTTGTACGGGTTTGGCATAAGTCCCTCGCTCGACGCCTTGCCAGTAGGCGCAAGCGTGGGACTTTGATAAGTTTAGGAAAACATTGTCTTCAAGATTTTTAAATTCTCACTATGGTTAACAGCAATCAGTGTATGTAATCTCAAATTTGAATTAGACAATTTGACATCAAGGATACCAAGGAATCTCCCACCACATCTGTGAGAGCTGTTCTTGACGTCAAGAATGTCACCCACTCAAAGGTGCCCCTTTATAGTACAACACAATCTTGATGTTAAGAATGGCTCTGGCAGATGCAGTGTCCTTGATATCCATTCTTATTCTACTTGGGGTGAGCTTGGTGCTTTGTTGTAAAACAACAGATTTGGAGGAACTCATGACTTCCTTTGAAAAAACAAAAAATGTGCACCAGAGATAGATAAGAATCTGAATGATTCTCTTTGTTTTGATTTCAAACAAACACAATTGAAGTATGCAGATAATTGAATGGAGAGACACATTCTCTCTAAATCTGATTATTCACTCTACCTGACAATTCAACCCTGGGCCAGCAATGCAATGCTCCACAAAACATGTATTTTCAGCTGTGTTGTGCCGCAACACACAACAAAGGGCAGCCACATGTGCTATATTGCACACAGTACCACAACAAAAAAAGGCAGGCTAGGTAGCACAGGGCCACCCCTGTTGTGCAATGCAATGCTCACAATCTTAACTTTTTTGTGGACTGTAGGCCACAAAATTTCTATGGGATCTATGGTGGGAGACACCAAAGATAAGGAAAAGCCCAAAGAATCTTGAAATTTTACGCAAGCCCACAGTTCTCAATTTGGTGAGAAGCCAAAGGTAATTGTAAGATCACCTCATCCAGAGCTTCTTGAAAGTAGCTTTTTAGAAGGTTTCATCAAACATTACAAGAGCTATGTGAGCTGGGGTATCTTACATGTCAAGCTCACCTCTCTGAATTAAATGAATGCCTCAAATGAAAAGGTAACAAAAGTTATGCAATTGCTCTAGAAAGCTAGTTTTGAGAAGCTCTGGATGAGAGCATCACAACAGTGCCCTTGGCTTCTCACCAAGTTGAAAACTGCGGGCTCGCGTAAAATTTCAAGATTCTTTGGGGATTTCCTTATCTTTGGTGTCTCCCTATGCTGTGGTGCAGACCAAAAAAAAGAAATGTTTCTGCAGCACTGCACACAACAGAAGTGTTGCTGGCCCATGGTTACTGACATCTTGATTTCCATCATATTTCTCATTGAAAACTTGATTTTCCATAAAATCTCATTGGCTGCAGCTCAAAATTCAAGCTACATATGGTTGCTCGTGTCAGGACAGTGGTAACAGCGGATTGGTAGCTCTACACCTCAGACCCCGCAACTATGAAAAAAAAGTCGAATTTCATATGAAATCATCTTATGTGAAAATAAAAAATCTTTCTGATTGGGCTGAGAAATCATTTCCAGACGGGCAAGGTATGAAAGTCTTTTGGAATTGTATCCAGCTTTTCCAAAAGTTGAGTTGTGTGGCCGGCCATAGACTTTGGGTCAATAGTTGGGGTTACCACAATCTTGACACGAGCAACTATACACCAATCTCTGTAACATTTGCATAGCGCACAGCCCCCAACTACTGGTCACTGCCAGCCAAGTGTGCCCCATGTCTTCAAAACGTTTCCAAGATAATTTCAATCTGTTTTCAAAATAACTGGTGTCTGCTATCAAGATGTTATGGGTCAGTTACCAACAAAATATGTGATACCACCAAAATTTAGATGATGTCATACAGCATCATAAATCTGTACAAAGCTGCTCCTGTATCTCCTGACCAAGAATATATAGTCTATAAAGCTTTGTGATGTGAATTAACCGAGTTATTGATCTTTGAGAAAAAATCACGGACAAAAAATACTTTTTTTGTACCATACCTAAGGCTTGATTCTGGAATATCTTCAAGGTTCATCAATAAAGGTACTCAAAGTAAAAAGGTGGTTTTGACATACATAAACCTGGTTTGAAAACCTAACTCCAAAAACTAGGCAGCAGCCGGAAAAAGTAGGCAAGCAGTCTTATACTGCCATGCTGGGTGCCTATGTACTTTTAATTTTTCAGCTGCTGAGCCCCACTGAAATTGTTGTGATAGAGAATTGTGCCGAGTAGTCCCACGTGGGACATCATCCAAGGGTTCATCAGCACCTTCTCCCAATTCATTTGGAGGTATTACCACAGCTTCTGGCAGCCAAATATTGCCCACTTCAATTGAGAAGTTGTGGAGGATGCAGCAAACTTGATTCCAGTTGACTGTGTGTGACTGTGTGTCCAATCTTTTATGAGTACACATAGGTTTTGCAACAACTGGAATCAACATTTCAAGTGTTCATTTCCATGCTCACTGACTACCCTTTCCTCGCTGATAGCTTGGTTGAACTTCTTTTTAACACTTTCTAAAGTCTGGGATTGGGGGCTTTTGAAGGTTGGAATGACATGTTTGGAGCATATATAACCAGAGTCTGCTAGGATGTATTTGTTTTTGCCAAAGAATCAATCTGGATGTTGACCAATGTACCTGAGCAAAAAGAATCAGCATCCCTCTTCTTTCAACAAAGATGAAAAATGCCAAGTTACCTGTGTATCAGCAAAGACACACCGGTCATGTGCACTACCACACTAGCCATGTAGGACATGTATAATTTGAGCTTGATTGACACAAACCAAGAGTGAGTCAAGAGCATAAGTGTGCTTCTGAGTCCAGAAGTCTTTGGGATTTATAGCCGGAGCAAAAGCAAGTGGGATAAGGGTGCCATCAATGAATTCAACACAGTCTTGAAAGAAAGACTTGTGTCCAATATGTCATTTGATTCAATTGGGCCAGTACACAAATTCACCCTCCAGTTTCAAGATTGTGTGAAAACAGTGCTTTATAAAATTGTGAACCAATCCTTCTACAAACAAAATTTCTCAGTGTTATATCAAGTAGTAGCATTTGAAAAGGATCTGGCCTACCACTTATTTTGTCCCACCATAAACCCATTGCCCCCATTGCCACTATGTCCCAGAGTAACTGCCATTCAACAGGTGATTGGGGGACAGAAGAGTTGTAGTAGAAGATTAAATCTCTCAGATTGAAGCAACCCATCAATAAAAGTTGTCTTTTGACATTTGTGCCTGATGGAATAACATGACAAAGATCAGCAAAGAACTGGTTGGATAAGTGACCACTGTGAACATCATTCAACTTCCCCAAGTTGGAAGAGGAAAATTATTAGTAGTACAGTTTGTCATAAAAGGATCCAATACTGCACACCTGAGCCATAACACCCATACCATATGTGCAGCAAGCTAAGTAAATAGTTGTCTATCATGTACATACAGGTCTGCTCAGTTTTTTGGCCATCAGAATAAATAAATCACATGTTATACCACATGTAACTTTTTGGACTTTGAAAAAATTGTCCCAAAATAGACTACATATGATTCTGTAGCTGCTCAGGCAATATTGTTGAAGCTATTTCTTAGTAACAGGAAGGGTGTTACATGCAGTTGAGTTGATGGGATTACACCAAAACTTTGAGTCAGTCCATGTAGTCAATCTTTTGAATGCTTTTGTCAATCTGAAAAAAGTTACAGTGTGTATTACATATGAATAATGTATCCTGATGAGCATATAACTGAGCAGAACTGTATGTACATGATAATCACCTATTCACTGAGCCTGCTACACATATGTAGTATGGGTGTTATGGCTCAGGTGTGGAGTGATAGATCATTTTATGACCAATCATACTCCTAATCATTGTTTCCTGCCCACTTGGCAGAAGTTGAATAATGTTTGCAGTGAACTGACATGTTTTTAAAAGCAACCTTACAAATTTGATAAATTTCTGGTCAAACTCAACCACATTGAAAATCTCATTAAACTTTTCTTGTTGCAAAGCTGTACTTCTACTGTGTATCCTTCATTCAACATATCAGAGGTGGGTAAGTTCTTCAAGGGCTTGACCAATGTCCCATATCAATATCAAAGCATGTTGATGGATAGCTTTCTGTGATGCAGAAAACTCTTGAGACGACAAGTGCCAATGAGGAAGTGGTTCAAAGCCTGAACAAGAGGGTGGACAGAGACCAGTAGGGATTCTTCAGAGTTATCAATGAAGATTGTTGATGCAGTTCTCATGATCTTGAGGCAAAGGTAGGCATATAAGCCAACCTAAGACAAAGGTTGTGAGGTGGAATACATGACTGATAAGACCTTTTCAGATGCTTGAACTAGATCCACGGATAGTTCTTGCCATAGGACGATGTGAGGCATTGTGTGACAGAGGCTAAAGTTATGTTTAAGTAGGCACGGGGGCCTCAAAGCTACCCAGTTGGTAAAAACATACTTGAAAAAAACCACCAAAAAAAAGTAGGTTCTAGGTTTCAAAGTAGTCAGAAACCACCTTTTTACTTTGAGTATGTTTAATACCTTTGTTTTCCATTTTTTTACAAACACTTCAAGACAGATAGAATGCTTCAAGAATGTGACTTTCAACTGATTTTCTAAAATTGTCTTGTAGAAAATTCCACCCTATGTACATAGATAAAAGGTGTCATCTATACATTGTTTTTCACAATCTTGCACAAGTCAATGGTGTTACACACTATACATCATCATACCAGACCATTTCAACCTTTGCCTACCCTGACCCTCTCAAGTCCAATCAACCTCAAAAGAGATCAATACCACTCTTATACCACATTCCACTGAAGTAGATAACCCACACATGAGAAAGTATTGATATATGATGATCCCAGTATGTGTTTGATTTGCTGTCCTAAAGTTGTTTTCCTGCTTGGTCCAAAAATCTACAAACATCAAACCACTTGTTAAGAATTGTGATTTCTTATTGACATGACTCTCAAGCATGCTCAAGGCAGGATTTTATAATTTGTTTTAAGTTTTTGAAGTCCCTTAGAACAATTTGATTATATGTTGAATATCAAGAACAAATGGAAAAGCTCAAATTTTAGTTTTTAACTGGATCTAAACACAGCAAAGACTTTATTTTGTGATTTTCAGTGATGACCTTTGAAGTTTAATCTTCTTCAAGGTAATAGAAAACTTTGTTTTGTCTCAACATCCTACCACATATAATGAAATGATGAAATGGTTGTCTGTATACAGGAACATTTCTGTGTATGTGTTTTTCTTCAACTTAATCTGTCCCAAGATCAATCAAGATCTGTTCTACTTTCACAAGATGCATTTGCCACAAGACCATGCTCCATGAACATCAATATATCAGAATACTTTCTACACATGTATGGATAATCTCAAGGTTTCAACACATTTCATAGGTTGAGAATTTTGCTGCCCTACAAGTTTAAAGGTCTCAAAATTAGTTGATGATCATTCTCATATCATTTACTACATCTGATCATCTCACAACAATTAACAAAAACTTGGCTAGATTTGACCTTCACAAATTCCTGGAGAAGGTTTCACATCTGTTCAATCAGGTCTTCAAAAGGTGGCAAATAATTATTTACATTCAAAAACATTACTCAGTGATGTCATCAGATTACTAACTGTTCCTTAGTAATCAAACAATCAATCAGTCAGAAAAAAAAAGAAGAAAATTCAAATCATTTTCAATATAACATAACACACTTTTCATGCCAAGGGAAGGAAGAAAAATTTAAATAGATAGGTAGATTGTAAGACATACACACACACAAACAAAAACAAAAAAGCCTTCGAAAAAAAAATTAGTACCTCTTGATACAAATTGATAAGGGAAAAGAAGAAAGAAGAGCAGGAAAAGAATCGGAAGACGAAAAAACGAGACAAAGTAGTAGAGAAGGTCTTCTCATACCTACAGTCCACAAACACACAAAAACACATGCATAGCGTCAAGTTTTGAAAAGGAAAAGAAAAGTCGAAGATAATAAATCCAACAAACCCAAGTTAAATCGACATCCAAAAGAGAAAGAAACAAAACAACATAAGAATACCCTGATATTTACACTTTTTCTTCTACTGTGCAACAAAATCTGATGTGGAAGAGATCGGTTTCCCTCCTTGCGAGATACTCTCATGATAGAAAGGGGGAAGGATTGAGATATTCAAAGAAAAAGTTCGACAGCGAGATAAAAACAAATAGGACAAGACAAGCAAGCGATAAAGAAATTACCAACACCCGGCGACATTTTGCGACGGCAACCTATCTGATGCGTTACTCAGGAGGAAGATGAACGAGAATACTGGCGAAACCTAGCTGTATCTAGGTGGAATAACCAAATGTCATTAGGGGCTTATTGAGGATCAATAAACCGTGAGAACTCACTCGGTAGTTGTCGTAGTAGGGTCGTAGTTAACTGTAGAGAAAGTATCAGGGATATTTAGCATTTGATCCGTGTTCGAGCGATGCATATGGGGAAACGCACTGAAAGCTTCGAATAGCGTAGCATCAAAGTCCAAACCGCTTGTATCTCCATTCAACCCATCCCCATTGAAGAGCTGTTCGATCGGCTGCAACAGATCGGGTGACATTAGTCTCGAGCAGGAAACCAATCTTTGAAGGGGAACACGTACGTTATTGCTGGAAACAGCAATATCGCCTGAAGGTTGGGCATTGGTAGGCGAGTCGCTGCTTTCTCCAAGCATTCCTTTCATCTGCTGTGTCCCCTGACTGTTACCCATGAGCCACAGGTCTTGGTTGCCTTCGTGCGTCGACTGCTGAACCTACAAAGCACATCATCAGTCAGTTCAAAATAACAAATGGTCAAGTTGGGGATAATGGAAAGCTACCTTGATGTCTCCTTGGGATGGTGTTTCATCGGAGTTGCTGTTAGGTCGACCGGAAGCGTCCCCATTGACTTGCGAGTCATCAGATGTCTGTCCTGGTGGAAGAGTCATTGGTGATGGTTGATGGTGGGGTGTTCCTTCCGAAGCTTCAGTCTTGCCTTCAGGTTGATTCACAAGCCTATTCGATTGGTTTGATTGCGATCGATCAGGCGAAGGAGTGACGATGGTAGGCAAAGGCGTGGCATGTTCATCACCTGGTCGAGTTCCGTTGGGAGTAGCCTGTGGAGTCGGGGGTTGATGGAAATTACGGCCCGCTGGGGGTGGCATGTTGTTGTCCGTGGTCTTGGCTCCGTTGGCCTTGGCGGGAGTGACGTTACCGGCTGGGTTGGGACCATTGCCAACCATTTGGTTTGCGACATTGGGAGCTGCGATACCTTGCGCGTGCTGAGCATGTACAGCCTGCTTGTATGCATCCATGCTTTGATGAGGCGTGTGGTTCATATTAGGGGGTGAGCCTTGAGAAGCTGGAACCGGAGTCGAAGCGTTACTGCCCATCATCTGTTGGCGATGTTGGAGTTGTTGCATGTGCATGTGCTGCATTTGCTGCTGCGCTTGCTGTGCCTGCTGGGATTGGTTGTTTGCATGGAGTGATTCAGCAGGCTGGTGTCCCGGGTTGTCGTTTAATCGTCGCTTTTTACGATCTTGGTCTTCCGCCGCGCCTGGACTACCTCTGCGATGAGGTGGTAGAACAGCAGCCTGAGGGGTCACAGCAGAACAGTGGCTTCCGGGGGTACGTGGATTGTTTTGGAAAGCGGCGGGGCTGTTGGCATGATTGGAGGCACGACTAGGCTCTCGTGGAGGTTGGCCTGCGTTTCCAGCAAATGGACTAGAGACATGGGGAACACCGGATCGACTAGGAGGGCGCGAAGGGCGATATGGCGGTTGCTGATGAGGATTCAGCGGAGACCCATGTTGGACTGGGGGTGGAGGCATCATATTACTGAGATGATCTTGGCCTGGCGGACCCATTCCCGCAACTCTGACAGAAGTAGAATAGTAAATTTAGCAAACATTGAGGAAGCAGACTAAAAGAGAAGACGTACCGTCGACCATTAATGGACATTTGGCGATGTAACGCGCCCATCTGGCCACCGGGAAACTGTTCAGAATACATCTGCTGATGTAATTGTTGGGCCTGATGATGCTGTTGCTGGTGCGATTGCTGTTGTTGTTGAAGATGGGCTTCTTGCTGTTGCTGCTGTTGCATTTCGTGTTGATAGAGTCTTTGACGAGCTGCCATCTGTGCCTGATGATGATGCTGAAGTTGTTGCTGTTGTATATGCTGCTGCTGTTGCTGAAGAAGCACTTGTTGTTGTTGTTGATGTTGACGAGCATTGTGTTCAAGCAAAAGCTGATGTTTCTGTTGCGGAGTCATATGAGGATGAGGCTGAAGCCGCACCGCAGACGCCGGTGGATGTTCAGCATGGTGAGCTAGATGCATTTGTGAATCCATCAAGGTGTATGGTTGCTGCATTCGAGCACCCAATTGACCTCTTTGAATGTCAGGATTCGCAACAGCGACAAGACCGACTGCATCGCGCCTAGCTTTGGGTGTGCCAGCTTCTAGTGACATTCCCAGAGAGGCAGCTGCGACACTATGAGCATACATTTGAGCAGGCTGTGTATTCGAGCCGCGGCCGGTCTTAGCTCGAAATACATCCCAGAAGATAGTCCACCATTCGAAAAGGAAGCCTTGATCTGTGTCCATGGCTAGCTTTGGCTTCGGGAGGTTCTCAAGGGTCAAGTGTCGGATTCGCGGTGAGGATCTGGGGGAGCCCATAGAAGTGTTCGACGTTCCGGCACTGGCACTGGCACCAACTCCATTGGGTGTTTGATCGGTAATCGATGACTGGCCATTGGATGCGTCATTCGCAGCTCCGGATCGACTGCCAGCTATATGGTTAAAACCGTAATGTGAAGTATTCGAGACGATTGAGCCAGAGGAAGACAGAGTACGTTCATTTGCGACGGGCTCACTAGCTGCAGTACCATTCTTCATTATGCCATTCGGAGCCCCTACTTGTGTTAGACAGCCATTCGAGGTAGGTTGAGGTGGAGACGACGATGGCCCGTCATTGGGCGAGCTGTCAGACCTATCTTGCTTCTGGGAAGATGATACGTTCGCCATTTCGGCTAATCCAGATCGCTCAGCGTTTTCCATCAATTCAATCTCAGCACCGCTGGTCACAAATACTTGCGCGACTTCAAAGAGTCCTTGTTTGAGTAGATAATCGTACAGGTAAGTATTAAAGAATCGGCTGGCATCGGCTGACGAAGATCCACAGCCAGGCGCGGAGGAGACTCCCATGGAGGAAGGACCGGGTTGAGATCCAGCGGGTGGGTGACCAGAGATGCCAAGGTTCGAGAGTGTGCCAGGTGAATGACATGCGCCATTACTCGGATTGCGCTTAGCAGCGGAGCCGGAAAGTGACATGGCGTCTGTGGAGGTTGCGGAACGAGCGATGAGAGGCACCGGCTGTGCTCGGGATGAATCAGCGCTAGTGAGCGCAGCATTCACATTTGGACCACATTGACCGGGAAGCGATGGTGGTAGACTGGAGCGACCCTGTGAGTGGGCGTGATTTGCAGGAGCTTGTGTGTTGTGAGCAGGTGCAGACATAGATGGGGATCGATTTGAGGGGGGTAATGTCGCCGAAGGAGGCGCGGAGGCCGGGGTAGACGAGAGGTGTTGCGAAGGGAGATGAGGAGAATTGAAAGAAAATGAGGTGGTCCGTTGAAGGGTGTGTGAGGGGTGGATAGGAGCAGCGGGACCGGCAGAGGGCAGAGGTGCAGAGGAGGACTGTCCGTAGCCAAGATAGTGTGGTAGACCGTTTTGAGCAGCGACATTGTACAACGGAAGACCACTTGGGCGCCGTGAAGGCTGAGCACCATTAAGGTCGCCTGTCGCAGGTCCACCGGAGTTTGGTCCCATAGTCGAGTTGCCAGAGGGAACCGCAGGAGTCGAGGTTTGTTGTTGAAGCTGCTGGAGCTGTTGAGGATTGTGAGTATTTGAATGAGCTCCGAGCGACCCGAGAGCAGTTCCAGAATTGTGGATGGTGTGAAGACCAATGACGCCACCAGAAGCTCCGCTTGGTGCGGTGTTGGCAAACATGATGAGGTGATAGCCGGTAAAATCGCAGTTCAAGGGATAGGTTCAGCTGTAGCACAAGTGTGAAAAGACAACGAATGTTCCATGTGAGTCCGCAGATGGTCAGTGATGGGAAGGAAGAATAAACCACAAGTCAGTAAGCTGAAGAATCTATCGACAAGTAGATGATGATGCATTTCTAAATTTAAAAGAAGCAATGGTTGCCCTACTGAACTTACGAGAAGGGTGAAAGAGAGCCGAGGTAGCTAGCAGTGCAGGGGTTCTTGAAACGATCAGGGGGGCAGATGAGGTTGAAGTGAAGAGGTCGAGACTGTCAAGTATCAAGTCGTGTTGTAAACAAGTGGTAAATAACTATGAAACAATCAAAGCATAGTGGAAAGAAGTCTTACATGATTGGATAGTAGAGAAGGTAGAACGGTATAGGCGGAGCTGCGAAGTAGGTACGGTCCAGGTGGTTACTGAGCTGATAAGGTGCTGAAGTCGGTCTGCAAAAGTAAGAGCAGGTGGAAAAGGAGGTTAGATGAGATGCAGAGTGATACTACAAACATCCAAATCGAAAAGAAACTAGAGATTGAAGGAACGATAGGGATTGAACGATTTGAGCAAGGTCGAGAGCAAGGAGAAAGGCAAAATCAAGATGTTAGAGACCTTGATAAGATGAGAACAGGATGGCATCGTAGGGGTAACAAACGATGGGATTTGTTGGAGAGATCTAGAATTCGGATTGCACCACTCACATTCGAAGAAAAGTCTAACGAAACTTCGACTCGGGTTCGAGAGGCAAACGGGATTGAGGTCGAAGCACTTTGAGTAAGTCGGTAGGAAGTAAACAAGAGTGGTGATATGACGAAGGAATAGAAATCAATGTCAATCAAACGGTTTCAATCGGTCAGGTATGTCGATGTATTTAGTTAAGAAACCCACCGAGAAGGTCAAACACCGAGCTTCGGCGGATACGAATCGAGCCGAGATGTCAAAGATGAAGTGCCGATGAGGGATCGAAAGAAGGGATTGGAGCGGAAGAGAGTCGGCCGGGTGTGCGAAGGAAAGCGTAGACCGATAAAAGTGTAAGTAGTGGGGAACAAGGAAGAGGGTCGAGAGAGTGATTTGTGATCCAGAAGAATGGTAGTATAGTAGTATAATCAAATGTGAAATGATAATCAAAACGAAAACAATAATAATCGAAAAATAGAGAATTGTTGAGTTGAGGTGATATTAATCAAAAAAGAGTAATAAAGATTTGGTTTATAGAGTGTATATCTTCTCTTCTGAAAAAGTGTGTGAGTATGAGTGAGGTGAAGTTAAGGAACAACAGTTTAACGAAATTCACCAACAAGGCTACAACCACCTAGAACAATAACAATTTGAGTGCATAAAAAATTGAAGGGAAGTTGAGTGGTATGTTTTAATGTTTTGGGAGTAAAACCAAAAAGGGGAAGTGTAAAGTAGAAATTTAAAAGTCAAGAGATTCAAAGAGTCACAACTTAGAAACCGAATACAAAATCAAAATTCGATCTGACCAACCAAACCAAAACTAAAATGAAATTACTATCAATCGCTTAAGTCAGTCTGATAGTAGTACTTGACTTCGATCAAAACGGTCTAAATCAAGGCTTTAAATCATCTTAAGCTCACCTAACGTGCTGGCTATTACTACTACAAGCATAAACAATCTCCATAACGATGCTTATAGAGACATATCAAATGACAGGCTTACCTAGGCACTTAGCTCTTAAGTATTTTAATTCCCATGGGATTTATCCCTCCAGCCATTCTCAGCCATTCACTTGGCATTTCAAGAATCCCTTCAACGCTTACGCACTTCAATGGCTCAGGAGGTAGCAGGATGGCTGATGTGCTAATTACCTTAAAAAAATCAAACACAAATTATATTCTCGCCCTCTTGAACATCGCCACTCTAATCATCTGACCTACTGTTTCTGTGGTCCATACTCAGGTTCTCGATAGTTTTCCTTTTGTAATTCTTGGAAAGGTGCGTGCATTGAAAGATATTGTCTTCTTTGAAGCATTTTCAACTGATACTTCCATCAATCTTTAATTATGTAACACGCAGAAAATCGCATACTCGTTGGATATCAATCAAGCCTCCAAGATGCTAATGGAATGTAAGTTCCCGTCTAAGTTTCACTGAGATTTGAACATCGCAAGTTCAATAACATGGACATCCATCAAGAACTTGGATATCTATAGATAAATGACAAGCAAGTTCGGCGGGTTCCCCATGGCCTCTCATCACTTGTGATAGACAAAATGTCAAGTCTCCTCGAGTTTCATGAGGATTGCAAGAATGCCACCATCCAACATACAAAAGTTATTGATCATTCTCAACCGCTTGAACTTAAGAATACCCTTCCAGGCCTTTTCAGCATTTTTCATATCTGGAAGAAAGGAATCAAAACCACACAGCTTCACTCAAGTATTGTCAAGCATTCTCGTGATTCACAGCCTAGGCTAGAATTAATTCAATTTCAATCTGATTAATTCCTGCAACATAATAATCATAACTCTTCGCAGCTCAACTTCGTCATGATTTCTTACTGAAAAACACGTAGTCTTGATGTGTTTTACAACAATTCATAGAGTTTATACATCCTCGGTCGGAATCTGTCATCAAACAAAAAAAAAAGAATACTTGAGAAAAAAAAACCCTTTAATGTTTGAGAGCCTGAAAAGTTTCTTAAAAAAGCTTTTTTTTTTCTTCCTACTACAATTCATCAGCAAGACGATGAGAAAGAAATCAGTTATGTACATACATATCAATTTCGAAACTTGCTTCACTCTCACCGCTAAAGTTGCCGAACCTGCTTCTGTGGTTCATCGTTCCCAGGGTCACGGTGATGTGTAGGTTTGTAGCACCGGGAGATGAGAAGTCGTTGCTGCTCAACCAGTCGATCTATGATCTTTCACCGACCGACTAAGAAGAAAGTTACCAAGGGTAAGATGTACGATCCCTTGAAACGTAAGTCTACAAATGATCGAAATGTATGCTCACGCATATATTTACCCCGCTTGAGGCTTATGTCATCATGCGTGATGCTTTTGGTGCACTGCCATTCCCGAGATTTCAGGTTGATGTCAGATGGAATCTTTCAGAGTATGAATAAGATGTATGATTTGGAGTTGTATCTTTGACCTGGGATTCGGAATAATATCTCGGATTTAGACATGTTGACAATGAGGATCAGTGTCACATTGAGATGACCTACAAGACAAAAAAAATGACTGCGTCCATTCCGGCGGCCGGCCGTCACGATGACTAGCTAATAACATAGCGATCATTGAAAATTCTCTCATATCATAGATATGCATTTAGCAGAAGACTTCTTACACAAATTAAAGGAATAACCGTGAAGAACTATTTAAATGCCCAAAGCATTTCTGGGGAGGAAAACCCCGAGTTGTCCTCAACGCTCAGCCTCTCAGATGTCCTCAAAAGGACTTGATGTGTGGTAACCAGACCGTGACGGTGACCCTTCCGCTGACCAAGAACACAAATGCTTCCAAGTGCAAAAAAGACACTTCCGTTTCGTCTCACCTTCAACACAGCTCATATCAGGAATGATCCGAATCAGCTATGTATGTAGGTACCACCAAGCCTTGCGGATTGCACCCCCAACGCATTTCAGGAAAGCTGACCGCCTTCCGAGCCGATGCTTCCCGCTGGGTATATCAGTGTGTGCCATTGCGTTCATTACAAGCAAATTTCTACTTCAGATGCATAGACATGAAGTTTTCTTTACAAAAACACAATTTAAACACAACTATGAAAGCAAAAAGAGCAAAGCTCACCACATACTTTGTGCAGCTTGAGATTCTTTGCACTCAAATGAATTATAACTTTACTATTTGCTCTCTCACTAATAGACATGGTCACAAAGTACCGCAATCTCATGGTGTCATGAAAAATTAGAAGTCCAAAAAACCATTCACTCACCATATATGTTCAGCAGTAGCACGTTGGCGTGACTCGCACAGTGCAAGAAGCTCAATAACACATCAAGTTGAGCTTAGTGACCAGAAATGTATTCCATGAGCTTTGTAAAAGGACAGGCTTTATAACACATGAAGTGTTCTTAGTGAAATGAACAGAGAACACGGATGGATAAAGCTAGTACCTATAGGTACGAGAAACAAGAATAAGAGATTGAATGAAGAAAGAAAAGACAAAGTTAGAGGATCATTCAATCTTATATACTCTATGGTTCTCGTATAACTGTGGTAATACACAAAAATACACTGAAGAAGGAGAAACAAATGTAGTGAAATCATAGACTTGATTGGACAATGATGTCATGACTAAAAGAAATGAAATATCTCAATAAGCTTGACATCACATGAAACATATTTCCACATGACCATACCATATTTAAAGCAGTGAAGAGTTCAGCTGTACCTATTCCTTTCTATTCATTTTGACCAATTAACAAGGGCTCAATCATGTGGATAAATCTATCTGCCAATAAAGAGCCTTGAGAAGATCAACTCTCTTGGGTAATGCAGCCAATCATTGGGAATTCCACATGTGTCTCTCAATAGCACTTCTCTGGCTTTGTGAGGGATTTCTTGATGGGCCCTTAATTCAAATATGTGCCCAACACACTCTTGAACATTCCCTTGGCAAGCACTATATTTCAAGAGATCTTGTGAATCAATTGTTCAAGGTACGTTTTTTTGATGCTTTCTCTCCTTCCATTGACATCCACCAGAACCACATTTGCTGATCATATTCAAAAGTTGATAGTCTTGCTTCCCACATGACTGAATGCATAATTCCCTTTTGGGGTGCTTCATACAACTGGGACAAGCCATGTGAGTGGTCAAGATCTGCCAGGAGTTACCTTTTCACATTTATTGGATTGTGAAGTAATCAGCAGTTGTAGCAACTTCTGCCTCAGCTGACCTGACGTCGCCAAAGTCGCAGCAGCACACTTGGATGGGGTCAACAGAGTATGGCATGAGATCAGGGTGGACTGTGTAGTTGAATAAGAGGCAATAATAGCAAAGATGATAATAAGTATGGTGGCTCTAAGGTGCCACTTGAGTCACATCATCAAAAACAAGAAAAAAGCATTTCTGACCCCAAGAAACACAAGTTTCAACCCTGGCCCGCTTGGCCCGGCCGCTGTCTTTGTGCTTGGTGGTCCTGATCTTTTTTGTCTACTCCTCTCTTGGAGATAAGGTTGAAGGAGTGCTCCTCGGTGTGGGGTGTGTGTTTTTCTTGCACAGTCAAAATCCCTCCACCTGCTTCCTGGGCAGACTTTTGAGTTTTCTCTTTAGTCAATAGGGTGGCTGGTGGTTTGGGAGGGGCCCTTGGGGCCTCTCTTTCTCTCCAGCTAGACACTGGGATACCTGGATCCCCTTCTGGAGCTACATTAAGGTGAGAAGACCTGAGGGGGGGATTGTCATCAAGTGCTGAGGTTCAGAGCTGTCAGACTCCAGGCAGGAGGGTGGGTGCTAAAACATTTTGAGTGGAAAACACAGTGAGAACCCTGCAGATTTTCTCTATTGGAAAATCTGCATTCTCTTCTCTTGGATACATAAGGTTCAAGTCCTTATGTAGTGCCTGGCTACTCCTACACTCTCCCTATCTACCTTGTAGACACCGGTCCAACTGTGTGCCTTGTGTGAACCGGGCTATCAAGGGTACTTCAGAAAGTTGACTGTTTGCTTTGGCATCTTCAGATTTCTCTAATACTCTTTTGGATCTTGCTCCATAGTTCACGTACAGGAGTGCCATTGACTATCTTGTGAAAATATTTGGACACATAGTCCTATTATACATTTCTCAACATGGTTTTTCTTAACATTATACTTTGTGATAGCCTTCCTCCTAATTATTATTGAAATGTTTGTATTTGCTTAATTTGTATTTGGCCGTGATTCCAGAGTTCCTATCTCTATGAGAAAATGGGTGGTAAGCAATCGATGAACAGAGGGTAGGTTGGATGACAAGCAATTTATGGAGATTTTTAGGCTTCTAGGAATCAAACATCTCGCTTTGAAGTTGGAGTAGAGAGTCAAGGTATGAGAAACGGGTTGTAGAGCTCATCTATACTTAAAATTTGGATGTGAGAGGCTGGAATGAGAATCCAGTGAAGATGATGTTTTGATCTTGAAAGGAGTGACGAGGCGAGTCTATAAAAAAGGTTGACCCTGTGGCTTGCCATCGATGCGAGCGTGGCCAGACAGAACGGGCCAGGGTCGAACAGGCTCAACAGAGCTTTGAAGGAAAGTTTTAAATGAATATTTCGCATTTTGAGGATTTGATTCAAGTGGCACTATAGAGCCAGTGTATTAGCGGCATTGGAGTGCAAGCCAGAGCCAGCCTCATTTCATGCTGTGCAGTTTGAAAACTGAGACACAATCTGAAAAAAGCTGGGCGGATTATAAAGACCTGTCACTCTCAAGAAGCAATGTCTATCTAGACAAAGAACCTTAGAAACAAGAGATTGCGGATAGTGAGGAATGCTGGATCAAAAGAAATACAAAGCCTTACTAAGTTACGATCCTCTTTAACATCCGGCGGAGGTCTACATCATCTAATATGAACCCTCAGCATATTTACAGTACTGAAGCATCGTTTTACTTGTGGTCGCAGGTCGTCAACTTTTTCAACGATGCGTAAAGAAAAAAGGTAAATCTTAATGATCAAGGATGAGATACGAATTCCCTCACACGCTACACTCTTACACACTACCAACATACAAAGATACTAAAGATTTCATGTTCTAGAATGATGTTCTAGGCTCGTACAATTTAGTAAATCGTGAAATAGTCATTAGTTAACTATCTCACAACTACTCTTCACGCCCTTAAGATAGACTTTTTCCCATAAACTTTCGTCTGACCATTTACCAAGCAAAATGAAACACCATCAAATCATGATCATCAAGTGAAAATACGAAAATCAAAACTGACTTCTGGAAACACATCCACCATTTGCTGGGCTTTCCATCAGGGGTGTTGAAAACCTTCTCAACGAGCCTAAGCGAACATTCTTGCCTGATTTGGGTAAGGTATTGACGAAGTAGATCTAGTATCGTTGAAGGAGTGATAGTTTCAATTTGTATACAATATCAGTCGACGTTTCATAAGATACGCGCTAAGCTCAGCATCACGAACCAGCATCAATCTTATCCCTGGGTGGGGCATAAATCCCGTTCATTGGGAAGCCCGGTTCTCCCGGTAGGTAAAAGTTGTCCAAACTATACGATAAAAGTTGTTTAGATGCCTCTGAAGGGTTATTTTGATGTGGTTTAAGTTGTGATATCTTATTTAAACAATCGGATATGAATAAAATGAGGTAAATGAGCACTCGATCGGCTAAACCTTTGATTTCAAAGTTGCGAAATAAACAATTCGATTTGAATAGATCGAGTGCTTCGTCAACAATATCCATATCACTCGGGTTGGCTATCGGTTCAATGAGTTTGAAATATTCAGTTAATGATCCAACTTTGTTGATATAAAGTATTCTAATCGTGAAACACACCTAGTGGTGGTGCAGGTCCCCTGATCTTGGTGCGTACCGGTAGGATGACCATGTTGGCAACTGGTCTAAATTCGGACGATTCATTATAAGCGGAGTGGTAGGCCTATTTAGTTTGAAATAAAGGAACCTCAGAGTCAATCAGTACGGATATCCTGAAGAGAGAAGTTTGAAGGAAAGTGAACTCACAGGCATCTCAAATATCGAAATTCAGCGATAGACTTTTGATTTTGAACACCTTTAATTCATTCGATCGAAAGGTGATTTATAAATAACCCGCTCAAAAGCCATACCTACTGGAACATGCACATACACAAGTGACAAAACCATACTTCACGTCATCTCCATCACATTTGAATTTTGCATCACGATCAATTGCAATTTACAGATATTTGGTATGCAGTGACATCCCTTCAGTCGCTGAAGCAGTCAGTCTTCCCAAAAATTGAAAAAAGTGAAGTATCAGTACGAAGACTAGGCCCTACAAAACTTAACTAAGTCCCTCTTGAGCGAACGAGCCGCTTAAACGAGGCAATACCGCAAGAGCACCGCACTATGTTGCAGTTGCGGTGCGGTTGCGTAGCGCTTTTGGGCGCCGCAATAGCAACGCAATATAGTGTGGTGCCAGTGCTCCGCAATCCGGGTTCAAAAAACCCCTTGGTCAGAAACCCGCACCGCAATTGCGGTCGGTTTTTGACGGTTATTTAGGGCAAATATTGCGGAGATAGGGCAATATTGCGCATTTTCCGCAATATTTGCCCGACCGCTCCGCAACGGCAAGTTAGAAAAAAAACACCCCATTGCGGAGTGGTCGTGTAGCGTAATAATGCGCCGACTGCGCAACGCAATGGAAATAGGTTGAAATACATTGTGTTGCGTAGCGCTTGCGGTGTTGAACGAGGGACTTGGACACTATCTCATTTTTTTGGTGTGACATCGGCCGGTACTTTTCACCGAAAACTGCCAATCTCACTGCACTCAAATCTCACAAGCGAAAGCTTTTCAAGTGTGTAATCAAAGACATGGGCACGCTCTCAATTCTCAACTTTCCGTTCCCGGCGGCTCATTGACACATTCTGCCCAAAAGTTATCACAAAAGAAGGCTTTGGGGCCTCCGCCGAGGCCGTACACGCTAGAGAAGACAACCAAAACTCCCGTTTTCCAATCAAAACCTCCAAAACTAGATTGCCAAAATGCAGTTTGCATACTTCACACCGCGGGAATTAATAGTGGTACACACACATCTCAACCCGACCTAATCAAACCCATGGCAACCCAATTGATTTTTGGATTTTTCAGGGCTGAAGAATCAAAATCGATTGGGTTTCCATGGGTTTTTTGGATGGGTTTTTGAAGTCAAGTTGAGATGTTTGTGTACCACTATTTAGTGTGAAACCAGAGTGAACCAAATTTTGGTGTCAGGGTTTGAAATTTCCTCAAATCATGAATTTCATTCACACCTTGTTTGCAATTTGTTTGCCAATTTCCCTTGAGCGGGACTCTGCTTGCCCCGTGTATGTACAGCTACATCATACAACAGCAACACCTTTCAACATTAGTCACCACAGAGTCACCAATTGAACATAGGATCAAGACTGAGGATATGTGACAAAGGAAAGATGGTTGAATGGTTGGAATCGGGGTTGTTGTTGTATGATGAAGCTGTACATACATATGCAGGACCAACAGATGGCAAACATATTGCAAACAAGTTGTGAACAAAATTCACAATTCAAGGAACTTTCAAACCCGGACACCAAAATTCAGTTCCATTGGGTTTCAAACTAATTAATTCCCGTGGTGTCACACTTGCCAAATTCACCAAGTCACCAAATTACACCACTCTCATTGCACCACTCCCTCTCTGTTTATACACCATGCTACAAAGAAGTCATAGCAAAACCCAAGATGCCTTGCTACCTCAGTTTACCCCCACAAGATTGTTAACCCTGCAACCAAAATTGGTACCCAAAACCATACATACATACTAGCAAACCCAGCCAAACCAAAACCAACAACAATATCTTTCAGAGCCATTATGGATACCGTGGGAAAGTCCAGAAAATAGAATCAGCTGTGCACCTCCTCCATGGAAGAACAGTGTTTTTACTCACCAGAAATGGATTTGGCAAAAGCCAGGTACCCCAAGTCTTCTATCTGATCCAAGATCATCAGCAATACACTCCAATAATACTTGGTATTGACCCTTTAGACTTTCTTGGGATGATCAGGCAAGCCGGCAACTTCTCTGACACCCTTATGAGCGAGTTTAAGCTTGAAAAACTCATTTATTATGATGTTTCATTGCAGGTCAGCAAGAACAGACTTGTCAACCTGGGAAGGATTAACCTAAATGGTGCCTACTGCTTGGAAGAGAATTGTGATTTAATTTTAGAAGGGAAGTGCCCTTTTGTATATGTTGCAAGTCATTTTGTCCTCTTGCAGGCGCTATGCAATATCCTCAGCTGATAGACACAGTTGGAATCCTCTTGACCCTTGACAGAGTCCAGAGGTGGCATTGACCAGCAAAACCTTTGACAAGATGTGGTGTTATTGATGGTTTCAGGACCAATTGATCCTCAATGTAGTGGATAAGGCGCATATGATGTATGAATGGGGCTTGGTTGCAAGAGGCAAAGCAAAACACCTGGCCAGTCATACCTGCACCCAGGATGGTGAGGCATCTCGACCATCTTACGGCAAAATAACACACACTGCAAATATAATGTATTCTTCCGAGGTGAGAAATGATTACATTTATTTCACAAAATGATTAAAAATGCATTAATTCTGCATTTTTCTGCATTAATTCTGCATTATTAATCATTTTGTGCATTAATGTCAATCATTTTTCGCCTTGGAAAAATACATTATTTTCACAGTGACAGTGTTTCCTCTCTTCTTCAACTGTTCCACTGCTTTTGATGTCAGGTACTTGTGCGCAGCTCCACATCCATGCCATCCTTGTGAATCTCAAGCTAGACTCACACAACATATGTTTCCCCCATGTGGAGCTACCTTGCCCAAAAATCCAACTGATACAACAAACTTTCAAACAACCTCTCAAAAACTCAGTGCACGTAATATTTCCTCATCACACTGCAGTGGCCACCAATGCTATAGTCCCCACACTTTTGTACGCTGGAACCCAAAACAATACATTGGAATACTTGATTATGCTCCACACAGCCTGAGGTCATCCTTCTCAAGCCGGTAACACCCTCTCCAACTTTGTCTGCTGCTACCACACGCTTATTGGTCCAAATACCAAGCTGAATGCTGTGAAGACATTTCCATAAATGCTTGCAGTCACATGTTGCACTCTTGCTCTTGGCCTCAGCCAAAACTGGAAGAGAGTTAGACGTGTCATTGTGGTTGGACACCAAAATCCATGTAGCTTTATTCAGCTGGCGAGTTGAGCTGGACATGACAGTAATCATGGATTAGCCCTTCTCCTGGTTGAGCACAAGCAAAACAATGGCAAAAATTCTTTGTATGACTTTATTACATCAACAGTAATGACCAACAATGATCACATGGATGCCCTGGCACTGACCTCCTTGTGCCTAAGGGTTGCACTTGCAGTGGACCTCCAGTGAGTTGAGCCTGGTCCTTGGCTCAGTCACTGATTTCATTCCCTGCTTCAGGTATGGCTATGTACCTCTAGACGTGGCAGCCTTAGACGTCCGCGAGGAGACAAAACAACAGCACAAGGCTGGAATGGTGGAATGTGACTGTTCCACTTGCCAACTGGCAGAAGCTGAAGGCCTATGGCTAACACATCCTGCAATTACCAATGAGAAAATTGATAGCTCCCTTGACATGAACAAGAGCAAGCTGGCTCAATTGGTAGAAGACCTGCCAGACCCACCACCACCTCCTACAGTGGAGGTACGCACGGTGGCCATGGTTTGTGGCTCAGATGACCCCGTACTTGATGCTCCTTGGCTCAAAGGGCTGGTCACATGGTTGGAACACATGTTCATCAGTTTTTTCTACATCACAGTCACAGAACCTTTGGATCTTGGCCTGGATGACTACTTTGGACGCAATATGGCTTGGAATGTCACCAAAAACATTGACATTATTGCTCAGCCCAGCAATTTTGAGCTAGTCCTGGGGACTTGGCCAATTCCAGGCCAATTTGATCACCTTTTTGTTGCCTTTAGCCAGTGGCAGAATAAATTCTGTACGGATGCGGCCATTGGTGAAGCATCCACACAAGGTGCTGCTGCATATCAAGCCAACAGCTCTAACAAAATCCCACAGTCTTTCAAGGGTGCCCAAATGGCCAAGGACCGGGCTGAAGAAGAGAAGAGGGTGTTGAAGGTTGCACACAAAAAAGGTAAAGAGGCTGAAGCGGTTGCAAAAGTGGTGGCCCAAGAGCAATGCAAAAAGGATAAGAAGTCTGCCATAGCACACAAGCTTTCACAGAAGGAATCAGTGATCAAAAATCACAATGTGATGACAGGCCAGAAAAACTCTAAGGACTATCACCCCAAATGCCTCAAGTGTGTGGCTGAAGAGAACCTTGAGGGCTGAGGTCGTGTATGCCTTCCAACAGACAACATCAGTGTCTTTGTTGTCACCCTGTATTGCTCTATGTTGTGTTAAATTCAAAAACCATACGCAAACATGCAGTCAAGTCAAAAAATGTTTTGTGTAAGTCAAAAAACATATCTGTGAGTTGAGAAATTTTCTGCTTAAGTCACAAAACATATTTGTAAGTTGAAAAATGTTTTGTCTAAGTTGAAAAACATACTTGTAACCAATACTTGTAATCCACTAAATGGTTTTTGTAACTCAAAGAACATACTTGTAACCCAAACTCAATAAATGGTTTTTGTAAATTGAAAAACATACTTGGAGCCATAACCCAAAAGATGGTTTTTTAACTCAAAAAACATATTTGTGAGTTGAACAATGTTTTGCCTAACTTGATCAAAAACATACTTGTAACTCAATAAATGGTGTTTGTAACTTGAAAAACATACTTGGAGTCGTAACCCAAAAGATGGTTTTTTAACTCAAAAAACATATTTGTAAGTTGAACAGTGTTGCTCATCCTGAGAATCAAGCAGCTTTAAACTGCTTCTGCAGGGATGGAGCCAGGAATGTGAAAATGTTTGAATGCCTCTAACCTACCTGTCAGCCTGAGACTCAAGACGGTGGCTTTAAAAGAATCATAGCTGGATAATGTGCGCTTGATGCTTCTTTATTGGCTTTGTTACACCAAGTTTACTGAGGTAGATTCAAGCCTTGATATAACAGGAGCTGGTAACTCCATGTTGTCTTAGGTGCAGAATGGTCACCCCTACCTGATACTCACTGAAGGTTCTATTCCAATCAGGGTCTTCTGAGATAGGTACAAGAGTACGCCTGTCCCAGGTTTACAATTTAAATGTAATAGTCTAGTTTCTATGTGTTGATAAAGAGACGTCTTTATCTACAGCTGTTTAAACAAAGATTTATTTTTTTGAAAATCTTGCCAATGTGCAAAACCCGGGTTTTGTCCCTCACTTGATTTTGTCTGTCTGCTAATTGGAAGAATACAGAAAAGAATAAACCTGTAATCAAGTTTTGTCTCTGGTTTTACCCGCTGTGGAGACAACTGAAATGGGACCTGTTAAACTGTCAGCCTGAGTCAACAAATGCTAAGTAAGTATCTGAAGATAAGGTTGAATTTATTACTCACAAAAGTCTTTATTTGGATTTATAGTTAAATACCCTATTAATGCTAATAAAAAACTTTAGATTCTTGGCGAGCAAGGTTTCTAAAAGTTAAGATATAGATGTTGGTTATATCAGTCTATGGTGTGGAATGGGAATACCGCTGCCAGTTTAGATATATAGTACAATTACTATATAAATCTTCTGAAATGAACACGCGATTCGTGGTTATGTATCAGGCTTGCTTCAGCGGTGGGTTTGATAAAGTTGCTTTATCAAAAGAAAAGTGAGATAAGAACGCCAGTCAATTAGAACTACCTAAATGATCTGTGACGAACTTAGTTTAGTAGATATAGAGAGATAAGGGAAAAAAGGGTTTTGGTTGATAAAAGAGGTAGAATATAAAGAAGTCTTGTAAAGGATTTTCTAAAGATCTAACTGATTGATTTTGAGCAAAAATAAGAGAATAGATTGGCTCTTGATAAAAGGTAAACTTTTTGTAGAACGGTTTTGATTCAGTTCGAATATTTGATAGTTAAAAGATAAGATGCCGTTCCTTCCTATCAGGAACGGTCGTTGTTTTATATATTTAATTGTTTTGATCTTCTTATTTCTTTTGTAATGATATTTCAATTGAAACTAGGGTCCTTTGGACTGGTTACAGAGAACAGACCCTTAGTAGTCTATGATGGTTATTACCCTAGTTATAACTAGGTACTTCATTTGTAGTTCTCTGGTTCAGTTCCCAATGTTTCTATTTATCTGTTCTGGTTACTATTGGTAAGGGTTTCAATGAAGAACTGGTTACTTGTTCTTTGATGAAATATTTTTTATTATTTCGTTCTCTTTCTTACTGCACTCTTGAAACTCGAGTGTTAGAGGTGTAGTTTATTATTTATGTTTTTAAATGTGTAATTTATGTATTTTGTGATTTGCTTGTCTACTTGTTGGAGGTTCTGCTCCGCAGAACCTCTCGCGGTTGACATAAACTCACTATCTGTTTGGTATGATAATACCAATGAGACTGTGGAATTTGGTGCAAAGCCCAAGGCCTAAGCCAAGGGAATAAATTGATAACATAATATAAGCACGCCCTACGGGGTGGCTAGCGGACCTAACAACCTACTACTGAACTAGATAAAACCTCTGTACACTTTGAAAAGAAACTACTAAAAAGGAAACTTGGATAATCTCCCCCAATAAATCGGACACAATAAGATAACTGCTATAGAAAATTGGAAACTATTTTAATCGTAAGAGAAAAAGAATAACCAATCTTAAGACAAAGAACAAAACATAAACACAACTGATAAATGAAATCAGAACATAAAAAAAAATAACAAAAATAATAATATAAATAAAATATATGAATGATAATAGAAGGAAAATAAAAATATAACCTATAAGATCTGCTGAGTAAATGGATTTGAATCGAATAGAAGTAACTTTGTGATATACTATATTCTTACCTCTCACATCTGGGTCTTGGGAGGGTGGGTTTGATTTTATAATACTTGATAGATGAATAGAAGAAAGATTGAGTTGGTGATGAGATTTGATGAGAATAGAATTGGAGGAAAGTTGAAAGATAGTGGTTCACAGATATGGTGTCATATCTGTGTGACAAAAGATAAGATTAGAAAAGTCCGACCCGTTAGTTACAATTACATGTATTCCAACTTTGCCCATTCCACTTTGTTAATAACAAGTTATCAACATCAATTCTCCAAAAAAAATTTGTCAACCTTTCTTGAAACGGCTGTATATCCTTTGTGATAAGGGTCTCCTGGAGTTTGAGTGTAAAATCCTTGGTGCCTTCAAACTAATGTATATGCCATCACGTCCAGTTGATCACGTCCAGTTGACCATCAACATTTACATACAATATCTGTTGTACTTCAGATTCATCTTGGGTGTTCTTTATGGTTGACAATGGGAGTATCAGCAAAATACTCCTCATGGCTGACATACCAACCAAGAAGATATTGCCCCAATGATTGTTTCTTTACGCGACTCAATCAAGATAATTTTCTTGGAGTGTATCCCGGATAATTTACCCAGGGATTTATGCAATAAATGCTTTCCTCAACTTACTGTGTTTTGAAGCATTGGCTCTGGTATCATACTCTTAAACCTAACTTGGTTACAATGGCTGGTCTTTGTGTCAATGGAAGTGTTCATTACAAGTTATGCACATTCACAAAAGGACTGGCTCATAATGTTGACAACCCTGGTTAGGACAGAGGTGACTTTACCACAAAACTTCAGATACATTATATTCACCACTTGGAAATGTTGGTCTATGCAGGATGATGAGTTGGTTCGTGCTTTTGCTGCTTTTGGGATCAAGTGCCTGTTCAGGCCTAAACTTTCACCTTTTTGTTTGTTTGTTGGGGGAAACAGTTCTTTTTTTGATATATATATAGTCTTCTGAATTTGCCAGATCTTCTTTAAATCATATTGATAAAAATCTTGATCATCAAGTTTATCATATATATGATTTATCATCAAAACATCCATTTCTTGAATTATATAGAATTGTAGGTATATTGCTTATTACACTCAGAAAAAACTAATCCGTAAATCTTCAAAAAACCTTCTCTTCCAAAAATTCATTTTATCCACAAGAAGGTTCATTTGAAAATTCTTCCTTAAAAGACATCTTTTTTCTCTCTCTTTACTTTTGCTTACATCTTGATCACGCAAGTGGCAATCCCAACACCAAAGCTGCGGAGGAGAGAGTATCAAGCGTGTGCGGCGTGTGCGGCAGCAAGCATTGCATAGAAGTTTCAGGTAACGACAAGCGTGCCACGTTCGGTATGACTCGGAACATAGAAGGGGGCCTTCCGGTGGATATTTGTGGACATCACTCTTCCAAGCAAAGTCACAAGGCTCATTCCAAGTACAATGAAGCTCTATAAACCCCTTCTCCTACTCCTGAATAACTTTTCATTCCTCACAGTCGGCACACTTATGCTACCTAAAGAGCTCGCCCACGCGAACGTTGAATTGCTTGAAGAAAATCGAGCACTAAATCGAGCACTAAATCAAGTTGTGGAGCAAGTCCCCCAGCCACAAAACAGTATAGCCTATGGGTCTCCAGGCCTGGAGCATACTTCTCAAGCAGACCTGCTAGCTCACCTTTATGCCATTGAAAAACATCTTATGGGAGACACGGATCGTTTTTCACCGGAGACAGGGTTTCAAACAAATTTTCACAATGTCCAAGAAGTTCACGGTCACGGACTTGATTTTCATCTTCCAGCTGAAACTTATAGTCATATAACAAAACTTAAAAGCAACAAGCGAAAAAACGAAGAAGCTCATATCAATTCGGTTTCGTCTACCATAAAGAAAGAGAAACATTTGAAGTCTAATCCAGAGATGTGTAAGAGTTCTCTTATTGATCGGCCATCATCATCAAACATTCAAGGTATCTCAGAGCAACCAAATTGTGTTGCCGTATCAAAAGAATCTGAAGAATCAAGATTACTGGATATGCTTCACGAGGAAGGAAACCTTATACTTCAGGCAAACCCAAGGCTACATCACCAGATAGCTTCTGATCTTGGTACTCTGTTAGATTCCTTTTTCGCGAGGTATGGAAACGGTCAACAATGGGGTTATGGAATGATAAACCTCCCAGAATCGGTTGAGAAGATAAAGACTGATATAGTCACAAGGTATTTTGGTGGTTTGATGGTCATTTTCCATGATGTTCAAAAAGGACCTTCTTCCAAAGACTTACTTGCTGATGGGTGGAGGATCCTGTACCAAGAACTGAACATGGCAATTTTCTCTCCCTACAATGAATTCTATAATCTTGCCGGACCAAAAAATGGATCAAGAAGTAAAAGCATAAGCAAGAATGTTCTCCTTGAAGACATACTGAAGCTCAGATTGAATTCTACCATACCCTCATCCCTGGTCCCCAATCTAATTGAGATCTGGGCCAAAGAGACTCCTTTCACCCCCCATAAATATGGAATCAATCTTGAAGAATTTCTGATTTCAAAAAAAATACCCATGCCAAAAGGACAAAAGAGGAAAAGAAAAGCTGAAGATGTTTCACAAGACTATACAGTAGAGTCCTACAGTACTTTATGGATTTCAATGAAGAAAAAGGCATATGATCCTAAGAATCACATCAAGCAACGACTTTCAAGTTTTCTTATATATTTTGGAAGAGTGGAGGTCAGGATGCCCAGAACCCTTCTTGAAAAAATTAAAACCTTCTTTGTCAGCCTTGAAAAGGATATTTTACATGGACTTCCTGGTATGGGAACCAAAATTACCAACAAAACCAGCACAGTTCCAATTATGGAATCAGAATCCATCAAGGAAAGAGTTCATCTTGTGATGAAAAATTCCAATGAAAATATTTTACCAGCTTTCCTTGCCATCCTGTGGCTAACACATCAAGAACAAGTATCAGAGATTCCATGGGAATATATGTGTAGAAGTGGTTGGGATTTTCTAGAGGGTTATTTTTCTGCTTGGAAACAAGTATTGTTGGGAAATCCTAATCCTGTGATTGGAGTTTCTAGAAAGAAGTTATTCACAGAGATTGATTGGTCTAATGCTTCTGACACAATTAATTACCTGGCATTTCTTCCATATCATGGGCATATGACCTTGGAGCCGGTGTGGGAGCTTGCAGATGGATGGTATGATACTTTGAAGAGAAAAGAAGGGGGAGTAATTGGGGCTCTGGGACACATGGTTTATCAACCAAGTAGATCAGTCATTCAAAGAATATATCAACATATCTTGGGGGAAAAGAGAGGGTCCCTGCATGAGAGAGGAGATGAATCACACAAACATGAACGGCTTCCATATGTTCACTCAAAGCCTGGTCGTGTTCTGGTTCACTTTGGAACACAAAGAATGAAGAAGCAAAACCCACTTTGGGAACAGATTGGAAGCTTTTTCAAAGATCTTCAAACAGTCCTGCTTACAGCATTGAGATCACATTCAGAGCATAAAAGCAATTTGTCCAGGATTGGCTCTGTCCTGAATGATGATATGATCTACAATTCCATAAAGATAGCACAACAAAAACTCACACCACAATTCATGGCTCTCTTAATGCTAATACATGCAGATCAAAATGAGAATAAGAAATGGAAAGCTATTTGTGAAAGTGGCTGGAAATTTTTGAAAAATTATTTTTCTGAATGGATAGATCTTTTGATTTCAGATCCCCCACACTCAATCTCCTTGCCTCAACCCCGGGAAATATATCAGCTTGATGATTGGTCCAGCAGTAAAGATGTATTTCAATATATTTCAAAAGCTTGTCCAAGTGAGATAACTTCTATGAAACCAGCCTGGTTCCTGGTGGAACAGTGGTATGAGAAAATTATTGTTACTGAGGGAGGTACCTTCATTTCACTTGGGTTCCATCTTTCGCCTCCAAATAAAGCCAAAATCAGGAATATTATCAAAGAACTTGAAATCAATCAACCAAGAAATAAACATTATCATCATTAATAACTAGTAATTGATTCTGAGGAGATATCTCTGTTTCTTGTATTGATCTTAGCACCTTGACTCATACTTTGTGTTTCAGTAATTGATGATTTCATAGCCATTGTGGAATTGTTTTATGAATCACTCTAAAACCCAAAATTGTGACTCACAAACCCAAGTTTGAATGTATATTTAAAACATGAGTTTGGGTCCGAATCAGGACCCGGGAAAACCCTACCAAAGCCAATTGACCTGGGAGGTATGAATTATATGAAAAATAATTTTTGATGTAGGGGTCTGACAGGTATGAATTCATTTTTCTCAAAAAACAGGTGGTTGTCTGAGTGCATGAATCTCCAAGTACACAAAAGACAAGAAATCTGACCTAGATGTCTGGAGTGTATGGATTTTGTTGGATTTTGTTTGAGAATATTCCTCATACACTTTTATGAAGGGTTGAAGTCAGATTTTCTGTGTTGATTTAATAGCCCAGATTATCTATAAGCACATGCATGAAGTAATCTTATTTCTGATGCCAAATTATATGCTCAAACACCTTTTGTCTTGGCCAAAAAATGAAGGATTGTGTTTCTCAAAACAATGACAACATTTTCTCAAATCTACTCCCAAAACCTGAGAGTGAAATATGTATGAAAATGGAATTTTTTGAAAAATTTGGCATTTTTGAAGGTATTAAAAAAGGCTAAAATCAGTGATTTTAGATCACCCACTTTCCTGGGGCTTTGCCAGGAGCCTTCAAAATCCCAAGAGCTTGGGTCTCATTAGACCTGTATGCCTTTTGTTTCTCACAGAGATTTTCAATCTAAATATTTTTCTTCTTCATCTTTGGAATTTGCATCAGCTTATTTTGGTAGTGGTTTCATTGAGTGAAGCACAAGTTTTGCATTCTGGGGTATAAACCACAGCACATCAAGGTGTGTTGGATTTACCATGATAGTCATAAGCTACTTTGGATGACTCTGTCAAGAGAGCCAAACTTGAAACTTTTATGATTTGATTTGGGGGTTGTCACAGTGAGACCAGATGAGAAAGAGTTTATGTATCTGGTCTTGAGCTGAGTATCAAGTGGGAATAATTCACATTCTTGGATGTTCTTGTATTTACAGAGATTTACAGTAATCAAAGATATATATAGTTTCACAGCCGTTGTAGAACTTATAACCCAACAAGGGTTATACAAAGCATGAAGGGGATATCTACCAATAAAATGACTAGTAGAAGATGTTCAAAGACTGCCCTCCTAAAACAAGACAATCAGAAAGTGGAACTCTATTTGATTGAGTACTGATAAGGCACCAGAGAAATATATCTTTTAAAGAACCAAAAGCACAATTTTAATTACTCTCAACACTGCTATAGTGTTATTCCAATATGATAACTAAGAAAACAAAGCAATATCTTTTTGATATTATTCCCAATAAGTCTTTTTGACTATAACACTAAAGTAAATTTCTCTTTATAGCTATAATAAAGGGTGAGGGGTGGGTGCTCTTTGTAGGAGTACTCAGGGCTCACTAAAGGGTAAATGGTAGGTTTCTTAATTTTAACTTCTTTATTTCAAATATGTAGTAGGTACAAATTGAAGTAAAGAAGGAAAAAGAAATCATAAAAAAAAGGGACTGACAGTCTGTTTGGACAAACCCAGACAGACTTCAGTTAATTGACTCCTGAAGAAGAGATTCAGTAATTATAATAAGATGTTATTATAATAAATGAAGGTTGGATCCTGGACCTTCCTTTAATCTTTATTGTAACAGATCAAAGGGTGAGTTAGTTCACCAATCTGGTTGTCCTTAAAGTCACCAACTTGGGGTTATTCTTAAGGTCACCAGCCTGAAGTTCTTCTTAAGGTCACTAGCCTGGAGTTGTTGGAGGTCACTAGCCTTGATTGGGTTTCTACTTAGGGGAAGTAGAGGATCCAGAGGGGAATGAAGAATTGTATTACCTACTTTTAATCAGGAAGCTGATTAAAGTTGATGAAGCTTATCACTAGTCTTATTTGTATAAGACTCTTGATATTTACTTCAGTTGAACTTTAATTGTTCTTTAAAATTAGTGGGTAATAATTGCTTGGGGGATTCTCTGAAGGCTGAGAGAGGAGGGGTTTATATACTCTCCTCTCTAAACCTAACTGTAGTGATATTTGTTATTATCACTACATTGGTTCAGGGTTAGTTATTGACATGTAGTAATGATTGTTACTAGTAATGCTTAATTACATATACATCTTATGTGTGGTATGTAATATAAGCATTTAACTCTTGACACTGAGTTATGTGGTGTAAATGGAGTTTTGTTACATATTACATGTTGTTTTACAGGTTCATGTATATGTAATAAAGGTTTTGATCCATTGTATTACATGCTACATACAGTCTATGCTCAGTATGTAACATGTAGTTAATCTTATACATATGTTTTTTACTGTTACAGGTTAGTTTTGGGTACATGTATATGTACTCAGGGCTGACATAAAGGGTGTATTTAAGTGACCAGGTACTATTAAAATAAATTTATGATGATAAACAAAATGAGAATTTTGTAAATGATAAAGAAAAAAGGGGAACAACAATCCCAAAATCATCCTAGAGTATATGTAATATTGTGTTACAACTCTTACAATGGCCAACAGCCTCAAAAACCAATCAATTTCAACTAAAAACCCCTAAAAACCATATGATGACGCAATGTAATGAATTTGTTACTAATGTATGATGTAATTTACACAGCCAAAAGTGATCAATGACATAGTTGAATGATGTACAGCACTTCTTATGATCAATACAAGTGATTTTGTCCTTGTAAACTAGCTGAAAACCCACTTTTGAGATTACAAGTTTTTCAAAATGATGTCCAATTTTGGATTACTAAAGTGCATCTTGTAGATCTTGTGATACTGATCAATAAATGGCGCCATATCAGGTGTTTCTGATGAGTAAGGAATGAGTTATTGAGTTGTGAAGTTAAGATTTTTGTATGTAAATGTTGTTACATGTATGCATGTAAGTGTAAAATTCAAAATTCACACCAGTTTCTCATTTCTCTTATACTTTTGTTACACATCTCTGTTACTAATGATTTAAAGTATGTAAATTATGTAATCACCTCTTCTGTGTTGAATGAGCCATCTACCATCCTATTCTGACGTCATTTGACATATGTAATAAACTTGAAAACCTCCATTTTTGACAAAATTCACACCTTTTCACCCTTTTACACAGCTGTTACTCCTTCTTCCTTGCTCATGTAATGTTACATCATCATCTATAACCTGAAAAATCCTGGAAAATCCTCTTGGCAACCTTACATATTACTAATACCACTGTTACATATGTAAAATACCTGTAAACCCTTGTTTACCGACTTCACAAAAGTACCATTTTCTTAATAACTTTCATTTCTCCTTATCAACCATCAAGATTGAAGTTGTTACTGAATAATATAATTCTGTTCTTTCATATTCTAACCTCACAAAACCCACAAACCTAATATTAATACCCTAAAAACCGTTTCCAAGCCTGTATACCTATATTTTTGAATTCTTCTTATGTTTTTCTTTTCTTTCTTTTTGTAATATGTTTGTGAATAAATCATAATGATCTTAATGAGTTTCGTGAAATATGATGACCTAATCATGACCAAATGACCAATACATAAGCCTAAAAGAGCTTCAATTGATCAGAATCCTTCATTTTCAAATTTGCTTCACTGTTAAACCTTTCTGGTAAACTTGGTAAACTACTAATACTAATTTTTTTTTTGATTGATCCCATAAATTGATCACCACATTGTTTCAACAAAGATTTATTTTTTTTGAAAATCTTGCCAATGTGCAAAACCCGGGTTTTGCCCCTCACTTGATTTTGTCTGTCCGCTAATTGGAAGAATACAGAAAAGAATAAACCTGTAATCAAGTTTTGTCTCTGGTTTTACCCGCTGTGGAGACAACTTCTTCCAAAAGAAGTTGTCAACCTTTCTTGAAACAGCTGTATATAGTGTTTTATTTTGTATTTTACAATTGCACACAGCCTGGCAAAAGTATATTGCTCTTTTTTCCACCAAAAAACAGCCCAAAAAAGTATATAAGAAAAATTCATACATGGAACTATACAACTTTGAGTACTGTAATTGTATGTACATGTAGTTGTCACCACAAGACCTATCAAGACCCAAAGGGGGTTTCAAGTTGAAGGTTTCGACGTATTTTTACGCTACAGCAACTTGCCTGCTGTTATAAAATATGCATAATTTTTTTCCAAGCGGGACACCTTTTTAGGTGTCCCCGATTAAAAATATGTTGGTTTTACAAAGAATGTATTATACAAACTACTTGTCCGAGTTTATAAAAATTACCCAAAGAAAATTGAATTCAAAACCCCCCAATGAGCCTTGGGTTGGAAATTATGGAATTTACGGCCAAAATCACCATGGATGGAAAGCTGATGACTGACACCACCCCATGCACAGGAAAAAAAAGGCAATCGTCCCATGAGAGAACCCATTGTATTCAACACAGTTGATGAGCCAAGGTGTATTATTTTGACATTATTTGTGCATTATTTGTGTGTTTTGGCTCAGAAACATTAAGTGTGATCAGTCTTCCCACAGGAAAATCTCTCATTTTTCCCGTGTCGTCTGTGTGTAATTTGACTTTCAAAAACTGTGTTGGAATGCAATCATCAAGCTCAGGACCCCGGAGAGCTACTATCGAGGCACACGATGTAAAATATTTTATTTCCTTATGTTTGCTGTGAATTGCTGTGAAGTTCATAGCTTGTAACAAGTCTTCACATTTGTCTTGCTATGGAATCCAAAATTGACCAAGTCCCTTGCTTCTGGCTGGGCCTTGTTGAGGAAAGAGCGAGGAGATGTATCAACTTTTTATGAATTCAAACTCTAATGAAGGGTATGTAGTGTAAGAAATTTTTTTACATCGTATGCCTCGATAGGAGCTCTCGGGGGTCCTTCAAGCTCTAGAGTCATCCAGCCCAAATAGGTTGGCTGTTTTCTATCACACAAAGATCACTTCCATCAACCAGTTTTTAGGATTTTTGGCTTTTTGAAACATAAGTGGATTGGGCTGATTTTTGGGTTGATGCCAGCCAACCAGCTCTGAGATGAATAAAATGCAAAACATTCTTGAGAAAATCTCCAAATTTGGCAGGGAATGGTAAGCACCTTCTCAGTCCTATTGAAGGACTTGGAGAACTCGTCAAGAAATGTTTTATGTACAGCTGCATCAAAACACTTACCTGATGTGTATTGAGTTAAAAATTCTGGAAAGCCCATTCCAAATGTACATTTACTGCCTCGTTTTGAGCACGCTTTTTTCTTAAAACAAACAATCATTATACAACTAAGTGTCCTCTCAGTTCTCATCGCCTACTTAGAATTTAATTACATAGCTCAAACAATACAACGAGAGAGTTCTACTCTTCTGCTCAATGTTTTCTTCAACAATTCCTGAGCTTCTGATTGTCTCAACCTATTGGTTGGCTTCATTGGCTACTGGAGAGAAAGAACCCATCCAGAGGTCTGCGATTTCGCCTCCTCCTCGACTTTCCTCTTCCTCTTCCTCTGATGCCTTTTGTTTGTTCGGTTGGGTATTGGGGTCCGGTTCAGGATCCTCTGGACTTAAAAATGAAGGTGTCACCGGGTCTGACTCAGTTTCTGATGTGGGCTCGTGATCCGAACTCGGGCCATGCTCAGGGGTCAAGTTTGAGGAAGGCTGAGGATGAGATTCTTGAGTGGAGTCCGGCAACGGAATTGAGGTGCTGTGAACTTCCGAGGTTGAAGCCGATTCAAGGTCAACATTTTCGGGTGCTGACACCGATTCAGCAGTGTGAGGTGAAGTGGATTCGATAGGAAAATTAGTGAGTGGTCGAACAGGTGAAGGATTATAAATCGATGGACTTGTAGATGAGAATGGATCGTCGTTAGCAATGTGAAGGGCATGTTCGGAAGATGACGCATGGGGTTGCTTTGGCAAAGACTGGTGAGCTGGTTTGGGAGTCAAGTCCAGATGGGGTGGGGTGTGACCGACAGCTTGGTCAACAGGCTGGGGTGATATGGGCACCGTGGTCTTTGTGGAGACTGGGGAGACTGGACCTGAGGTTGAATGTTCTTGCGATATGTTGTCAGTTGGTGAAGAGGAAGACTGCTGTTGGGGTGCAGTCGACCCGTAGGTTGAGAGAGGCGAAGCCGTGATTGTTTCTAGAGGTGTTTCGTTTGCGGACTGCGAGAGAGCTCCATTCGATTTCAAGGGCTCAGGAGACGAGTTGGACGCGAAAGCTAAATCTTTTGGTTCACCCTCTGAAGTAGTGGAGATCGTTGCATCGGTCTTTGAAAGTCCAGCTTTGCTTCCAGTTCTGGTGCGTGCAAGTGAACTAGTTGAGCCGGTGTACGAGGTTGTAGGGTTTGCACCTATATAGTGAGCCGAGATCGGTACCATTTTGCTCTCGGCGAGACAAGCTAACAGCCAGGTGGGCTGAACAATTGGAATTGAGAGTTGTAGCGCACGTTGGTATTCGAGAGATGGAAATGAGTTTGTATTGTTCATGTTGGCTTGTTGGGGGTGGAAGGGCATGGTGCAAACAAAATGTGTGGTATCAATCTGAATCTTGTCCGTCCAACGGCCCCCTAAGTCTTCTAATGCATCCTTGGACTCTTCTAAGAGCTCGTCAGGTAAGACGACACCGAAGCAGACATTGATACCAGTGGTATCATTCAAGGAATGAGTTCGAACTTTGATTTGCTTGGAATTGTATGTGCCACCGGTAGTCCTCATCACCAGATGAAACGCGTATTCCGTATCGAGATCAAGCCCAGAGAGTTTAGTGGAAAAATTATTCATTGGATTTGGAATCGGTCCTAGTCTTTGACCGTTTTTCCAAATCGAGAGTGACAACAATTTCGACTGAGCTAGTTCTAGCCTGTCCCACTCTAAAGCAACAGATGTTTGAGTTGTAGATCGAAGTTTGAGCACAGGTGCTTGTGGTGTTTGAGTGCCAAATTGCTTGAGGATTTGACTTTGGAGATCCCAGAATGCAGCTGCTTGGGTCTTTTCAGCATGCTGATTTCTCGAACAAGTGATACTGACGATCGAACCGGGTTCGCAACCGGGTGGTAGTAGTAAAGATGGAAATTCGATCAGATGAGCATGTGATCCGATCAAGACGGCAATCTATGGGTGAAATAGATGATCAAAATGATAGGCGTCATCAGCTTGATTGTCGGCGATCTGTCGAAAATAATACGAGACGTGAAAGGAATTGAATATCATTCGTACGAACCCCAGCGTCGATTTTACCACAAGCTATTTAAATCAAGAAGACAATTAGCTGATAAGATCACACAGTTTGAAGATAGAGAGATAGACTCAACTGAATGTATAGCTTGTCTCACCATCCAATTCTGCAGGATGAGCCAGATCGTATCCATTAGTACCCATATTGAAAAGAATAGTTTGGTTGTGTGGTGGTGGTGGTGGAATGCTGATGAGTGAGATGCTTGACGTCGACGATCAAGACAACGGGAGTCGGTTCAAACTCACCCCGGGTCAGCTCAAATCACCTGCGGCCGGGTCTTGGGTTTTGTACAACGACCCGGCCGAGCCCGGCCATTGCCCTTCAAGGTTAGTCACATGCTCGGAGGCTTGTATCTTGACTCTTGACTCCTTCATGCTTTTGACTAGTCCTCCTACTCATCAACATGTATTCCCGCTTGTGTCTCCCGGTGGGTCAATTTCATCTATCTCAGCTATCTCAGTCAGGTCACCTGAAAAAATACTTTTCAAACATGACTTATATCAAGGGAAGTATCAAGAGAGATGTTTGGGGCATATAAGAAACAATATGAAGATGGTGGGCCATCAGAATGACCAAACTCAAGTCTTTATGCTTCATTACATTCACAGCGTGAAGGTCACCTAAGGCATGGCCATCTCATGAATGACACAGATCTTGTTGGATTTGATGTGACAGGTTATGTTCCTGAACTTGAAGCTCCATCACTGCTTGATATTGTTTCTCAAGAGGTAGGGATTTCTAAGCACAAAAGAACAAAGTATTCACAAGATTTTTCAGGATAACACAAATTTGCATTGGCTTATAATCACCCCCAACATCAAGTCCTTCTTGTTCAGGGCTTTATACCAAGGGCAAAAAAAGATCAATCTTCAATTCTAGCTCCCACGCTTCTTGCCTGACATTTTCAACCTCCAATGAACAGCAGAAATTCAAAGACAGAAAGTATGATGGAACCACCTGAAGATAGACCAGATGTATATGATGCAACACCAACTTCAAATTCTCAACTGCCTTCAAGTTCAGCCACAGTACATAACCCTACTTTTATCAGGGATCAGCCAGAGAAGTCAAAATCAGGATAGACTTTATATGCTTTCTGGACCACAGAAAGATTCATACAATGTAGGAATCTTTAATGGCAATTGCATACCATGTACCCTCCAAGGTGAAAATTATGGATGTGCATGAGTACCAAAAGGCTTTTCTGGGAGAGATCAATTGTTTTAGCAGGAACCTGTGACTTTAGATCATCTCATCAGGGTAAACAAATATTAGCCCGGTACACCTGCTCCACTTTTTGGCTGGAAGCTGTCAAGAGCTGTCAATAGATACACAAAGTTACCCCCAAAGATGCACCCGGGTATAACAGGTTTTTGTGTCAACCGGGTTTGGTTTGTACATGGCTATTGTTCTGTAAGATACACAGTGTTGGTTATTCAAAGCTTCAGAACACCATAACATCAGAACACCTCCCCAAAAGAAAACTTCTGGCATTCTGGGAAAACCCTTCTGCAAATTTTTAGAACCATATTTGTATACCCTAATTCCAGAAATCACTATGCACCAGCTTCATCAAGAAGCAAGACTTGTGGGTCAGATTAATATCCATATTCACAGAAAAATGTACACTTCTTTTGAGATCTATCAAAGGAATATTTTAATAATATTCCAAAATGGTCCAGCAGCTACACAAACCCAGATCCAATCAGTGAGTCGACAGTACAAGACTAATATTATTTTCCCATTTCTGGGTGCAATACATGCAATTTTCAACTCAAGAATTCCTTCATTCCTTCAATAGCGGTACTACTTGATGAAGGGTGAGAATTTCTCAACAAAAATTTAAGTAAAGAGCTCTCAGACGCAGATGTACTTGATGTACTGTGTGATCATACCAATTGCTACTCAACATTTCAATTCCACTGGCTCAGTCAAGGAGGTCTGCTTGAATGCTTCCTGAAACCCCAAAAGAATAGGACCATTGAAGTGAGCATGATAAAAGAGCTCCTCATATGGTGGTCTAAAAACAAAATTTACACTTCAGCCTAATACAGAATCAACATAAACAATATTGGTTATTGCATCAATGTACAAGCACAGGAAAATATTCAATAGAGACCCAGCAAAAACATAAATGTTCTGGAAATCTATCAATCCAAGTACAGATACATATACTGTCCACATTCTCAGGAGGAGGGAAATCTGGAATCCACATTTCTCCTTCTTTTTGTATTCCTCAAAACTAGTGAGACCAATATTATGGAAAACAACTACTCTTTTTGAAATAAAGTCAGGCGGTTTTTCCAAGATCTTCACTCTGGAATTTCAACTGATCTTGCCTGTAAGCCATCCACTGATCCAAATTCTCAGCAAGATGATCTAGGAAAAGTCTTGAAACTCAAAATCTCAATCTCAGTAGGAAAAATCACACCTGTGATCATGGCAATATTGCGGATCATGCATGAAGAACAGACATTCAGTGACCCGTGTGAACAATTTTCAAAAGTGGTTGGCAATTTTTGGAGTGTTGCTTTCCAATGCCAAAAGATCTGTTTAAAGATCAAGAAGGATTAAGACTCTTTCCAAGACAGTATAATTTTAAACCAAACCAAAAGATTGCCCAATGCTGAATATACACCATTATACTTTTCTATCAAGTGAAAACACTGTAGGATATGAATGAGACCAGCCTGGACACTGGTAGAGTTATGGTGTCAATCATTGGCTGGGAAGCAGGACAGCCCTTTTGATTTCAAGAAACATGTGCCCACCAATATCAATATCAATGAGAGATTTCATCAAAACCAGCTTATGCAGTTGCAAAAACACCTGCCAAGCTCATCAAACCAATGGTACAACAAAAATGAAATGTAGAGAAAGAGAGGACCGTCACTGAAATCTGTTGATAGAAAAGATGATCTTATAATTACTTTCAGATTTGAGAAAATGGTAGAGTTGACTCCAGTTTATAAAGCATTGAAGCCATTCCAAAAACACACAGTCACATACTCACACAAAGTTGTGCGCTTCTTTGTGGAATTTGGTACAGAAGAAATTGCAAATCAGGGAGATTTTTTTAAAAGCAATGATGCATATTTCAAACTACTTGCAACAGAAATTCTGCAACTTTTGAATTCTGTCACAGTCAAAGCAATTGTTCTGAAAAACTTGAAATCTTGTTCCAGAATACCATTCATCAATGGTGTTTTGGCAAATAAGGCTATTGACTTATCCAGGATCCAAGTTATGCCAGCATTCATGGCCACATTAATGCTGACTCACCAAGAGCAGCCTTCTCCTTGTTCATTGGATCCTCTTCTCTGGAGTGGTCTCTGATTCTCTTTCTGAATGCTTGACATTGTTTCTTAGATCTTTTACAAAGTATGAGGAATTGATTTGTTGATTGTGCCACCCTGCATTTTTTGCATTTTTCAGCTTCTTCAACTCCTATTAAATGGAGAAACTTTTGGAGTGGAAAATTTCTACATTTTAGTTGAAATATTATGGCTACCTGTCTCTTCTAAAACTTGTTTAATGTGTCAGCTATGTATTTTCCTTTTCTTTTGAATTTTTTTATTGAAAAAGCTCCCCTTTTAAATTGTTCCTCAGTGTGTCATAGTAGTTGTCCCAGACTTACTGGTAGTGAGACTATCTTGGCACCCTTCTTTGCCATTTCTCTTGCCACTTCCTTTGCCACTTGATCTGATTTTTTGTTCAGTTCAAAATTTGGTTGCACAGGCATATTTGATAGCCAACTATTGTGATGACACGTGATATTGGGGGCCCACATAGAGCTTGCAGATCCAGAGAGCACCTCTCAAAATCTGAGGGCTTTTGACAGGACCCAGGAAATCCTCTGTAGAAGTTGGTGCTAAAAATTCCAACTTTGAGAGATGTGAGTTGTGATGCTGGTCAGATTCCAATGTCCTATAACACCTATCTCATCAGTCTTACCCACGGCCCAGCCCCAAGGCCACACAGCCACAGGGATGGCATACAGATGGGGCTGGCATACAAACAGCCCTGTTTGCCAGCTCTCAGAAGCATGGTTAGCATGGAAATGAAGAGGAGCTCATTTTGAGTATGTAGAAAAATATGAAAAACAATTTTTGGTGTGCATAAACAAGAATAAAACCCAAATTTTCATGTACATAGACAGGGATAAAGACAATCATATAAAATGAAAGGGGAAATGAAAAATCTACAATAAAACACTGATAGTCTTGTGACTGAGGAAAATTTGGGAAAAACTCTGGTGCCACTGTTTTGAGTTTCTGGTGATATTTATCTCAAAAGGGGATGGTGTTTTCCTCTCTTTTGCACTCTGCTTCCACATGATCTCACCCTATACCCAGACCAACGATTTACATCAAAAAAGGTTTTGGCCACAAATCTGCCTGGTTCCAACAATTTTTGACACTCAGCTTAACTAAGCCTTCTCTGTGCAGCTGTGTCTGCGCCCTTGCAGAGGGGCTCATGACTAATTGTTGTGGGGTGAGCAATACAAGGATTAAGTGTCCTTAAGTAGTTTTTTTTGGTTTTCTGCTTCCCTCATGGACAAACATCACTTCACCCCACAGGGAAAGTTTTCTATGTGTGTAGCTCTTGTTATCGAGAGGGAAACACCACTCCATAATGCTGTTGTTGAGGCGAGTTTTCAAGCCTTCTGTCCCACTTGTAAAGGGGCGTACAGCGTTGTATCCAGATTCCACACCGTACCCAATTTTTGAATTCAAAAAATTGACAATACAGGCGGGTTGTAAGAATCTTCACACCACTTTTTTGGCCATGTTATTCAGAGTGCCTATCATGTCAGGCTACAGGATCATGTAGAAAGTGGTTTTGAACCACTTTGCCTGCGGAGTAAAGTGATGTTGGTCGGTCAGGGAAGTGAAAAGATGTCCTCTGCGAGGGCGCAGACGCGGCCTTCCGACCTGTATCGACACCAACCTGAAGAGGAGCTTTCCTGGGTCCTGTCTCGACGTCTCACCCCCGGTTGTGCGAGGTCCGCTGTAGCGAATTTTCGTGTGTCGACCCCCTAACATCCACGATTTCCCTCACTGTGCATACAAGCTTTTCAATATTCACTCCTCTTTAAATGTGGACTATCCCAGGTCCCTCTTATCCCAGGTCCCTCTCTTAAAGTATGGAATCACTATAAATTTGTTTGGAGGTTTACTATTGTAAGAAGTTTGAAGTTACATCCAAGCGCTAGCCAAGATGATCCCTTACGCAGACTCTGAGCTACATACCTAGAATGAATACTCGGTGTTTATGAGAACTACATTGCGATACACACCCGCAAGTTTCACATTGTAAATCAATAGAAGTGTGAATACTTGATTCTTGATCGCTATCTGGATTGAGCCTTTCTCAATAAATAAGACAAGCCTACTGTTGGACACTCTTTGCTTGTGTAATTGTCCAAACCTGCGCAATTCGGTGCAGATGAATCTCAATCGTCCCCTTCTTCGTTCACCGCAGGTAGATACGCCGCCCTGTGTTACGGCGGTTCAATTTTTCATTGTGTTGGATTCATTCGCCTGTCAGCGACTTGCAGACTCATGAAAACAAGAACGTAGAAGGAAGAAGCGGACTAACAATGTACCGACCATTGAATTATCATCACTATGTCCGATATAAATGAACATTATCAAAGAATGCGCATCACAGATACCTGTGTCAACCCACCACCCAAGACTCCCGTGAACATCACTCTACCAGGCAAAGCACGAAAGGAAAACAAATAGAGATGGCAAATTACGTACAGGCAAGTGAAAGGTTAGCGATTGCATGAGCTTGCAGGAACTTCAAGAGACCACGTGATTTGACTGTCGTTTGAAAGAAGTGACTCGAAGGGTAATTTGTTGGTTGGGTTACATTGCCGGCTGAAGGAGAAACACAAAAGTTCAGATGGTGAAGAAAGGAGAAGATATATGGGAAATCACTTATGCACATTGATTGAATTGGGTATTCGGATTTGGAGATGATAAAGCTCTTTGTTCGGGTCGATCTGGACCAAGAATTAAACCATGCCATTCGGTTTCTACATCTACATGTTCACTCTTGATCCCTAACTTTAAACAGCCATCTCGGTTCGCAGAAACTTGAATACAAGGAGCGAGACTCTTCAATCTTTCTGCAACTTTACAAACATCTGCCAGTTTCGGTAACGTGATTTGTATCTAATGGATCACTACATTAGGTCTTGCGAAATGCTTTCGCTTTGCACACTTCACTAGAAGGTCAATACTCACATCTGGGACTGGCGTTTGAGGCTCTCTTAAAATTTCAGTATCGTTTGGTTTCACAACGCGGACGGCGATATGTTGTTCAAGTTCGTATTCAGTCCTATTCAAGCTCTTGTTCCAGTCGTGGAGTTCGTAAAAAAGAAAGCCAAGTCAAAAAACTAAGATGAACACTGATGGTCACAGGAAGGATTGAATTACTAACAATTGCGCTAGTGACAAAACTCAAGACGGGCGTCTTACCATTCTTGCCAAGTCGAATGACGATCTCTGATCGTGATCCCGATGAAGCTTTCAAGACGCTGTTGAGGGCTTGAGTGGTGAGTTCGAGTAAGATTTGATTTTCAGCTTGGGATTGGACGAGATAATGATGTTCGAAGAGAGTCTTCTACTATTGCGAATCCCCTTCCCAAACTGGTTCAACTCGATTTCCTCCTTTCACCCTCTACCGAGAAATCGCAAAGGTTTCCAACTCACCGCATGTACTGTCCTATGTACAAAGAAGACAGTTGGTTAGATCTTCAGACTTGATTGGATATTAAATTGAACAGATAACCAAGAAGAACATGTCGATCACACACCAAGGATGAGTTGGACCTACCCAAAGAACCTAACTCCGTCATCTAAATCACCTGTCGATATAACTTTCAGTTCCGTAGGTGTGAATTTGAAGACAGCTCTTTTGGAAAGTTTGGCAACTGATTCAACGAATTCTGTAGATGGTTTACAGGATGATTAACATTGGTGTTTTTTTCACCTAGAAAAAGTCCAAAGAAGCCCTGGGCAAATGACTGAACTAGTGAAGGCTGATAAGTTGGAAACTTGAGCTCGGAACCGCATCGCTTTTTCAATGAAGAATAGGTGTTGAGTCGTTCGTGGGATTGAGAAGTCAAAAGTTGAGTGAGGTGAGTGTATGCGTTGTGGGACGCGTCAACGTAAACGTATTTTCAATCTTGGCGAGGTAACTTTGATGAACTGCTGTTCTGGATGAGGCAGTTTTACAAACCATACTCACGAAAATGCGTTTCAATGCAGACTCAGCTTAAAGATGTATTGATACATAGATATTTGCAAGACACTCGGCCACCCAAGCTGAATTCCCTTTTACTTACACAGTTGCAATTATGACACTTTAGGATAATGTAACCTGGGCCCTACACACGAGAAGGAACATAGAGGAACATCCAATGATATGTTTATTTGTACAGCCCCAAATACACTTGGTAGTTCAAAAGTTTTTTTTGGAGGGCTCAGATCAAGATATTCATATAACATATCAAAATGTTGATCAAGTTTTTTGGTTCCAAGTGCTTCATTTCTGTACAAGGGGAGCAAATTTGAAGGGTGCGCTCGTCTTTGTGTTTCCAAGCATACCTCACATTAATCCCAACTGTCGAGCACGTTCCGGATTCATACCACCAATCAAACCAGGAGGCGGTCCAGGCGGTCCGGGTTGATTTGGTTGATGACCAGTCCCATTGGGCATATTATTGCCAAAGGCGTGATGAGGAGGTGGAGGAGCTGATGAATGATGTCCAAGACCGGGAGGAGGTCCGGGTGGACCAGAGGGAGGCGGAATACCATTAGAATTCAGGATCGGGGGTCCAGCGAAACGCATAGGGGGTTGACCACCATTCATCGCATTAGAGTTACCCCCGTTCATCAGGGCTAACATCGCAGGAGGGAATGGTGGTAGGTTTGAAAGTGGTCCACTCCCTGGTGGTCCTGGAAAAGGTCCTCGCACTATTTGAAACAAGAGGAAAAGTATGGTGAGACTAAAGAAGCAAGTTGAAGATCAAAGGTATATAATTCTGGGGTTACGCACTCATTCCTGGTGGACCTGGCATATTTCCATTCATTGGACCTCCTCCACCCCCACCGCCACCATTTGGCCTCGCGGGATTCGAGCCACCGCTCTCATACATCCGTGTAATTTCATCGATGATGTTTTGGGCCTTGTCATGACCGAGAGCTGAATTTTATAGGTGTGGTCGCATGACAAAACAGAGTTATCATCAGTCATCATATTTACATTCCTAGTGAGAGTCACAAATTCTGAAGAGGGCAACCGACATGAGTAATAATCCCGAACGTTGGTTAAATGATTCCGACCACTGTTATGAGCCTTTCGAACTGAAGGACTAAAATCCATGTGTAATTAGTTTCGGTTTCAAATTAGACTCTTCATAATCTGAGACCAATAGGACAAACCTTTCGCTGACGAGGAAGACGTCTTTCAGACCGAGAGTCGAAGAAAGCCACAAACGCGAAAGGTGAACAATAACGGATCAGATCAGTCGGGGGTAAAAACTACTGATATGGAAAGAGCGAGACTTGATGGGTATGAAACTGATATCTTCATGTCTGAATTTGAGAAGACGTACCACAGTAGTCACAGTAATATTTCCCCATTTTCTATCCGATCTAAAAGACTAGACTTGGGTACGTTCAGGCCAATATGTTTTCAAGTGCTCGGGATTGAAGTTTGGTGAGTTGCGAATATGATAAAGCAATCGTAAGGGTTTGTGAGTCGATTGTAGCTGTTCGAGTTCTGCGTTGTTCTGGTCTGTGGTGACCGCTTGGCTTCAATTTCCTCCAAGCGAAATTTGTGTACTATCGGATAGTACTGGGGCCGTGATCCGGGATAGCCATCCGATTTCCGTTCCTCCGACCACCGTCAACCGTCCACGTCGCGAGTCTGACTCCGAGGTTTGGCTAAATTTGAGACTCGAGAGACCTCCTCTCACTCTGACTCCTTTGACCACCTGGTGCTGTCATCAGCACTCCTTCTCTAGCATCCAAAAATTATAACGAAGTGGAATTGATGATGATGGCGACCTGTATTATGCAGTATTGGTCGGTTTGCGTTCGGAAATGGCCAGTGAGCCGTCGCTCGGATGATGCGCCTCCAAAGCCATCTTTGCGAATGATTCCCACGCTCGTGTCATGAACCAAGCTGATCCTTGCATAAATGAGACTCGTGCCCTCTTTGTTGGCGCGCGGTGTAACCAGGCCAGTCTCACTCACAATGTTTGCCTCAAAGACCGCGGCTATGCTGAACTTCATCATCATCACAGTTTTTATCGGCTTATATATTTCAACCGAGCAATTGCACTTTAAGTTTCAACCCCGCCATTCGATTTCACCTAATCTACCTACAATCAAAGAACTCAAACCCAGGATTCGATCAGTTTAAGAAACCTCACAAAATCAATGTCAGCCTCAAATCAAGAACAATTTTTCAACGATGAGGAGACAACAGCTCTCAGGAATTTTTGGAAGCAACTTTTCAGCTTGTTGGGGTTGAATCCCGCTAGCGAAAAGTCTTTGCCCACCAGCAACGATGGCGCTCAGTCGATTATCTCACTCCACGGACGCGAGAAGTTTGCAGAAGCGTTGTGGAATTTCACTACGGTGCGTGTTTTTGTTGCAAAGGATACCACCGTCCCGCACTGGCTGTCACATTTGTAGAATTTCAAAGAGATCTATGATCATTGATGTAACCTGACCAAGGCCAATTGAAAATCTGCAAAATCATCAGGTAGACGATCCTGATTATACATGTATCAAGTTCATTCGCGCTAGAAAACTCAATATAGATGAAGCTATCACGATGCTAATTGAATGCTTGAAATGGAGGATCGAATTTAATGTAGAATCTGTAATCTTCAAGGGAGACATAGGATTTATGTCCGAGAAAGGTGAAGATGGAGATGCATTCACTAAACAAATTAGTTGTGGAAAGACATTTGTACAAGGGTTTTCTAAGATGGGTGGACCTGTTGCATACGTATTTGCAAAACATTACAAAGCGGGTGAACAAAGTCCTAAAGCCATGGAAGGTAAAACCTTTGGTCTCTTCATCCTCTCCTGCAGCCTGATTGTGCATCCACTTTACTAACACATCGATACCTTTTCATCCCAGACTTCGTCGTTTATGCCATGGAAAGTATTCGAATGTTTACTATTAATCCAAAGTCCAAAATCACTGTGGTCATCGATCTTGCGTGCGTTCCAATTCCCCTTTTCGTCCAGATTCTGTCAACTGATGGATTAAAAAACCTCGTTCAGCGGATTCGGGTTGGTTAACATGGATTGGAAGGCTACGATGTTTCTGAACAAATGTCTGGAAGCTTATTACCCTGAAGTCAATTTTTTAGTTTCTCTATCCTCCAAACAAGATGTCGATGGCTGATATGGTGTCTCTCTTATGTAGTCCTTACAAACGCTGATCATCTTTAACGCTCCTTGGGTCTTTCATGGAATTTGGAAAGTCATTTCATCTACCTTGGACCGTACGTACGCCCCAAATATATTCCATTGGAAAAGTATATTGAATTTACTTCTTGGATGAATTTAGCTGTGGTCCGCTCGAAGATCACGATGACTAAATCTGTCGAAGACATCCGAACCCATATCGACAAAAGCTATTTACTTGAAGACCTTGGTGGTGATTCAACTTGGAAATGGTGTTACAAGGTTCCAACAGCACGTCCCGAACTTGAGGATAGCAGGAAACAAGAACTTTTATCGCAGAAAAAAAATCTAATCGATCATTATGTCAAAGTGACTAATTCATGGATTGATGATGATTCTGTTACCAATACACAACTGAGGGATTTCGTTGCATCAATGCTTCGCGTCAATCATCTGTCTCTTGTAAGTTTTATTGATCATCAATCTTTCAAAAAAATGTTCTTGAGATTCATTCTTCTTTGATAGGATCCTTTCATGCGCGGTAAAACGGCGTATCATCAAGAGGGCAATATTCGTGATAACGGTCAAATGGGTTTTCGAACTAGCCATACTTCATCACAGTGGGAATTCTCAAAGTATTATACAAGCAGAGATGAACTTTTAGATAAGATCAAGCGATCTCAAGACAATTTCAAAATTCAAAAGGTTGACTATCCAATTGTTGAATTTGAGCTTTGATTTATTGAATTCATCCTTTGCGTGATTATCATTCTAGGTTGTACTTTACTAGATCATATACCCATCGTGTCTTCTCTTTCATAATATCTTGATACATCGCGATTTCCTTGCTTCATCTTAATTTATTTCATTTCGCCAGGCACTCGTGAGAAACTCGGATATGTATTAATTAAATTCGCCAATGATCTCCTGAGGCGCACTCCTTTGAACCCAAATGCTGCATCTCCAACTCGCGAAACTCCGCTCAATGGCATACTCTTTTTGAATTATACCTGGTGTGTATTATGAGCTCAAAATGAAATAGAGTGCCATGTATATAAGGGCACCTGACATTTTTTGAGGCTGTATCAGTTGTTCTTGAGGTGATCCGCAAGTGCTGATAGCTATCCATAAGTGTGTGGGTAGCTTAGCAATTTACTACAACTTGAGTGATCAAGATTCATCACCTTGATGCCTTTGTGTGATTAGATTGCACACGATCAATTCAGAAAATCCATAATTAAACCTGATCTTTGTAGGCACTCCTGGGATACATAATCTCACCATGAAGATCGCTTGACATTGAGAAAGTGTGATTATCTACATGCTACATTCACAATGTTTTCTAAACATGATAGAAGAATCCTAACTTGCATTCAAAAGAAAAAGAAAGTTGAAGAACGATTTTATAAAAATGATCGAAGATGATCATCATGCTCAGGAATTTTCTAATGGGAGGAGTTTGAGGAATCGTGTTTTGAATTTGAGAAATGAATATAAGCGTCAATCCAAGACAAAGACTCAGAATAATCAGGAGAGTTCAATCGGTCTGTAAAGGTGAGATTGTAACTCCTGAAAAATCTAAAGGAAACCAAGGGATTTTTTTTATAAAATCAATGCTGCTTGAATTGGAGGAATTGATAGAAGGGATGGTAGAATTGGTCCTGGCTCGGAGGGATTCTTCATTTCTTCCCAAGGGATACCTTTCATCCAAGGGTGAACTTGGATCGTTTCAAATGAAGGCTTAGGCCAGTCAGGTTCGAAACCGACGAGCCAATTGATGAAATGCCGACAGAGATAGTCATCGATACAATCGGGAAATGAAAGACGGAATTTATCTGACTGAGTTTCAAAGCCTTGTGGGTACAGAGCAAGAAATTTTCCTGTGATCATCTCATAAAGCAAACACCCTAGAGCGCACCAATCTTCATCAAAGCTCAAAGACATAGCAAGTGTAAAAGGTCTTTCCACCTGAATCTTAGCGGAACCGAAATCGGTGAGTTTGACATGACCATTCGAATCCAATAAAACATTTTCCAGATGAAGATCTGAATGAGATACTCCGCGAGCGTGAAGGTGTCCAAGGGCAATAGATAGTTCTGCGATATAATACCGAGCTTGAATGAGTGGTAAAGGAATAGGCAGAGAACCAAGAGTACCTCCCCTCATGAGCTCAAGGATAATGTAATAATGTCCTTCTTGATAAACAGTTGTTATATGATCAATGATGAAGCGACATCCACTACCGATTTGGATTGCTGACACTTCTTTGGCGATGAGTGGTGGTAGAGGTGCGTGTAGACGAGAGTGTGAATGCTCGTGAATCATTTTGATGGCACAATGAGTTCGGTGTGTCAGTGAATAAGCTAACCAGACAGATGCATAGGCTCCAGAGCCGATTTTATTGTAAAAAATGTAACCATCAAGGTTAGGTTGGGCGTTTTTGATTGCTTTGTTAGTCTTGGTGACGGATGTGATTAGACTCATTATAAGGCCTAACTTTGCGAGTTTCTGAGTAGAGTTCGAGTTGTTTTAGATCAATCTTTGGATCCTTATAAGGGCTTCAGCAAAAGCGTGCGCGTTTGATATATATGGTATTTGCCCGTGGTATGAAAGGGGGCTGAATGGTATACTCAGCATGATTTTATGGCCAAATCATCTATATAAAAGTCCTGGACTCAAAATGCTCGTCCGACTGTTGCTTTTGTTGAGAGTGTTCAGGTCATTTCTTTCATATTGTGGACCTTTGAAATTGTACGAAGGGGAGTGCAACTTTTGGAACAAGCTTTTAGATGAAGTATTGCCTTTGAGTGCTCTACCATTTGCTCCGAGCGGGTGTACTTCAATTATAAAAGCTGAAGAAGGTCATGGTAGGATCGAGAAAATCGGCAAATTAGGGTATGGCGATTAGCTCTTGGGGTATCAGTTTGCTAGTTTTCAGATGACGAGAAAAGTGAAATCTACCATGCGGACGACACTCTACCATGACTAAGCTTCTCCGTGAGGAATATCAAAAGCGGCCTAAGATGGAGCGTTTAACTTTGAATGCAAGTCAAAATTATGAGATTGTGACTGTTGGATGCTAGACGGTTCGCCAAGTAATCCAGACAAGGCTGCCCAATATGATTGCCACTTCACACCAAAGGCACGACGTGGGGAGGACTTCCATAGTACCTAGAGCGTAAGGTGAGACTAGGTGAACATGTAATAAATTACATATGCGACGAAGTCGCGGGAAATGTGATACAGGAGAAGGGAAGGAAAATTTTCCCTTCAACCTTATCACTCCTAATCCCCACCTAGTCTCCCGAAAGACAAGCTTCCGTAGTTTTAGTTAAGCATTTCTTTGAAGCTTAACTTTCTTTTTCTTTTTCGATACGTCCAATCTCAAAACAAACATAAATCTCTCTACATTCGTCGACACACTTATCTATTAAATCAGAAATCAAGAAATTACATCAAATATGGACAGTGAAGACTTTCAGAAGAAGATCGACGATCAAATTAGGAATAAAATAGAAGGAGGAAGTAAAGAGACTGAAGGAAGCAAGAGGGGAGGAGAAGAAGAAGAAGGAAATACGGGAGAGAACCAAGGTGAAAATCAAGGAGTAGATAATGAAGAAGGAAAAGGAGAAGAGAACGAGAATGAAGGTGGAGAAGAATCAGAGAACGCAGGTGAGGAAGATCAAGAGGCTGGTCAAGAAATCGGCAAATCGAGGACTACCAAGCAAGTCAAAACAAGAGCGGCACCGACGAGGCAATCCAAACGCAAGATCGGACAACCACCAGACTCAGGACCCCAACTAGTAGGACCAGTTCGGATTAAGAAACCGAAGGGGAAGGCACCCATGGATCAATTCCATAATTCCCCGATGAACCCCCCACCCAACCCATCGACATCGTCTGCCCCCCCGAATATTCCCCCTCGTACCGCTCCCCCTCATCCATCTAATCCCCACTCACATTCCCAATCACAAATCGCCCGCCCCAAACCAAACCCACCCCCGCAAAATCAAACCAACGATCAACGACAACAAGAGTTCTAGAGTGGTTCGGAAGCTGGAAGTGTAGATGAAATGGGAGGAAACCAAGAGGATGGTACTAGGATGGTGGGAGGTATCTACCTAGACAGAGAAGTGAATGGTAAGCTAAAGATTCTTATAACATATTAAAAATTAATTCTTCCAAAACAATGGGAATGCCTCTTCGGAGATGAAATTACTCTTTAAAGAGAACGGAGTAGATCCAATGGAATAGATCCAAAGGATCATATCCACATGGAATAGATCCAAACGGAAAATATCCAAAAAAAAAAAAAAAAAAAAAAAAAAAAAAAAGGGGAAAAATCAAAGAGATAAAGACGAAAAGATAACTGACGTGAAAAATTGATTGGGAACCAGACTCCGCAGGAGATCAACCAAACAACGCGCGACATGTCTTAGCAAACCCAGCGGTCACGGAAGACCCGATGATCGTGATGTTGGATGCTCAAATCGATGCGGCCTTTACTGCCCATAACAGGAGCTTATACGATCGATTGTGTGAGGATAAAAGAAACTGGGTCGAGTTTAAGTCGAAAGGCAAGTCAGACGAGAAGAATGTGTCAGGGGAGAAAAGTGGGAAGGAAATCAGCACCAGGAAGAAGATCAAAGTAGTACGAGGAAAAGAACTACTAAATAATCTGATTGGATTGTCACCTTACTGGGCTTCTGCAATGAGAGACCTCTCACGATACGTTCCCCTCTCTATATTCGACCCTAACTGGCTCCGTCAAGATCTCAACCTCACGTCCAACAAGTCATCAAGGACGAAAACTAAAGATGCCGATTCGATCGCTTATAATGGATCCCCGGTACCGAGTGAATGGCGAACCACGGTGGCCCAATGGCATCGGCAGAAGGATTTGTTTATGGAATATCTGAAGTTCTATAAACACGATGAGGTGGTACCGTGTATGGAAGAACATTTCGCGAATGTTCTAGAAATCCAGAATGAGAACGATGGTGGTTGGATTACTGCTTTCCGGTATGATATCGAGATGAGACAGACTTATCTTACGTTTCGAGTTGGTGAAGAAGAAGACATGGCGGATATTGGAGTCAGGAACAAGGCAATCGAGAAGCGTGCGGAAAGAAACACAATCAAGAGAGGCGACGACCTCTACTTAGACAACCCATACGCTCATGGACAAGTCAAACAATTCATCGATCCGATTGATGGAGAGAGTTGGGAAGGGAGAGCAACGGCATGGGATGATCCGAGTAGGGGAGAATCAAGAGAAGAGAAGAGTGAAGTCAGCAAGGGCACCCAATCTGTCCGATCAGCCTTGTGGGCTCAAACCCGGAGTGAGCCACATACCTCGCAACAAACGACCCCGGCAATCTTCAATCGCCAAACCCACGCTCCGCATGCATCGACCAGTACGTTCGCAGCGACGAGTAATTTCACCTCGTCCTTTCAACCCCCGTCCCAGCCAGCAAACCACAACAAACCGGCTATCAATCCGAATTACAAAGGTAACCCGGCGAATTACATTCACAATTATCGACCGAATTTTAAAGGAGGTCGAGGAAGCGGTGGAGATAATGGAGCAGGAAATGGCCAAAGTGGGTCTGGTTTCGGTCAAAACGGATCAGGAAACGGCCAAGGGAACTGGGGAAGGAATAGACAAGGAGAGGAGAATTCAAATAGAGAAGGAAATGGAAATGGAAAAGGGAATGCTGGAAGAGGTTATGCTCACAAGAAGTAAGTACCAAGCTTGGTACTACCAAATGAATCTCTCTCTGTTTTCTCAAAGTTGCTGGTAGTAGGTCTGAGTAATGAAATCCAAAAAGGTTCCTATCGTGTCCCTGTCATTAGACAACAGAATAGAAACAATAAGATGATGTTAACATATGCGTAACACAAACGAAACAAATCTGACCAATAATTCCAAAAAAAAAAAAAAAAAAGAGAAAGAGAGAGATGAGAAAAGTGAGAATCGAAACTGACTGAGATACCCTGTTTTCCATCCCCTTGACCTATCGTAGCCAAGAAGTGAATTTCCGAATCCCCCATTTCACAGTCACTAGAGATAGCCGCTTTCCTTCCAAAGTGAAATGTGAGCTGAACGTCCCAGAATGGGAGGAATTGATGACTGAGTTCGACTTGATGAGAGAATGGGGTGACGTCCTTACCAGCTTCAGAGAAGGCTTCGATCAGGGTATACCAGAGCATACGATCCAGGATTGGTCTTGGTACACACCACCGAACCAAGAATCAGCCAACCTAGTCAGAGATAAAATTGAAAAGATGATCGATAAAGAAAAGGGTGAAGGCAAATTATACGGACCCTTTACTCATCAAGAAGTATACGACCACTTCGGTTTCTTCCGCTCCAATCCGATGGGCAGTGTCATAAATAATGACGGGTCATTCCGGATGATAAGTAATCTTTCTTTTCCCCGACACGACCAAGGGATACCTTCGGTAAACTCCTTCGTAGACAAAGAAGATTTTGAGACGACGTGGGATGACTTCGCGGTCGTGGCGGTCTTTCTGAAGAATAGCAAAAATCAATGGGAGTTAGCGATTTTTGATTGGGAGAAGGCGTATCGGCAAATACCAACACACCCCTCACAATGGAAATACTTACTAATACTCGATTTCCACCAGAGGCTTTGGGTGGACACTAGAGTAGGTTTTGGCGGGGTGGCAGGATGCGGCACGTTCGGTAGAGCTGCAGACGTCTGGAAAGAAATCATGATGTTAGCCCTAAATATCCCAAAAATCTTTAGGTGGGTTGACGACAACCTGATTATAAGAGAGGCGGGGAGTGATATCAACATGGAAGATGTACTTACATTAAGCCAACGGATGGGCGTCAAGACAAACCACACAAAATACTCTGATTTCGCGGACGAGCAGAAATATCTGGGATTCATCTGGAACGGAAAGACCAAAACAGTTAGACTCCCAGTAGAGAAGATTGAACAACGAATTCAAAATATTACTGACCTCTTAGGAGGAGCGAAATGGAAGAAAAAGGATGTGGATAAATTTGTAGGACAATTAGGACATACTACCTACATTCTCCCGGATATGAGATGCTATATGAAAGAGTTGTATGGATGGAAGGAAGCTTGGAGGAATCCTGAAGCGAGAAGAGGTATAACGGAGGCGGTTAGAGAGGACCTGGAAGAATGGTTGACGGTGTTGAAGACATTCGACCATATGCGTATCATCCCCGATACTAAAGCCGAAGACGTGAGCTGGGTAGGCGATGCCTCGACGTCGTACGGAGTGGGAGTATTGATAGGGAAGCATTGGGGTCAATTCAAACTGAAACCTGAATGGAATGAAATAGGACCCGATTCGGTGAAACGTAATATCGCGTGGATCGAAACCGTAGCGGTGAGACTGGGACTATTGATGATTATGAAACTAAGAGAAGTGAAAGGGAAGAGTTTCATTGTCTGGACCGATAATACGACCACCGAAGCGGCGATGCGAAACTCGCGCTCGAAAGATCGTGCCGTGAACAACGAATGGAAAAAGATACAAAAAATCCTAACAACTAGTCAGTGTACAATCAAACAAAAACGAGTCGCATCCGGAGACAACGACGCAGACGAACTGTCTAGAGGAATCAAATCTCCGAAACTTAACTGGTCTGAAGAAGTCCGAATTGAAGTACCTACCGATCTCACTCCCTTTATTTATCAAGTATGACGACGTCCGAACCAAAGAAGAAAGTTGTGGATTTAGAGAAAGTGATACATTTCGTTAGCGATGGAAGAGGAATAATAAATTTAGAAAATGACCCGGTTCAACGCTTGATGTTAAAAGGAGGAAGTTGGTCAGCAGATACGTTATTACAATACAATTCGGCAGTTAAGAAATTCATGAAGTTTGGGAAGTCGGATAATCTGGAAAAACACCAAATCTTACCGGCAAGCGAAGAGAACGTCAGATTATTCATTCAATGGGCAGGAATTAAAGCAGAGGGAGAAGAAAAGACTCACCAAGAGATACAACCATCGACGGTAGAAGCTTATATATCAGGTTTACGGGCGTGGCACTTATTTCATCACTTGAAGTTCCCCGAAATCGAGCAGAAAGAAATCAACCTCTGCATTAAAGCATTAAAACTATTAAACTCACGAAAAGAACAAAAACCGCAGAAAACCCCTGTTCAAATCAAACACCTGGTCAGCCTATTGAGACACATGAAAAGAGGAGATGAAGCAGGAGAGTTGGCAGTCACGGTAGCACTGGTCGCATTTTGGGGTATGGCTCGTTTAGGTGAATTGGTACCCCTGAGACTCTCGAAATCGATACGTCTAGGCGACCTACAGTGGACAGATGATAGAAGTGAAGCAAGGTTAGCGTTGAGAGAAGCTAAGACGTCGAAACCTGGAGAGATACAGTACCTATATCTTCGCAAACACAAGTCGTTACTAGATCCAGTAGGAGCACTCGAAAGGTTATTGAAGAAACAGTTAGACGACGGTCTAGGTATAGAAGATCCCCTCTTCAGCTTCACGCACCCAGACGGCGATGTAGGAACGTCGTTGACTAAAGCAGGAGTGATGGGGCTATTAAGGAAGTCGTGGCTAAAAGATGGATATAACGGCCTTACGGGGCATTCGTTTCGTGTCGGAGGAGCGTCGTTCCTATGGAACGAGAAAGTACCGTTAGAAACCATCGTGGAGAAAGGAAGATGGAAGTCTAAAGCTTACGAATTATATCTGAGAGAGTTTGATCAGGAAGAGATAGAGGAAAGTAGGAATCGGCTGAAGCAGGTTGAGCTGAAATGAATAGATATGAATAAGTAGAAAATGAGACCAAATGAACCCAGCAGGAACCTGTGTGCAGAGAAAGCACAGATGAGAAACAGAGAGAACAGTCCCAGACGCACCGTGAGGTTTATCCTCTACGGAAATAGAGTTTGAGACGGATCAGAAGATAGCAGAATCCTATTCTGTACAACTGAACAACTCCATACAGAGCGGGGGTAAGAAGGATCGACATCAAGGGGATGTCGCCGTAATTGCCAAACCATGGGTTACCGGAGAGGATGGGTCCTAGCGAGCTCGGGGGCTCTCCGATACCCCAAGACCGGGTAGGCTAGGACCGAGTCCTCCGGCGCCCTTCAGGCACTTTACGCGGCTCAGAGCACGGCGTGGACCAGGTCGTCTGAACACGCAGGGCACTAGAAATAGCGCCCCGCGGACGCACCCGGTACACCCCGCGGCTCTGGACACCCCCCCCCACAGTACTCTCAACTTAGGGTATCCTAGGTAGGGTAGCATAAGGCTGAGAGCCCGGAGTTAAAAGGAATAAGGAAATATGTGCAATAAAATCTTATGAACATATTTACGTGAAATAGGAAGTTTGATACCTAGACCTTACGCCCAGAGTAAAAATGGACGAAACAGCGATGACGGAGGACTCTTACCCTAAGTATCGCAGGCCTGACGACGGAAGGTCTTTCGTGAAAAACGGGAACACTTACACAAATTGAGACATTGTTCCCTACAATCCCTTCCTACTCATGAAGTACGAATGCCACGTTAATGTCGAGATCGCAGTCAGCATGAAGGCTGTGAAATACCTCTACAAGTACATAGCCAAAGGGCATGATCGACAAGATCTGAGTCTCGAGACCGAAAGCGAGCCCGCCGACTACGTTGACGCACGATTCCTAGGAGCAGCTGAGGGTGAGCTTATTTTCCATTTACGCTGATGGTGACCACTACTGACTCCCAACTCCAGCTGCGTGGCGGCTATTCAAGTTTGCACTCTCGGGGAGGCACCCTGCGATTACGAGGCTGACCCTGCATGAAGAAAACAATCAAATGGTGTACTTCCAAAACGCGGATGGGCTTCGAGCTGCTCTCAATTCTGGCAGTGCTACGCGAACAACTCTCACGGAGTACATGCGACTGTGCGCAGAAAACTTGCCAATTCTAAGATCTTCACTATCAATTCGATCATTACTCTACACCGACATGACTCGACTATTCTGGTGGAACAAGTCGGACAAGGAGTGGGCTCGAAGGCACAAGGACTCTCAAGCGGTCGCGAGGCTCTACTTTGCGAAGCCAGGACATGGAGATAGATACTATTTACGTTTGCTACTCACGTCTACACCGGGGGTTACGTCATTTGAGTCACTCCGGACTGTGGGTGGTGTCGTGTATCGTTCATATCG